TTTCTTCCATTTTGTAGATAGCACATCATGTCCTTAATTAAAGCACGCGTTCTGTGTATGTTTGACGTTTTTGGAAATTAAATGAAGAGTCGGACCAAACCGTTTGCACGGTTACTGCAAGTTGCATGGTTTTCTTTAACATTTAAAAGGATAACATTGAACACAACTAGAAGGACAATACATCAGAGACCAAAGAACTATAGATCTTCACAAATATACAAAGATCCAACCTAAAAGGTCGGTAGGTTGACCATAAAACAATTAGCGGACGACACAAACCTTTGCAAAACATAAGAGATATAGAAGCCCAGCACAAAATCAGCTAGAAAAAAAAGCACCATCTACAAATACAAGTACAAGGGAGATAACTATCTATGTACACTACACATGCTATGCATAGTTACTGCAAGTTACATAACAGAGGGAAAAAGTATGATGGTTTGGCTGTAGAGAGAGAAAGTGTGTGTTATTTATATTTTTTTAATTTCCAAATTACTCTAAATTTGATATTTAGTAATGAATTTATTAGATGTTTAAAGAATAATTGAAATTTCATTCCCTCCAACAAAAAAGGATTCTCTTAATATATAAAATCTAGATAATAAACAAGATAAGCTGATAAAATATTTCCATTCCATGCTTATAATAATTAAGAAAAATTTTGTTACACTCAATATATGGAAAATAAAAAGGATATAGTAATGGGTTAGTTCTGTTTTGGACTTAGTCATATGTTTTAAATCCGGGGCTCCGATTATCGCTAATCCACCACAAACTTCGAATTATTGAATCGGAAACATCCGGGGCTCCGATTCACGATCCGCGAATTCCTATAGGATTCTAAGAGTACCTAAATCAACTTACTTCGGTTTGGAAACGATCCCAACGGTTAGAACTTATCGAACCCGAATAACGCACAATATCCGTTCGATAGTCAAACGACATCCAAATTGAGATCCGTAAAATCCTATGCACTCGTGACAACCTAATGATCTCATCAGGATGAAAAGCAACTTCACCAGCCTTGCCCCACGCACCGCCACACGCGCGCCGGCAGCGCGTGGGTGTGTAGAGAAATTTCCGGCGACGGAAAATCTCCACACACAACGCTCACCCTTCCTACCCCTAGCTTCTTCTCAAGGTCAGGATCACTTTATTCAACTACCACGAGGTCCAATTCGCACGGGAACTGGCCGGAATTTCAAATTGAAAACCGGCCAAAACCTAGGTTTCCAATTCGGTTCCCAAACTCAAAATCGATCCAACCCTACCCCAAAACAGCTAGAGCATACGGAGAGGGTTCGAAAACATACCAAACTCGACGGAAAAACCGGCCGGAATCGCTGCGCTGTCGTGATGAAAACCGGGAAAAACCAGTCGAACCGTCGGCTGAATCGGGTTTTCCGGTCGGGATAACAGGTGGGTTTGATCGGAACTTCACGACGATCAAACGGGATCGGTCTCGAGGGTTAGGTGGCCGGACGTGACGGCGGTGAGGGTTTTCCCGATTCGGTGAACAGTGAAACACGGGGGAGAGGGAAATCGCAGAGGGAGAGACGCGGGAAGAGAGAGAGAGAAAGTGAGGGGTAAAAGTGAAAAATCTGATTTTACCCAAACTTACTTTGAAATAATTACAGTTTCGCCACCCAGCCTATTTTTGATCGCCAAAAACTTCATTAAATCTCCAATTCAAGCCTACCGCCTGTCTACGGATTCGTCTCAGTACCACCTATGCAACCAAACCACTCGTGGTCCCAAAATCCTCCGGATAGAAAATGGACCAAAATTACCCTTACCCAAGAGTAAATTAATAATTCTCTTAATTTAATTAAAATAGGAATAAATTTGGAGTCAGGGTGTTACATCTACTCTTTTATTTATTAATTATTTTTAACCAGATCTCTCTAGTCAAATTTTTTTTGCCCCTTTCTACCAAAAAAGTTTCATTTGTTTCTTTTTAGGACAATCTACATAAAACCTCCAACCTATAGGGTCATTTACAAGTTCATACCCGATTTGGGGATATTTACTAGTACATACTCAACGTCGCGGAAACCCCTATAATTTTCCCCCTCCCATTAGCCAAATCGTTAGTGAATCTGTTAAATGCTGACGTGGCGAATGTGAGTTCCCATTTTTTAATGAGAGGACTACATGTGGACAAAACAATAAATAAAAAATTATCTACTTTTTAAAATAAGTTTTAAAATATTAAAAAACTATTTCATTAAAAGTAAAGAAAATAAAAACATAAAAGTAAGAAAAGATACCACCCGATTCCCCCACCCCATATTTCATTAAAACAAAAACACTATGAACTATATTCCCCCACCATCTGTCAAATTAATAAATAAAAAAAATCATATTTTGTGGTTTTAATGAAATAGAGGGCTGTGCACCAAAATCCAGATCGAAATGACAGACTGTGGTTGACAGAGTCGGACAAGAAGGGAGCTTTGGGGATGGTTGGAAGATGGAAGATAGTACAAGTGGTCCTATGGGTTCGTCAAAGATTGAGAAGGGAGTATTTACTACTGAAAGGAAATTTGAATCCAGGCCATTAAACTTGAATAAATGTCAAATTCGAGTCTAATTTGTGGTTGAGAATACTGACATTATTTTGAAATTTTCAGTTCGGAAAATCTCCAATTTTGCATCTTGAAAGGTGATTGCTGACCAAGTTACATTTATTTTTGGTAATATTGATGCCAAATTCATCTATATGGGCTTGGGTAAAGTAAGAAAAATTGGAGTGGCCACTCATGATAAGAAGAGGGAGGTGGAGTTTGGAGAGAGGAGAGAGAGAGAAGGGAGAGAGAGAGGGAGAGAGAGAGAAAGAGAACGGGCATTGGCAGTGGGTTTGGGTGGAGGACGACGTTAAGTTAGAGGAAGGGAGGATGAGGGTTGGATGGGTGGGATGATGGGAGGTGCTGGGTGGGTCCGTCAAGCCGATGGGTGAGTTCAGAGAGAGAGTGCTAGGGGGTGGGTGGCATGGGAGGTTGGAGATGGTTGTGGGAAGAGATGGTGCAGGTTGAAAGATGGTTGTTTTTATTTATTTAAAATAAATATTTTTTTGACAGTTGTGGCGGTTGATTGTCCATATGAATCTATTTCATTGAACAACAAAATTTTTTTTATACTAATTTTATGGGAGTTTCACTAAAAATGTAACACCCCGACTCCATTTATCCCCTATTTTAATTAATTTGAGCGAAATTAAGAATTACTCGGGGGATAGGGGGAGTGGTTTTAGTCATTTTCTTACCCGGAAGGAATTTGGGATTCCATATGTACCGTTGTGTAGAGCAGGGCGAGAGAGTTTTTCGTAGAGACGTAGTGGGCTTAAAGCGAGCGGGAAAAACGAGAAGTTAGAGCAAAACATCCCCAGTGGCAAAATGTAAATATTTTGAAAGGCGTTTTTGGTTAAAAGACAGAGAAAAAGCCCTCAGTTCTCTCCTCTCCTCCGTGTGCTCTTCTTACATGGTTCGCGCGGGGGCTGAAACGCCGGCCACGCTTGGCCCGGCCCGTGCTCTCGTTCCGTCCACCAAACTGACGGGGGGTAGGCCGGTACCAAATGACCGTGGGGCTCGCCGCCCTCTTCTACCACCAGCCAGGTGTCACGCCGCCAGCCGCCGTGATTTGCCGGAAGAATGAGGAGGAAAAAGGAGAAAAAGCTTATGGTTTTGACAGAAAATCGCCCGGCTTCGACTCTTGGTATCGTCCGGCACCGATTTCGGCCAGTGAAAAGGTATGGTTTGTCACCTATTTTCCGACTCTAGATGCCTGTTGGTAGGGAAGTTGATCAATTTGTTAGCGTAGGCAACTCGATTTACGAATTGTGGGTTTCGCGCCGGATTTGAGGGGGAGGATTGCGGCCATTACGGTAGGTTTTTGGGGTAAGTCCAGAAAACAAAAGTGACTCAAAATTAGGGTAGTACCTAGGGTAGGGTCTTGGCTCCGGATTTGAAAGCTTTTCCGACGATGCGATATAGCTTTGGACACCCAAGTGTGGCGGCGCCCGATGGGCAAAGTGTTGAAGGGCATTTTGTCAACTGTGTGATACTTCAATGTCACGAGCGACCGTGACGGGGGTGGGATCGGACTCTCCTTGGGGTCCATAGAGTCAGAACGACAAGGAATATCGCATACGGATTTCCGGGTCGCTGGTTTGGACCGTTGATGGTCCTGAAGTGATAATATGTTGATCTAGGTATTACCGAGATCGGTAGGATTGACGGATCGTTGAAAAAGGAGGTCCCGGATACGCGGAAATGCAACCCGGGGTTAGGGTGTTAGTAACCGTCCGATCCTTCGGGCGTGAGCGATCGGAACTGTCCGATCGGGACCAAAACTTGAGGGACAGGGTTCCTAAAGCCGAGTGAACCTAAGGCACTTTTGGAGCGGAATTTGGAGGGTTGTGGGCCCCGAAGGCCGTTTTACCCTAGGTTGACCGTGGTGAGGACTGCCGAGAAGTTTACATTTCCTGGAACGGTCAGGAGACCTTTTTTTTTTTTTTTCGGATAGGTCTGAGCATTGTTGAGTATAGATATGGGCAGTTGTGGGGTTAGCCGATTTAAATGGATGAATTTCAAGGGGGAAGGAAGTTTATGGAATGCTTTATGGTTGAGGTTTATGTTAAGATTAGAAAATATATTATCAGATTTACTAATTGGGGGGATGTATAAAGAAGGTATATTAGTAAAAGGGAGGAGCGGAATGAGTTAGTTTACAGTGCTAACACAATACCGCAAGTACCCCCCCATAGGTATTGATTTGTTGAGGCCTAAACACGTTTGGCGGATGTGAGACTGTAGACAAGGCAAAAGAGGAAACAATATGATGGCTGGTGGAATGTAGCCAGGCCCAGAAGCAAACCAAAATTCTGAGTGCCTGTGAAGAATCGTTGGTCATTGTTTTGTACCCAAGGAATAATTCATATGAGGGATGTATTCGGTGGAATGTAGCAGGCCCAAGTGAACAGGAGAGGCTGGTTAGAGTAGTCAGGCTCCATGTGAACAGGATGATGGCTGGTGAGCATGAGCCCCGGCCCAATGTCCAGATATGATGGCTGCCCGTGCGAATTTAGCCAAGCCAAACTTGTGCTTACTTAAGCCATTCGATGTATCAGTGTTATGGGTTGAGAATGTAGCCGAGTACCACCCACAACATCTAGCATGTGCCACTATCAGGGATTTACCGGTTATGGTGTAGTGAGTACGTTGAGAAAGTGCTACTTCCAAATAGTGGAGCCAGGAACCGAAGGTGGCTAGATGCAAGGCTCTTCCGTCCAAGGGTAAACCACAGCCATGCTCAAACTTGGAAGGTAGATGTGCACAGGAGCGGCCTGTTCTTGGTATCCGGACTGAAGACTGTATCGCCCCCACCCCATACCGTGGTTCGCCGCGATTTTGTACCTGCAGGCAGTAGCAGCATTTAAGCAACAAAAAGCAGATGCTCGTTCTCGGTTGACAACAAATCATCATTGACGAGATCATCAAGGCAGAAGGGCAAGTTTTAAATTGTGCTTCATTCCAGACATGGAGTGGAGGGTGACACGGGTGACTCCTGGTTTCACTCTTCTCTCTTTTTTTTTTTTTTTTTTTTTTTTTTTTTTTTTTTTTTTTTTTTTTTTTTTTTTTTTTTTTTTTTTTTTTTTTTTTTTTTTTTTTTTTTTTTTTTTTTTTTTTTTTTTTTTTTTTTTTTTTTTTTTTTTTTTTTTTTTTTTTTTTTTTTTTTTTTTTTTTTTTTTTTTTTTTTTTTTTTTTTTTTTTTTTTTTTTTTTTTTTTTTTTTTTTTTTTTTTTTTTTTTTTTTTTTTTTTTTTTTTTTTTTTTTTTTTTTTTTTTTTTTTTTTTTTTTTTTTTTTTTTTTTTTTTTTTTTTTTTTTTTTTTTTTTTTTTTTTTTTTTTTTTTTTTTTTTTTTTTTTTTTTTTTTTTTTTTTTTTTTTTTTTTTTTTTTTTTTTTTTTTTTTTGGGGGCGGCTGTTTGAGGGGCGGTATTCCTTATACCCTGATTTATCACCTTTGGAAGAACACGCGCACAGATTAAAGAAGCGAATACCACACCAGAAAGAGGAGTTGCTTGACGTCACGACGTGACTATAAGGGAAGCAAAGACACAAACTTAGTACGTATTTTGGTGTTGAATGATATCATTTTATATAAAAATAAATAAGCCAAGCTAAGCCCTTTTTTGCTCGGGTCTCAAAGTCCATTTTTTCAGTGGTGAAAACTTTAGTATATTTGTCACGAACTATAGTTTTGTAATTCTTTTTGTTATTGGTCAGAATTTTTCTCTTTCGTGCATAATTTACCAATTAGGGTGGAACTCCAGCCAAGTCAAGTCATGGTTGGTCGCCGCTTAAGGTGAATGATTGGCATCATATCCAATTGGATTTCTAAATAGCTTTTTATATTCTTAGCCAAATTTTTAGCAAGAAAATCGGAGAGCATCCTGTGGACTGCTCGAAGACAAGTCAGTCATGGTTGATTATAATGGGAGTCACAATTTGATGAGCCTCTCTATTAATTGTTTGATAGATAATTAGTTGAACAGTTCTCTCCATGATATGTGATGATCATTGTTCATGTCCCATTGTGCCTGATTTATGACGGTCATGCTCTACAATAAATGAAATGGGATACTTGTTGCCCATCAAACTCTGCCAGCTTTCTTTCTTCCATTTTTGTAGATAGCACATCATTCCTTATTAAAGCACGCGTTCTGTGGATTTTGACGTTTTGCGATAATTAAATGAAGAAAAGTCCGGCCCAAACCGTTTGCACGGTTACTGCAGTTGCATGTTCTTTAAACAGTTACAGGATAACATTGACCACAACTAAAGGCCGAATAACTCCGAGACCAAAGAACTAAAAATAGACTTCACAAATATACAAGGATCCAACCTAAAGGTCGGGTGTTGCCATAAAACAATTAGCGGCTGACCAAACCCCTTGCAAAACATAATAGATATAGAAGCCCATCACAAAATCAGCTAGAAAAAAAAGCCCATCTACAAATCAGACACGGAGATAACTATCTATGTACACTACACATGCTATGCAGAGTTCCTGCAAGTACATAACAGAGGTAAAAAAGTTGACACTGGTTGGCGGTATATCGAGAGAAAGTGTTTGTTATTTATATTTTTTTAATTTCCAAATTACTCTAAAATATTGATATTAATTAATGAAATTTTATTAGAGGTTATAACGAAATAAATTGAAATTTCATTCCCTCCAACAACAAGGATTTCCTCTTAAGTTAATCTAGATATAAACAAGATAGCTGATAAAATATTTCCTTCCATGCTTATAATAATTAAGAAAATTTTGTTTACACTCATTAATGGAAATAAAAAGGATATAGTAAATGGGTTTAGTTCTGTTTTTGACTTAGTCATATGGTTTTAAATCCGGGCTAACCACATCCGATTATCCTAATTCCCACAAACTTCGAATTAATTGAATCGGAACACATCCGGGCTCCGATTCACGATCCCGAATTCCTATAGGATTCTAAGAGTACCTAACTCAACTACTTCTCGGTTGGAAACGATCCAACGGTTAGAACTTCTCGAACCCGAATAACGCACAAATATCCGTTCGTAGTCAAACGCACATCCAAATTGAGATCCGTAAAATCCTATGCACTCGTGACCACCCAACTGATCTCATCAGGATGAAAAGCACTTCACCAAGTCTTGCCCACGCAACCGCCACACGCGCCGGCAGCGCGTGGGTGTGTAGAGAAATTTCCGGCGACGGAAAATCTCCACACCAACGCTCACCCTTCCTACCCTAGCTTCTTCTCAAGGTCAGGATCACTTTTTCAACTCCACGAGGTCCAATTCGCACGGAACTGCCGGAATTTCAAATTGAAAACCGCCAAACCTAGGTTTCCAATTCGTTCCAACTCAAAATCGATCCCACCTACCCCAAAACAGCTAGAGCTATCGGAAGGGTTCGAACACTACCAAACTCCGACTGAACACCGCCGGAACGCTGCGCGTCGGATGAAAACCGGGAGAAAACCCATTCGAACCCGTCGGCTGGAATCGGGTTTTTCCCGGTCGGGACATGGGTGTGTGTTTGATTCGGGAACTTCACACGATCAAACGGGAATCGTCTCGAGGGTTGAGGTGCCGGACTACGGGCGGTGAGGGTTTTCCCCGATTCGTGAACAGTGAAACACGGGGAGAGAATCGAGAGGGAGGAAGACGCGGAAGAGAGAGAGAGAAAGTGAGGGGTAAAAGTGAAAATCTGATTTTACCCCAAACTTACTTTGAAATAATTACAGTTTCGCCACCCAGCCTATTTTGATCGCCAAAACTTCATTAACTCTCCAATTCAAGCCTAACCGCCTGTCCCTGATTCGTCTCAGTACCACCCTATGCAACCAAACCACTCGTGGTCCCACAAATCCTTCCGGATACGAAATGAACCAAAATTACCCCTTAACCCAAGTAAATTAATAATTCTCTTAATTTAATTAAAATAGAATAAATTTGGAGTCAGGGTGTTACATCTACTCTTTTATTTATTAATTTATTTTTAACCAGATCTCTCTAGTCAATTTTTTTTGCCCCTTTCTACCAAAAAGTTTCATTTGTTTCTTTTTAGGACAATCTACATAAAACCTCCAACCTATAGGTCCTTTACAGTTCATACCCGATTTTGGGGATATTTACTAGTACATACTCACGTCGCGGAAACCCTATATTTTCCCCCTCCCATTAGCCAAATCGTTAGTGAATCTGTTAAATGCTGACGGGCGAATGTGAGTTCCAATTTTTTAATGAGATGACTTACATGTGGACAAAACAATAATAAAAAATTATCTACTTTTTAAAATAAGTTTTAAAATATTAAATAACTATTTCATTAAAAAGTAAAGAAAATAAAATCAAAAAGTAAGAAACACCACCACTCACTCGCGGACTTATTCCCCACTCCCAATTTCATTAAACAAACACAAATAACACTAATAATTCCCACCAGCTGTGTCCAATTTAATAAAAAAAAAAATCATATTTTGTTGTTTAATGAAATAGAGTGCCCAAAACCGATCTGAAATCTGTGTTGCAGTCGGAAGAAGGGAGCTTTGGTGAGCGTTGGAGATGGAAGGCCGTGGTTGGGTGTCAAGATTTGATATTTCTCTGAAATGAAATTTGAATTCCAGGCCATTAAATTGAATAAATTTCAAATTCGAGCTAATTGGGTTATAATACTGGACATTTATTTTGAAATTTTCATTCTGAAATCTCCATTTTGGCATCTTGAAAGGTGATGTTGCTGCCCAATTTATTATATTTTTTTGTAATATTTGCTGCCCAAATTTCATCTATACTGAGCTTGGGTAAATTAAAAATGGAAGTGGCAACTCATGATAAGCAGAGGGAGGTGGAGTTTGGAGAGAGAGAGAAGAGAGAGAGAAGAGAGAGAGAGAGAGAGAACGGCATTGGCAGTGGGTTTGGTGGATCGACGAAGGGTTAAGTTAGAGGAAGGGAGGATGGGGGTTGGCTGGTGGGATGATGGGAGGTGGCTGGTGGGTCGTCAAGCGATGTGGAAGTTCCAGAGAGAGAGATGCTAGGGGGTGGGTGGCATTGGTAGGTTGGAGATTGGTTGTGGGAGAATGGTGCAGGTTGAAGATGGTGTTTTTATTTATTTTAAAATAAATATTTTTTTGACAGATGGTGGCTGGTTGATTGTCCATATGAACTCTATTTCATTGAACAACAAAATTTTTTTTATACTAATTTTATGGGAGTTTCACTAAAACTGTAACACCCCCGACTCCAATTTATCCCCTATTTTAATTAATTTGAGCGAAATTAAGAATTTACTCGTGGGATAGGGGTATTTTAGTCATTTTCTTACCCGGAAGGAATTTGGGATTCCATATGTACCGTTGTGTAGAGCAGGGCGAGATGAGTTCGTAGAGACGTAGTGGGCTTAATCGAGCTGTAACGAAGAAGTTACGAGCAAAACATCCCCAGTGGCAAAATCGTAAATATTTTGAAATGGGTTTTTGGGTAAAAAGACAGAAAAGCCCTCAGCTCTCTCTCTCTCCTCCCGGTGTCTCTCTCTCCTCTGGTTCGCGACGGCTGAAACAGCCGGCCACGCTTGGCCGGGCGTGCTCTCGTCCGGCCCCCAAACTTGACGGGGCCGGTACCAAAATGACCGGGCCGCCGCCCTCTTCCTACCCCAGCCAGGTCCCGCAGCCAGCCGCCGTGATTTTGCCGGAAAATGAGGAGAAAAGCTCCGGTTTTGACAGAAACTTCGCCGGCTTCGCTCTTCGTCGTCCGGGCCACCGATTCCGGCAAGTGAGGTATGGTTTGTCACCTATTTTCCGAGCTCTAGCTGCCTGTTGGGTAGGAATTGATCAATTTGTAGCGTAGGCAACTCGATTTACGAATTGGGTTTTCGGCCCGGATTTCGAGGGGAGATTTCCGGCCACTTCCGGTCAGGTTTTGGGGTACGTCCAAGAACAAAAGTGACTCCAAATTAGGTGTATTACCTAGGTAGGAGTCTTGGCTCCGGATTTGAAAGTTTTTCCGACGATGCGATATCGCTTTGGACACCCCACGTGTGCGCGTGGGCGCATGGGCACTGTAGTTGAAGGGCATTTTTGTCCCACTGTGATCCTCTCGATGTCACGAGCGCGTGGGTGTGCTCGGATCTCATTTTGGTACCGTTAGAGTCCCGAACGGATATCGCATATCGCGTATTTTCCGGGTTCGCTAGGTTTGGACCGTTGGATGGTCCTGAAGTTATAATATGTTGATCTAAGTATTACCAGGATCGTGTAGGATTCGACGGATCGTAAAACGGAGGTCCCGGATACTCCGGAAATGCCAACCCTGGGGTTAGGGTTTTAGTAACCGTCCGATCCTGCGGTCGTGAGCGATCCGACCGTCCGATCTGGACCAAACTTGCAGGACATGTGTCCTAAAGCCTGTAGAACCTATAGGAACTTTTGGATCGGAATTTGGAGGTTGTGGGCCCCGCAGGCCCCGTTTGACCCTAGGTTGACCGTGAGACTTCCGAGATAGTCTTACCTTTCCTGACGGTCAGGATGACCTTGGTGATAGGTCTTGAGCATTGTTGAGTTAAATGGATATTGTGGGTTTAGGATATAAATTGATGAATTTAAATGGGGGAGTTTATGGAATGCTTTATTGGTTGAGGTTTATGTAAGATTAGAAATTATATATAGATTTAATTAATTGTGGGGATGTATAAAATATAAAGGGATCGAATGTTAGTTTACAGTGCTATACACACTACCCCACGTACCCCCCCATATTGTGATTATGTTGAGGCCTTTAAACCCGTGCGGCTGGTGAGAATGTAGCCAGGCCCAAGTGAACAATATGATGGCTGGTGAGAATGTAGCCAGGCCCAAGCAAACAATATGATGCCTGTTGAGAATGTAGCTAGGCCCAAGTGAATAATATGATGGCTGGTGAGAATGTAGCCAGGCCCAAGTGAACAGTATGATGGCTGGTTAGAATGTAGTCAGGCCCAAGTGAACAGTATGATGGCTGGTGAGAATGTAGCCAGGCCCAAGTCAACAATATGATGGCTGGTGAGAATGTAGCCAAGCCCAAGTCAACAATATGATGGCTGGTGAGAATGTAGCCAGACCCAAAGTGAACAGTATGCGGGCTGGTGAGAATGTAGCCAGGCCCAGGTGTTGAGGTCCCACGCGTCTTTGGATTAGCCGGCGTGTTGACAGACCCCATACGTGGCCGGGTGCGTCCCAACGTATGAGGGGAGATATGATTGTGTGCGGGCTGGTGAGAATGTAGCCAGGCCCAGTGTTGAGGTCGCACGCGTCTTTGGATTAGCCGGCGTGTTGACAGACCCCATATGTGGCCGGGTGCGTCCCGACATATGAGGGGAGATATGATTGTGTTTGGTGTGTTGTGACGGATAAATCCTAAAATGTATGAAATTGTATGGCGGTAATGGTTTAGTTGATATTAGGAGCCAGGGTTGATACGAAAGAGCTACGTGTGGCTTGATCCCTTAGTAGGGTACGTAGGCAGCCTGGGATAGCACCTAGGTGCAGCCACGCCCTAGACACCACTTAGGTGGTTTTATCGAGTATGATGCGGACCTCGTGGTTGGTCCCGAAACTTGGTTGAATTGAGACTTGTCCTGTGGACTGAGTGAGCGAAGGTGCGCATAAATAAATTTTAAATATGTTATATGCATGTTTGATGCATTAACTTACTTTAAAAACAGTGTGGGCAGTTCTGCTAGAATCATTTGAAGGCCGGAGGCCATTTATGTAAATTGCATGAGATTATATTGTGCATGCTGCTGGTTGGGTTATAAAATGTGTTTTATGCAGGTGGAAATTTTGGGGAATGTTCAATTTACAGGGAAGACTCTGCCGAAACTTCGGCAGAAAGTCTTGTGCCCTTAATCCTCTTTGGTAAAAGAGGACATAGTTTTAAGGAGTGAACCCGGCATGGGTGTGATGCCGAGGTCTCCACAGGATTCGTCTCGGGTTCTGGGATATTCGGGGCGGGTCCTGTAAAAAACACCCAAAATGGGGGTTGAAATTATAAAAAAAACCCAACACTCAAAACACTTTATAAACACACCCAAAACCCATCATTACACACACTCAAAATCCATTGATAAACACACCCAAAAAATATACAATTGTTGATTTTGGATGTGTTTCTATGTTTAAATAGTGTTTGGGTTTTTTTTATAAATACATGTCTAGGATTGGGTTTATTTATAAATTTGTATAATTTTATTATGTGGAGTCCACATCAATTAAAAATAGGTCCCACAAATGCCACATCAGCATTTAACAGATTAACTAACGATTTGGCTAACGGAGTGGGCAAATTGTAGCGTTTCTGCGACGCTGAGTATGTACTAGTAAATGTCCCCAAAATCAAGTATGAACTCGTAATGACCCTATAGGTTGGGGGGTTTACTGTATTTTGTCCTTCTTTTTATTAACATTTAATAGTTGAGTTATCATTTTTCAAGTATTAGTCACACAATCAAGCGGTATGTACTTACAATTTTTTCTTTGGGTAAATTTCACTTTATTACTCAGAATTTTTCAGAAATTCAAAGTTTGCTACATAAAGTCTTTTAGTATCAACGTCATACATAAAATTCAATTTCATTTCATTTTCATACCCACCGTCATTTTCATAAAGTCTTTTTTATTTGTCAAAAAATCTGTTAACTCATGATGTGGAAATAAAGAGACCCACAAATTATTTAAAAATAATAAATACATTTATAAAACATGATAAATATTTCTTTTTATAATAAAAAAACTCTCCACCTTCTCTCTCATCCCCTCTCTGTCTTCGTCAAAAAAAAAAAAAAAAAAATCCCCCCCTCTCTCAACTACCAAAAAATCAATTAATTGTTTTAATTAAAAAAAATCTCTTCTTTTATCTCTGTACACGACCACCTCCATCCCCACTTCCTCACAGCCATCACGCCCCCCCATCCTCTCTCATCCTAACGAAACCCCCATCTCCCTCATCCTAGCTCATACGCCCAAGGTTGATCGAATAGCCCTCCCTGATAAAGGATTAGAATCAGCGCTTATGCCCTGTGGAAAATTTGGGCTTGATGTGGAAGGCTTGTAAAATAAATGATAATTAGACATTAATAATTGATTATTGACTAGTTAATACAAGATTTTTTTAAAAAATTTTTTTTTTTACCGAAAGAAAATGTGTTATTATTATTTGTCATTTTGTTTTTGGCTAGGGAGGGAGAGAGAGTCATAAGCACTACTACAAAAAGGCTAATAGGCATAGGGGAAAAACAGATGCCTTTTACTATCATATACCAATGCCTCGTAAGGTGATGCTAAAGGACGGTGTAAAAGGCATCGGAGAAAACCCATGTCTTTTACAGAAATAAAATCGGTTTCTTCAACCAAAGTGATGCCTTAACGAGCTTCAATTGTTGATTTTCGTCCAAATTTCGTTGACTCTCGATGTCTTTGACTACAACAACAACAGTTCTCTGTATACCATTGATGCCTTTTCATAAGAATCACTTCACATATGATATATTTTCCAATGTCATTTAGGTATTTAGCATTGGTCATTTTGACATATTGTAGTGTCTGACTCTTATTAGCATTGTTTTCTTCATATTTGCGATGCCTTTAATAAGAAGAACCACTTCACTAATGATACATTTCCCGATGTCTTAAGAGGTAAAAACAACACTTTCATCGTATAATATGATGTTCGTGCTGAATCTAGGTTTATTAAGTGATGTAACAATGCATTTTTTCTCTCCTGTCCTTCAACTCTTGTACTGCCACAATAAAATAAATAAAAGGCAGCTTCATTCAACAATATTATCATGAAACATTACATTTGATAGTTTCCAAACCTCAAATTGTTAATAATCTACGTGATATAAATATTTCAAACCTCAAATTGTTAATAACCTAAAGGCTTATTTATTGTAGCACCCCCTGAAACTTGGGTCAAATCTCACTTCACACACCCCCCCCCCCCCCCCCCCCTCCCTCCAAGTTAAACTGGCCCACTTAACCCCCTTGACCGTGGTTTGTGTTCCACTTCCCCCGCCCACCTTTAACACCATCCAAAAGACCGTCAGAAAAGCTGACGTGGTAAGGGCATTATGGTAAAAGTACCCACATTAGCCAATTGTTGACCGTAGTTAGCAGCCTACATGGCATATTGGACCTCACAGGCGTTGAAAATCCTAATTTAAATGACTGAATGGGGTGAAGCGGACCCCAGATAACAATCCTCTCTCTTCTTCTTCGATAATAGGGTTTCTAAACTCAGAAAAATTACTTATCGCTGTTTGAAGGATTTAAGGTTCCCTAGAGAAAAATCTCTCCATTTTTCTTCAATTAAAGAGTGTGAAGATGAGGAAAGAACCTCCACGAGGAGAAGAGGTGGCCGTTGCTGCACTTCATTGCTATAGTGGAAGGCTTGCTCGGCTGCAGACTTCTTAGACAGAGTTCAACCCACTTCGGAGGTTCTTTGAGTATCACGGTTGGTCCGCAATTATGATGATGAGCATCATTCAAATTGGGTTGCTAAGGTAGCATTGATTATACATTGCGAGTCACAATTTGATGAGCTCTCTCTATTTATGTTTTGAGAGAGAATTAGTTGAACAGTTCTCTCATGATATTGATGATCATTGTTCATGGTCCGTATGTGCCGTGATTTATGGACGGTCAGGATCTACAATAAATCGAATGGATACTTGTTGCCATCAAACTCTGCCGTCTTTCTTCCATTTGTAGATAGCACATCATGTCCTTAATTAAAGCACGCGTTGTGTGTATGTTGCATGGTTTGCATGGTTACTGCAAGTTGCATGGTTTCTTTAACATTTAAAAGGATAACATTGAACACAACTAGGGGGATTCTTTGTTTTTATTTATTTATTTAGATTATTCATCATTTGAAGACTTGATAATCATTAAAGAAAAACTCTCTTCTTCTATCTCTGTACACGACCACCTCCCATCCCCACGTCCTCACAGCCATCACCGCCCACCGCCACTGCCCCCAACCCTCCCTCATCCTGACGAAACCCCCTCTCCCTCATCCCAGCCCTTACACCCAAGGTTGTTCAAATAGCCCTCCCTGATAAAGGATTAGAATCAGCCCTTACGCCCAAAATGATCGAACAAAGTTCTGATACAAATTGTTGGAATTTATTAAGTGCTCTGATACAACTATTGGATTGGATTGAGTGTAGGGGTTTAGGATGTGTTTGTTGTAGGTGTACAAGGATAGACCCTCTTGGCATTGCTCGTTCCTTGATGATGATGTAATTGTTTGATAACTTGTGAGAAATTGAAGGGGTAATGTTATTATTATTTCCAGAACAAAAATGTCCAGATTTATAATGTACAAGCTTTATACTAGTATACTTCTATTATTTTATACTAGAAATGGGCATAATATTTTCCACCTCTAAAAATGTCAAAACTAAGTAAGCACCAATATTTTTATAATTATTATGAAGACAAAATTGGGAAAACACAGTTCTGTTTTCTGCTTGAATATTAAGCATTGACTTTGACTTTGTCGTCGTGGACGTACCTGTCCATGTCAATGATGCCATGCTCTAGCTATGAGTATGACCAATCTGGCTTGCCCTGTGGGAAATTTGGGCTTGATGTGGAAGGCTTGTAAAATAATTGATAATTAGACATTAATAATTGATTATTGACTAGTTAATAAAAGTATTTTCTTTTTATTTTTACCAAAAGACAATGCGTTATTATTATTATTATATGTCATTTTGTTTCTGGCTAGAGAGGGAGAGAGAGTCATAAGCACTACTACAAAAAGGCTAATAGGCATCGGGGAAAAACTGATGCCTTTTACTATCACATACCGATGCCTCGTAAGGTGGTGCTAAGAGGGTTGTAAAAGGGATCGAGGAAAACCCGATGTCTTTTACAGAAACAACATCGGTTTCTTCAATCAAAGTTTTGCGTCAACATCGGTTTCTAAAAATGTCAAAACTAAGTAAGCATCAATATTTTTATAATTATTATTAGGTAAGATATATTTCTTGACCGAGTAATGCTAGAAAGTGAAGTATCCCATTAGCTAGTAAAACATATTATTAGTACTAGAATGGTTTGGTATACATAATACATATCTTTGCGGCACGCTAGCTAGTCACTGTTGAAACTTCGAAAAAGTCGTATGTGAAATATATTATGTGCACAAATTTCCCATTGATATAATATTAGGCTTCAATCACTGGCCAACTAGAGTGGCTAAACTATAATTAAAGTGATTCCACGATCAATCACTTCGAATGAAAGTTCTTATCCCATGATCAATTGTTAATAGCCCATTGATTATTATTAATTTTACCCATTGGACATTTTCCATGAGTAAGACTGGTGTAATTGTCAACTCTTTTTGTCTTAGAAATTTTCTCGCACATCTGAAATTCTCAAACTGATGCTTGGATTTCTGGTTGTGTAATTGGGTGCGGGTAGGGATGTACTTGAATTACAAACTTAACAGAGAGCCCCATGAGTCTGTCCCAGTAAATCGATCAATCTTACGAGTGGTTTATGAGTGGTTTGAAATGCCTCTAGACATTATTCATAAAGTCTTGATTGAGGATAGTTGCAATTGGAATCACATATTAAGTTTCCTACTTCTTTCTAGTTTTTAATAAAGTTTTCCTCCTACCATCGAGCTTTACAAAAAAATTAAAACAAGAGAATGTAAACATAACAATACGCAAGAAAATTGAAAACTTTGGAGACGGGGCCTAATATTTATGGTAATATGACCTTAAGTTAACACAAGAACATAGATCAAACAAGAAGCCTAATTCATGGACTTGAGCAACATCCAAGAAATATGGAAGATTACAAACTTGGAAGATGAAGCCTAACTTCTGTGATGTGAAGAACTTATATCGATACTAGAAGTCTAGAACAGAGCCAAAACAAGAGCCCAAATTCATGCTTCTTTTCATGATTAGCTACAAAGGCATAATGGAACTCAAGCAGAAGCATCATTTACTCGTACCAGTACTACCTCACGGAGGGAGTTAGCCTAACGATCGAATTGTCAACCATTAACGCATTGGAATTATCCAATTCAGCTACACGGCTATGATTAGTTCGAGCACATTCTGTTGCCAAACACTCCCTCAAATCCACCACTACTTGGCTCATGCTTGGCCTCTTGATGGCATTTATGGATACACATGCCATTGCTATTTCCACAGCTTTCCAGACGGAGTTGGTATTGAAATTTCCCTCTAACCTAGGATCGACGATGCTTTTAATGTCTCCATTTGCAAGCATGAGACCAACCCATTGACTTATGTGAATTCTCTCATGCGTCCTCGTTAAAACCGGTCTGCTTGTGATAATCTCCAACAACACAACCCCAAAGCTATAAACGTCACTTTTCTCATTTAACCTGTTTGATAGGTAGAACCTGCCAACCAAACCATATATACATGGAACTCATCAGATCACATTTTCTGATGCAAAGGACGTTGCTAAAATGTCCACTTATTTTTCTTTCCTAATTCTTCTTGCTGTTTTAGTTAATTTGTGTTTGCTTCCAAGACTTGTTGTGAATTTAAGTACTACCAGGGAAATTCCCCGACTTGCTGTTTTAGTTAATAATGGGAAAATTATAAGTGTGAAATACTTACTCAGGATCAAGGTAGCCAGGAGTGCCTGCAAGAAGGCTGGATGCATGAGTTCCATCATTAGTAGGGAAATTTCTAGACAGGCCAAAATCAGATATTTTGGCTTGGAAATTTTCATTCAGTAAGATGTTTGTTGATTTCACATCTCTGTGCATTATAGGCGGCTTACAACCACAATGAAGATACTCCAATCCTGCATTTTAAAATTTTTACATTGCTCACATAAAAATTCAAACAATAAAAGAGATTCTTGCTAAAAAAGAGGATCATGAAAATCATTAGTTGCAGACCTTGTGCAGCATCTGTTGCTATTCGAAGTCTATCTTCCCAAGTCAAGATACTTGATCTCCTATCTGCATCCATAAGAAGAACAGGAGTGTAAGTGTTGTTTCTTTCTGTCTTAACTTACAAAGGAGCCCCAATCACATGGTGGTGCAAAAATTAAGTTACAAAGTTCCCGAAAATTTGGAAGTACTACTTGCAGTCAAACCTGAAAGATGGTTCAATAAGTTTCCATTGGCCATATACTCATAGACAAGCCCTACGTTGGTCTCATCGTTGCAATATCCAACAAGGCCTGTCAAGTTTTTATGATGAACTCTCATAAGAAGATTAACCTGCAATTTAAGATGCCACAAATAAACACATGTCAATTCATCACATAAGATTGAGCTCAAGACATTGTGTTAGTTTATTTAATTTGACAAACATGCCTCTGCATGAAATTGTTGGAACCCTTGAACAGATGATGCTGAAAGCATCTTTATAGCCACTTGAGTATGTTCCATGTAGCCATGATAAACGGTTCCAAATCCACCTTTGCCAAGAACCCTCTCAAAGTTGTTGGTCATCTTTAGTATCTCAGAATATGTAAACTGTCGCTTTGTTGATTCTAATGACCCGTATTGAGGGCTTGCTTTTGCATCTATGACATCTCCTAAGAACATGACAAGTTTAATGAGCATGTATCTTATACAACCAAAACCTTCAGTCTTCATATTTATCGCCGAAAGAAATTACTTTAACATATATTGGAAGTCTTACCCTCTTGCCTATTCCTTTTGAGGCTCCACCACCAGATAGCTACTGCAACTAACAAGAGGATGGAAATTGCAGCGGTTGGCACTACTATGGGAATAATGAAATTGTGCTTCTTCTTTAATTTGCAAGAACCATGCCGAGATAGATGTGGATTGTCGCACAAACTGAGATCAAATGGTTGGAAACTGCAGTTAGATTTTGATAAATTCTAATAACTGATTTTATAAAATAAGATGTTATTATAAAACTCTCAATAATCAGATTCTAAGGAAATACCTGATAATTACATAACTTTGGATTCTAAGGATATTTGAAAATTAATAGAAAACACTTATGGTATGTTAATACAAAATTAAAAGGACAAACTACAAAAGAGACCACCCCAATTATAGGGTCATTTTTAAGTTCATACCCATCTTTAGGGACATTTACAAGTACATACTCAAAGTTAGGGAAAACCTACAAATTTTCTCCTCCGTTACACAAACCGTTAATAACTCTGTTAAATGCTGAAGTGTCAACATAGGCCCCATTTTTACTGACATGGAACTCCAGATTGACAAACAAATAATAAAAAAATTCTTTACTTTTTAAAAATTAAAAAGAAAAAGTATATCTCCTTTCCTCCTACCTAGCGCCGCCATCAGCAACCCACCCCTTCCAACCACCATTGAAGCCACCCCGATCCAAACCCCACCCCACTACAGCAACCATACAGCCTGGGGGGTCTTTTCCGTGACTTTGACTATGTACTTGTAAATGTCCCCAAAGGTGGGAATATGAACTTGAAAATGACCCTATAGTTTGGGGGGATCTTTTGTAGTTTGTCCAAATTAAAATACAAAAGACTGAATTTTAGGGTGTGCCAAACACTGAATTTGAAGGGCTTGATTTACTAAGAAAAGCATACCTTAATAATAGAAACCATTATTCTTTCTTTCAATCAGTCCTACCGGAACCGAGCCTGTGAACTTGTTTTTCTCCAAGTTTCTACAAAGATAAAATCTATCACGATGCTTTCTAACAAACTAAGCATTTACAGTACTTTAGACATATAACCAAATAACTTACAGGACAGTCAAATTCTGGAATTTAGACAAAAATTCTGGAATTGGTCCTGTTAAGTTGTTGTTTGATAGATCCCTGAAATCATGAGCAGCTCAATTCATTTGCATTAAACGGAATTGTCTACCTTCTCATTACATTAGCAAATGCAGTAAGACCACTTACAAAGACTGTATCATTGTGAGATTGGATATAGAAGCAGCTATCTCCCCTGTTAAGCCACTCGAGGACAAGTTCCTGATTGTATGTTTTGTAACTTCACTAGTGAACACATGAGGTAGAATTAACTCAAATATCAGAAGTTTGTTTGAAGTCACATATACTTACAAGGATATGATTCTTGGTGACTCAAATTCTTGATGGTTACACTTTACTCCTTGCCAAACGTAATCTTGAGGGGCACATGGATCTCCTTGCCAATTTCTTTTAATATTATAAGTTGACTTGATCGATGCGATTGCGTCAACTAATATTTTCACACGCAAACAGAAGATTTCATCAGAAGAATTCATATGTACACTTCCATACTGGTAAGGTACTAAACGATAGGAAGCCACTTGTGTAAGGAAGAACTAATTAGTTAGTGGTTACCATCTTCTTGGTTTGTTTCTGCTTCTACGAAATGTTTAACCATATAAATCTCGAAAGCATTGAGGATAGGTGGAAGGGTAGAGTTCTTGGCCCTGGTGATTGAGATATTAGCATATTGTCTACCATTGCTCCAAGCGTTAGTGCTGTAAATGGTATTTCTTAAGTATTGAGGAGCAAATGGCCCAAAAGTGCCGGCTCCGTCCCAAAAAACGTATTGCAATCTAGATTGGTTGAGTTGGAGGCTTTCAACTTCTGCAAAGTGCAGGTAACCGTAATATTCAGCATCTTTGTCTGGCAACAAGAAAATAATACTCAAGGAATCACATGGATTTTTTGGCGTGGAAGCAGTGTGCATAACAACAGATGGAAGTTGGTAAGGGTCGCCAGAGTCAGAGTTGATCGTGGATGTGGTGTTTAATTGTGTCCAATCATCAAAGTCATTATAGGCACACCAGATTCGATCAAGGATATCCCGTGGATACCTAATTAAAGCCAACGTTCTATCAGAATATAATCAAAATTTAAAGTTTCAAGGATTGCGCGCGCTCGCGCACACACACATATATATAATTCATTGTTAGGTAGAAGACGACTCACCTGTATTCTGTCCAATTATGTCTTCGGCCCGTGTCATACCGGGAGACAAGTGCCAACGACCCCGTTTTCGTTTGATAAGATGCATTGGGTAAAGGCCTGAGTTCTAGAGCAGATATAAATGGAACCCCGGAGCCTGTGTTCACTAAACAAACATGTATATAGTTTCGGAGTGGGACATATATGAGCTCTTTGTCCATGTCTGCATCGGAGGCATTTTCAAACCTAACCGTATCCCACAAATTAGGTCCAAGGTGCAGTTCAAATTCTTGTTTCTTATCTTGGCCATCATAATTCCCATATAAAAAATTTGCTCGGATCAAATATTTGTTGCCGCGTGTAACATTTATCTTGTAGCAATTCCTGGCTCCTTCGGGGAAGCTCCTAACAGACCCGCATGGGTATTGATAGTTATTCATGTTAGGTAGGGATTTACTTTCACCAGTGTCTATGAAGGTTGCATCGGAAATGTAGTTAATGCCAGTGTCCGGTTCAGAATAACCTGAATCTGTCGGGAGGCCGCAATCTATGCTAATGAACCCTGAGATATATAAACACGTATACGTAAAAAAGAGAGGTATATATCTTAGCTATATAGTGCTTCCAAAATTAAAGATTTATTTTTTCTTGCTGCTGATATATTTACCTGATTGATCATCTCGGGAATGAACAAGCAGCATCAGATTAAGAGTGAAACCTGCAAGCAGAAAGAGGAGTTGCTTGGATGTCCACGACATGACTACAAGGGAAGCAAAGACACAAATTTAAGTAAGTATTTTGTGTTGAATTAATGGATATCATTTTATATAGACAAGTAGTTAACATTGCTCTAGTGGATCATGTTGTTACAAGGGATGTGGCTTAACTTAATTCTAAGTCAAGCCTACACTTTTTTCTTCCGTAATCAGGGAACCCATTCCCCAAGGTAGGGATGGGGAATTCCCAATATGAATATTGCGGGTATGAAGGCGGGAATGGGGGAAAAAAGCTTAACGGGTATAGAGATGAGAATGACATACCTACCTCCAATTCGACCCATTGCCATCCCCACAAGTAAGGCTTCTTTAATAGAAAGTTACATTAGAGATGACTAATTTGCTAAGACATTAATTGTGTGGAAATTCCGGCTTGATTGGGGAGACCGTGTGGGATCTAGGAAAGACTTATAAAACATTAACCCATTCACCACTTCCACCGAAGCTACAGCCAAGTCGTGGTTGGTCCACAATTATATACAAAAGGATGCATGATTCAATTGGGTTGCGATCAGAAAGATATACGAGTACGTTGAAACATTAAATTTTTTTTTTCTCACCATATCAATAATTGATATGGTACCGGCAATTTTCTATTAAACAATTAGATATCCCATCAATAATTCACCCCTTTTACAAAAAGCTACTGCCAAGTCAAGTCGGGGGTGGTCCACAATTAGATAAAAAAGATGCATGGGAGAGCTGGTAAGGTGGGAGAAAAACTTGGTTGCAATGGGAATATCTTTTTTGACATGCGAGAACAAGTTGTGTTGAGGGGATTTAGGGCTCCATCATACCAGGCCGTCTTTATGGTGGTCAATTTGAAACATTTCACTTTTGCAGTATGCAAACACCATTTGATTTTTAAGAGATGGTAGCCATAGCAACATAGGAGTCTGGGAAGTGTAACACCCCGACTCCAACTTAATTCATATTTTAATTTATTTAAGTGAAATTACGAATTTATCTTTGGGGTAAGGGTATTTTGGTCATTTTCTTCTTCGGAAAGAGTTTGGGGCAATGACTGGTATTTTCGGGTAGGTTGTATTGAGATGAATCCGTAGACGTGCAGTAGGCTTGAATAGGAGTTGTAATGAAGATTTGGGGATCAAAATAAGTTCGGTGGCAAAACCGTAATTATTTCGAAAAGGGTTAGAGTAAAAATCTGTTTTTTTTTCACTTTCTACCCTACTCTTGTTGAAATAGCAGACTATTATCTACTTTAGATTTGGATTTTAGAATAGGGAGCTCAGGAGTAGAGAAGAAATGAAGAACACAGAGATTTCAGATGAGCAGATGAAAAATGATAGAAAAAACGTGAGTCTGTAATCTCACTTTTTAATTCCACACTCAAACACGCACACTACATGCTTGATATAGAAACCGTTAGGAATAAGAATATTCCTCTCTTACATCAGCTCAATCTAACCATTCAAACCTCTATCCTATGAGATAAGAGACACATGGCAAATACAAACACTCATACCTCAGCTTAAGATCCTAGCCATCCATTGAACTATGATTCAATGGTTCACATTTAAACACTCAGCTAGCATACTTACAGAACCTAAACAGAACATTTCAGCTAATTACACTTATATTTCAACAACTCTCTCTCTCTCTCTCTCTCGATCTCTCGAGTCACCATTTGCGCGAAAACCCCCCCTGCTACTGTTCACCAAACCAGAAACCACCACCCCGCCACTATTTCCGGCCATCCCGATCGACTCCTCTAGAAGCCCCGAACCCGAACCACCCAATTTCCCCGTCGGAAAACTTGAGAATCGTCGACAGTATCGACTGGTTCAAACCAGATTCTTCCCGACGTTGCGCCGCCCTCTCCGTCGTCCAATCCAGGTGATAAAGGTGGGGTTTCTTCCTCTTTTTATTTGTTTTAGCTGTTTATGGGGTAGGATTGGAACGATTTTGAAGTTTGGAAGTTAGATTTCGACCTAGGTTTTGGCCGGATTTGGCCAGATTTCAAAGTGAAATTCCGGCCAGATGTTGTACGAATTGGACTTCCTGGTAGTTGAAGGAAGTGATCCTTGCCTCGAGTAGTATCTAGGATAGAAAGGGTGAGCTGTGGTGTGGAGTTTTTCCGTCGCCGGAATTTACTCTACACACCCACGCGCTGCCGGCGCGTGGGCAAGGGTGGTGAAGCTGCAATACGTCCTGATGAGATCAGATCCTCAGGTTGTCACGAGTGCGTAGGATTTCACGGATCTCAATTCGGATGTTGTTTGACTATCGAACGGATTTCGCATATTGTGCGTTATCCAAGTTCGATAAGTTCTGACCGTTGGATCGTTTTCAAATTAAATTATGTTGATCTAGGTACTCTTAGAATGGTGTAGGATTTCGCGGATTATGAATCGGAACCCCAGATGTTCCGATTCAATAATTCAAAGTTCATGGGTTAGCGATAACCGTCCATTTGTGAGCGATTTCTAAACCTGTAACCGGACCTTAGGATATCTCGTTCTATGTACACACATTGGGAACTTGGGGATTTAAGTATTCAATTTGTGATTTCCGTTTCGAAGTGTTTTTGTTTTAACTAAGGGTTCGTACCTCGAAATAGGTGCCCCGGTTGATCGTACTCAGCAGGCAGGACCTTCTCAGGGTCGAGCAGCTTGGAATTACTTGTGAGTGGACTTTATTTTCAATCATACGCATGGTTTTATTGATGAAAGATTTATGCATATGTTTTAAATGGTAATTGTGATATAATATATATTTGGTTGTTGAATTTGATGTTCGTATAGCGCTTTGGCAATATATTGTGGGTTTGACATATTGAGTATTGAGAGTATGTTTGTATGGATTTTGGGAAATACTGTCTATATGGTATATATAGTTTTTGTGTGGGATATGTGAGTTGTTGATGTGAGATTGTGGAAGGATTTGAGTATGAAGGGGTGTTGAGAGAAAATGTATGATTACACTAGGTCAGTACCATCCCCTTGTTACTAGGCTTCCCACACGTGGCATTGGTAGTTCCAGCGTGTGGGAAGAACATGTGATTATTGGTCTCATACGTGGCGTTGGTAGTTCCGGCGTGTGAGACACTTCCTATACGTGGCGTTAGTAGTTCCAGCATATGGGAAGAGTATGTATATTGCTTGGAATCATCACACATTGCGTTGGTAGTTCCAGTGTGGGATGATGTAGTATGTGCGCATAGGACTTGGTACTTGGTTTGTGAGCTACACATGGCGTTGGTAGTTCTGGCGTGTGAGCTATGGAGTTTCGTCCCCCGGTTGGACCGCTCATCCCTAGAGTCAGGACAGCACTTGAAAATCCTGCGGGCTAGCCAAACAATCTCCCGGTTGGATTGTTTCCCCGGTACATAAGGAGTGAGAGAAGTATATGTTATATTTATATACATATATGTAGTGGGTTGGCAAGAGCATTATAATTTTGGGGATAAGGTTTATGGATTGAGTATTTGGTTTTAACAGATTTCAGGATTTAATGTTTTGAGTATTTAATTATGAAGTATGAAATTGCATTGTCTTGAGCATTATTTTTACACAGTGGGGTTATTATGTTGTTTTAAATGCAAACTTTGTTTTTGTCCACTCACATGTTTTCTGTTTTGCGCCCCCCAGACAGTAGTCGCTTCAGGAAGTGGGCAAGTGGTGTACGAGGCTCGAACTTTGAACTTCCCTAGTTAGGATATGAATAATTTCTTTCTACTCAACTGTTGTTGTAAACTAAATCTGTTAAATGCTCTGTTATTGCCCATGTTAGGCTTTTACTTGAGGCCGGAGTCCATTTAGTATGTATGGTTGTGATGTTGTAAGCATGCTGCCGGTTGGGATTATTATTGTATATTATGCAGGTTGAATTTTTGTTGGGTTTGTGCAATTTACAGGGGAGACTGCCAAATTTTTGGTAGAATGTCTTGGTTTTTAGTAAGTGGGCCTGACATCAGGGTGATGTCGGTAAAAAGACGGGATTCGCTCCGGTTTCCGGGAATAAAAAGATGGGATTTGCTCCGGTTTCTGGGAAATTCTGGGGCGGGTCCTGTCAGGAAGAGGGTTTGTGATAGTAGAGATGCGAGAGGGTGGAAGGGGTGATACGATACAAATCATCTGATTTTTTAAGATACTATACCTATGCTAATGTGGATTAATTAATATCATTAAATTAATCAAATGGTCAAGATTTTAGTAAATGCACACAAATTCACTGATGCTAAATGCAGAGGCTTGGGATCCGAAAAAAGAGTACTCCAAATCCAAGTCCAACAAGACTATTTATTTTTGTTAATCATGAATTTTATTATCTTTTTAAACTGAAATATATATATAACAATTTCACTTTAGTTTCCATTCAATTGGGCTTGAAAGGTTATAAGATAGGAGATAGAATAGAGAGCCACTTTCACTTTGCAAATGTAGCCAGTCAAAACGTGATTTTGTAAAACAGAGACGATGATTTTGATTTTCCCCATTTACAGACTTTGACCCATTGATCACTGGTATAGCGCAGCGAGAAGCAAGTCAAGGTCTATGTTGGCCTAGAATCAGAAAAATGTTGCATGTGCATGATTTAATTGAGTAGAAAATATACGTTGGTTTAGGGGAGAACAGGTAAGGTGAACTTGTAAAACAAGGCATACAAGAAGACATTGAAGAGTTAGGTATGAAAATATATATGCTATATGCTAAGCTCAATAGGAAAGGTATCCTCAAAAGAAAAAGAAAAGCACTTATCAACTATATGCTAAGTTCAAGTAGCATGGATGACGTGAGTAAGAAATCCTAATTTTCAAACTGTGATAATTGTAGTATGTATTACTCTGATGTGAGCGTTACACATCATGACTTATATCACATCAACTACACTAACAATCCAATCCAATCCTAAGAACCAAAAAATTAATATGTTAAATGTTTTATCATTTTGTCTTTTGTGGTTGAGGAATTTCGCATTTGAACCAAAACTTTTTACTGATACTAGGTATTGATCATAACACATATCAGAGGTGTTGGAATATGGATTTTAACCTATGCACACTATCACACACTTAGCTCCACGTCACCCAATATATGTTGCCTATGTGTTAGGCTTGAAAATTCGCCACACATGCAGGGGTGTGTGAGAATGTGAAAGTGAAATGTCCCATATTGGAAAGTTGAGAAACCTAGCAAGGGCTTATAAGGAGTTGGGCTACTACCCCCATTACCAATTGGTTTTGGAGTGGAACCTCAACTTCCTTCATCTTAGCTTTATTTAATTATATTAATAATTATTTATGTTTTAATGATTCTTTATTTAATGAATAATTGGTATTTAAGTATTTTAATTAATTTCATAAATTACTTAATAAATACTAATTAATTATATTTACTTATTGTAGTTGGTAACTAACAGGTTTTATGGTTTATTTTTGTGATCACATAATATTTCTGCCGACGATTACGAAGGTCCGATGGCAAACCTTCAAATTATTTGTTGGTTAGTTAGCTCATGCCTTTCATCAAATGTCCCAATATAATTGAGAATGAATAAATCAAAATCCTTCACATGCAGCCAGCCTCCTCTGTCAAGAAGATCCGTTTATGTGACTATGAAATAGTTGCGATCCATAGATATTATGGTATCTATTACAAAGAGGAAAATGCAATGCATGGTACTACCTAACAGAGGGATGCAGCATAGCAATGGAATTGTTAGGCATTATCCCAATGGAATTTGTTGATTCGGTTTGATGGCTCTGCTTTGTTCTTGCCAGTTCCGTTGCCAAACACTCCTTCAGTTCCACCACTACCTGGCTCATGATCGGCCTTTCGATGGAATCTTTAGATACACATGCCATTGCTATTGCAACAGCTTTCCAGACAGAGTTAGTATTGAAATTTCCTCCTAGCCTGGGATCAAGAATGCTATAAATGTCTCCATTTGAAAGCATGAAGCCAACCCATTCACTGATGTAAATCTTCTCATGTGTTTTCGAAAAAACAGGACGACATGTGATAATCTCCAACAGTACAATCCCAAAGCTATAAACATCACTTTTCTCATTTAACCTGTTTGACGCGTAGTAACTGCAGCAAGAAAGCCATGTAAAATTCCATTTCAATAAAAATATTTTTCTAGAGCATCAATATCTTTTTGAAGCTTCCTTTCTCCATTGTCCTTGTTTAACTGATATAATTTGATAATAGTGACCCATTAATGATTTGCATATTAAAGGTGATGGCTAAACTAAAATCCAGAAATACTTACTCAGGGTCAAGGTACCCAGGAGTTCCAGCAACAACTGTTGATATATAAGTCCCAGTATCGGTAGGGAAGATTCTGGATAGGCCAAAATCGGATAGTTTGGCTTGGAAGTTTTCATTCAGCAAGATGTTTGTTGATTTTACATCCCTGTGGATTATATGTGGCTTACAACCGTAGTGCAGATACTCCAGTCCTTAATTTCAAAATTAGTACACAAAACTTATCAAAAAAGAAGAAGAAAGCAGATGCGAGCTACAAAAGGATTATGAAAATCATCAAGTTTCTGACCTTGTGCGGTGTCTACTGCTATTCTAAGTCTATCTTCCCAACTCAAGATATTTCTATCTGCAAACCATAAAGAACGGAAGAGCCAATAAGTCTTAATTTACAAAGGCAATCATGTGGTGATGCAAGAAACTAAAAGCCTCTCAAAACGCTAAGTAATTGATTGTCCCAAAAGTTTGAAAGTACAAAAAACTTAATGATGAGTTTTGCTATTGAATAATTTCAATGAAAGCTAAACCTGAAAGGCACTCTTGTAAGTTTCCATTGGCCATGTACTCGTAGACCAGCCCAATTTTTGTTTCATCTTCGCAATACCCAACAAGGCTAGTCAAGTTTCTATGATGAACTCTCGTCAGAAGATTAACCTGCAATTAATCAAGAGGCCACGAAAACTAAATGTAATTAGTAAAAAAGAATTGGTCTCAAAAACTTGGTATTAGTTCATTTGTTTGACAAACATGCCTCTGAATGAAATTGTTGAAGCCCTTGGACCGATGATGGCGAAAGCATCTTAACAGCTACTTGAGTATCGCCTATGTAGCCATGATAAACTGTTCCAAATCCACCTCTTCCAAGAACCCTTTCAAAGTTGTTTGTGATCTGTAGTATCTCAGAGCATGTAAGTTGTCGCTTTGTGGACTCTAGTTGAATGGTCGGTTGTGCTTCTGAGACATTATCTCCTAAGATCATTACAAGTTTAATGAGAATTTTATACAATGCAAAACCTGCAGTCTTCAATATTTAAAACATGAAAAGAGAAAAGACATTCACTTATATTTTGGAAGTCTTACCCTGTTTTGATTTCCTTCTAACCACCAGATAGCTATTGCACTTAGTAAGAGGGCTGAAACTCCAACGACTGAAACAACTACCGGAATAAGGAAACCATGCTTCTTCTTCTTTTTCTTCTTGTTGTTGTTGCAATAAACATTTCCGGAGACATTTGGACTTTCGCACAAACTGACATCAAAATGATTGTTCGATTTTGATCAATTATAGTAACCAATAAGTTCCCGAGTAATATTAGGAACAGATGTTCTGGTTCCCAACAATCAAGTTTGTACGCAATACCTGATCATTTTATATCAACAATGAAAGACATTTGAAAATAAACAGAAAAAATGGCGGATTATATGCTAAGTTGTAAATACATTCATGCATACATATGGGTTGAGTTGTTCACCTTAACGATAGCAAACCATCATTCCATCTTTGAATGAGTCCTGCCGGAACTAGCCCTGTGAGTTGGTTTTGTTCTAAGTTTCTGCAAAGGTGAATTTAGCACTATATATCATGCGAGATGCTTCTGACTATAAAATTTGTAGTTTAGATGCCATACAGATTAAACCAAATAAATTCTGCAATTGAGACAAGAAATCTGGAACTGGTCCTGTTAACTTGTTGTTTGATAAATCCCTGCAAAAAAATACATATTATGTACCTTGTCCATGGTTTAATCCACAATTTATGTGACAAAAACATACTTACAAAGTCTGTATCATTGCGAGATTGGATATAGAAGGATCTATCTCCCTTGTTAATCCACTTGAGGACAAGTTCCTGATTGAATTGCATATTCGTCCATAACTTTATTAACCACTAAAACAAGTACTATACTAAAATAATCAAAATTATGAAGATACTTACAAGGATATGATTCTTGCAGACGCATTTGTAGGATAGATACACATGAGGTCGTCCCACGAGTAAACTTGAGGGGAGCTCTTGCCAGTTGATCTTTTTAATTTGATAAGCCAACTTGATGTTTGTGATTGCATCAACTAAAAATTTCAAGATTCAATAAACCAAAAATAAATGATCAAATCCAGTTATTCATGTACGCACACATGCCAATAACCTTCCCATAATTACTCTAGGAACAAAAGGGTGAGGAAGAATCAATACTTACAATCTGCTTGGCTTGTTTCCTGTTCTAACAATTGGTTCACTGAATAAACCTCGTGCGCATTCAGAATGGGTGGAAGCTAAGAAGCATGGATACGCCAATTTAGTGGCGTATCCCGTATCGGATACTCGTTTGGATACGATACGCTTCGGATACGGTCCGATACGCATTGGATACGTATCGCAGTCAACGGATACGTCAGTTGACTAACGGATACGAGTATCCGACATTCCAGACACGAGTATCTGACTTTTCGGATACGAACCTCCGGGCGAAGTTTGCCGTTGAGGAGCCCCTGGGTGCTGCGTGTGAAGAGGAAGGGAGGGGGAAGAAGAAGAAGAAGATGTCAGACTGGAGGGAGGTAGAGAGGGAGGGAGAGAGAGAGAGAAGAAGATGTCAGACTGCAGGGGGAGAGAGACAGAGAGACAGAGAGGGAGAGAAGAAGAAGATGTCGGACTGATCTCAAGTGACGACGTCGTTTGCTAAAACAGGATTTGTAATAGATATATGTATATATATATTTTTTCATAGATCTGTTTATGGGTTTGGGTCTTAAACAAATGGGCTTTGGGTAATGATATATTTGGGTGAAAAAAGCTATAGATGCCTAAAAATATAAAGAATCAGAAAAGAAAGCCCAAAATGCTACACTATATTTATAATTTATAATTTATAATCTATTTAAAATATATTTTAGGTTATATATATTTATTAATATATATTTATAATAGCCGTATCCATGACGTATCGTATCCTAATTTTTGAAAATTTGCCGTATCCCCGTGTCGTGTCGTGTCGTATCACCGTATCCGTATCCGTGTCCGTGCTTCTTAGGGTGGAAGGGTAGATTTTTCAGTCTTCAAGATTGAAAAAGAAAAAATTGTCCTAAAAACCCAGTTGGCCGAACTCTTCCGTAAATAGTGGTCGTGTTTAAATACGCAGGAGCCATTGGCCCATAAAAGACCTTCCCATCGCGAGTGATGTTGAACTTTCTGGACTGGTTGGGTTGGAGCTGCAAAACTTCTGCAAAGTGCATGTAAATATAATATTCCGTACTGTTATCGTTAGAAAACCAGTAAAAATCCAAGGGCTCGCTTGCATTTTTGGGCGTGGCAGCAGTGCTCATGACAAGAGGTGGTGTTTCGAGAGAATTTTGATTGGAGTCTGTAAACAGATTGGGTGAGGTACTTAGTTCTGCCCAATCACCAAGGTAATCAGCCTTCCAGATGCGATCATGAATATCATTTGGATACCTAAATTAATATGTATACAATTAGCTCACATAATCTTGGCATATAGAAAATCCAACCATCCTACTTTAGGTGTGCGATTTTTTTTTAATATTTTATTTTATTATTATTATTATTTTATATAAATTGACTGAAATGTCAAGAGGCTAGTTCTTTTTCCTTTTTTTATTTTTGGAAATACAAGCGATTAACTACAAGGGATATGGGGTTTTTAACATGCATGCACACTATCAATGTGTCATAGGAATCAAACCCGAGACCATTGATCTGCAAATCCAGGGCCCTATGACACTAAGAAAATTCTCAATATATATATGTATTATTTGTCCTCAGTTGCAAAAATATTAGATGACTCACCTGATATCATCTGCTGTAAAATTAACCGGGCCGGTGTTATACCGCGAGAAAAGTCCCAAAAAGGAACCCGTTTGTGTAACATAAGATTTGGCAGGTAAAGGTCTGAGTTCTATTGTGGATATAAATGGAACCCCTTTGCTTGTGTTGACCAGACAAAGCTGTATATAATTTTTCACAGGGACATATATCATCTCCTTGGTTGTGTCAGCCCACGAAAACGCGAAATTCACTGTGTCCCACAAATTAGGTCCAAGATGAAGTTGGAATTCTGGCAACTTATTTTTGGCATCATAATTCCCATAATAGAAGCCCGCTGGAATCAAGTATTCAGTCCCAAATGTGACGTTTATGTTGTAGCAGTTCCTAATTCCTAGAGGGAAGGTCCTCAGATACCGAAAGGGCTGATAGTTTAGGGTTAGCAAATCATCAGATTGTATGAACTTAGTTTCACCAGTGTCTATGAAAGTAGCATCTGAAACAAAGGTAATGCCTGTTTCTTGCTCACTGTATGCAGAGGTTTCCGGTAGGCCGCAGTCTATGCTGATGAAGCCTGAGATAAAGCTAACATATGTAAGTAGACAGAAGATTTGTCTACCTAGCTATAAAAAAATGCAAATTGACCAAGGGTAGTTAGAATTTTAACCTCAGATAAGATTGTTTTCTTTTTTATTGAAACCATGTTAAGTCAATTAATACATGCGTTTCATTTTGATCATTCAATTTGTTTTTTGGTTTCTACTGTCCTCTAATCTCTCGCGGGTGTTAATTAATTTCGTCATTCCATAGCATTTCGTCAATCTGGCTGTTAATTAATGGGTAAAATTTCATCTTTTTTTATATTCAATTTTCCTCTTCTTTTTACCTGATGTGGAGTGGAGAAATATTTGATTTACCATATATATCAGAAAATGTTTGATTTACCCCTAACATTAACGAAAGTAAACAGAATTGACGAAAGAACGAAATTGCCACAAATGAAAGCATAAGGACTACAGAAACCACAAAAAATGAAATGGAGGACCTAAATGAAATTCGGGACCATTGCAGTTAAAACCCCATAAAAAAATACTGTACATAATCAAAGTTCAATCTAACATCCAACTTTAAAGAAAAATAAAATAATCTAAGTTCTTTATAAAAATTAAATATTATTTTCTTACTAGAGATTGGATATGTTCATACCTTTTTTAGTCTGGGCATGAACTGGGAGCGCTAGAAGATGAAAACCACCTAGCAGTGCAATGAGGAATTGCCTGAATATCAGCCCCATCCTGTATATACTTGTGAAACATGACACAATTGTTTTCAAAGAATACCATTACATATATAAGCATCTATGTTGCACCCAGGTAGATGACTGCCGTTCCTAAGAGTTGTTTGACTTCAAAAGTTTAGCAGACGTGGGAACACCTTCTGTAGCCTCTAATTCTAAAATTTAAGGCTTAATTTGGACGACAGATGCCGTATAAATTTTTAAAGAACTTGTTCATGCAATATATTCCAAAAAATTCAGGACAATAAATACTCACATTCATACATTCTTATTTATTATTAATTAGTTCTTAGTCCAGCAGTGTTCTTTATTTTCATCATTGAAAAATGTTTTAAATTCAAAGACTGATACAAAAAGAATAATACATTTTTAAAAAAAAATTTAACTAGCTTCTTCGCACGCGTTTTCGCGCTTGAGAGAGACTTTTTTAAAAAAGTTTTAAATTTATTTTAGAATTAAAAAATATAATGAGTAGTTATGTTCTATAAAAATAGGATCAATTATCTGATTTTTCTTTTAATTTTAATTTTTTTTAATATGAAAAAGTGTGAATTTATCATATTATCCTCATTTAATTAATAATTTCAATTCTTAATGCTTGCATTAACCAAGAGCATTTTCTGGTATGTTGAATGTTTTACTATTCTCTGCCTTTTGCTTTATATATATAGATAAAGACGGTCGGTTATTTGACAAAACCCAATATAGTTGACTTTAATATTCAACTGATGTATAAAAAATTAATAACATAAAAACATAAGATAACACACAATCATTGGCAAACTAATCACTCACAACTCATAATCGTTGGAAACTTGATATTTAACTACATCAACGATTCCTTTGTTATTGACTTAACCAAATCAAAATTTCCACACCCCATTATAAAACAGAACTTATGTAACATCCTACTTCGACCAACGGAGGGGGGGTAATGTACCTTATATGTACATGCCCGCCTCCATATAGCACGATGCCTTTTGGGTGCTCACTGGCTTCGGAGTTATGGGAATGTAACTCCATACTAGGTTTTATAACTTAACACTAACCTTGATCTAACATTTTGGCTGTATAAGATATTATTCTCTATGCAACGCTTCAGTGCTAATTCTCTAAATGGGGGTGAGAGTTGTGTGTTAGCGTATCTGTTGCTAGAGAAGGGACCTCTATATATATGCATCACTTGAAAGCCTTGCCCATCAAGGAGCTGTCAAGTGTTCCTAGTTGCATTAGGATTAGGTTGTTCAATCCATATAGGATAGGAATTTCATTATCTCTTGTAATTCAAATAGAATAGCTTTTATACAAGAGTAATCTGATAAGTCTCGAGTAAGTTTCTGAACACGCAAACATCTTAGAATCCTTACATGATTAGAAGACCACAATTAAGTGGTTAAGACAATGATTTGTCTTACATTCTCTCACTTGGTCGATTAATCATAAGAGTGTTTGCATAGATCACTTTAAGGCCTTGTGAAACATGACTTAAAGCAATTCCCACTAAGCAATTGTCAACTATAAAGTATGAAGAGGGATTATCAAGACTTATGTGAATATCTTGTACTTCAAGGTCTTTACAACCACACTCATCACCCTTTATAATCACATAAGCTTAGATCAAGATTAAACTGCAGAACAACATGATGCATTGTAAAAGCTAAAATATCACCATGTTTGTTCAATGTCCCAAATTTTGACTACCAAGGTCTTATTAATTTCACTGTCATGAATACATTGCCATGCGCAGCTTCTTTAAGCTAGCAGTGCTGCTAAATGCTATTCATGTGTTTTCAAAATGTAACAATATAATTTTAAGATAAAATTAACTTTAATTTGAACCAAAACTGTATCAACATCCATCGAAACTATAGAAAACAACAACTGTTTAAAACTTTAAACAAAACAAGCTCCCACTGATTTAGGCATCCATGTCAGCTGTCAATCCCATACTTGAAACATGTCTATGGAAAACGGCATTTGGTACTCCTTTAGTGAGTGGATCTGCAATCATTTGATCTGTTCCTATATGATCTATGGTGGTGTATCCTTGATTGATCTTTTCCTTGACAATTATGAATTTTACATCCAGCAGCCTTGAACCTCTTGTTCTTTTGTTTCCTTAGCAAAAGTCATTGCTGCACTGTTGTCATTCCATAGCTGAATAGGCCTGTGAATCGATTCCACCACACTTAAACTAATAATAAAGTTCCTCAACCACATAGCCTGTGAAGTGGCTTCATAGCATGCTAGAAATTCAGCAAGCATTGTGGAACCTATTGTGAGAGGCTGCTGTATGCTTCTCCATGAAACTGCAGCTCCTCGAAACATAAACACAAAACCAGATGTGGATTTTAATGTGTCTTGACAACCTGCAAAATATGCATCTGCAAATCCTTGTAATTCCAAATTTTCACTTCTTTTGAACACCAGCTTGTAGTCTTTTGTTCTCTGCAGGTATCTCATGACTTTCTTCCCTGCAACCCAATGTGCTTGCCCAGGGTTAGACTGAAACCTCCCTAACATGCTGACTGCATAAGCTAGATCAGGTCTTGTACATACCTGCGCATACATCAGACTCCCTACTAGTAAAGCATAAGGTTTGTCAGCCATTTCAAGCTTTTCTTGTTCAGTTTTAGGTGCTTGTTCAGTGCTTAATTTGTCACCTTTTGCAATGGGAACATCACTGCATGCGCAGTCCTGCATATTGAATCTTTTGAGCACCTTCTCTATATAAAACCTCTGTGATAGTCCAAGTAAATCTTTCTCTTGATTTCTGCTTATGTCTATCCCCAAAACAGAGCTTGCTTCTGCCATATCAGTCATATCAAAATGTTTGAATAAAAAACTCTTGCAATCATGCAGCATAGTTTGATTTGTGCAAGCCAATAATATGTCATCCACATAAAGAACTAGAATAATGAAATGTCTCCCACTGATCTTCATGTATATGCACTCATACAATGCATTTTCTATGAATCCATATGCTTTTACAACCTTATTAAAGAAGTAGGCCAAAAAACAAAAGTAAAGAAATATTTTTATATTTTTTAAAATTAAATTTTTTTAAAATAAATAAATAAACACGTCTCCCGACGATATTTGGTCGGCATAGGTATTAGACTTCTCCCGACAAAAAAACCTTTGCAGACAAAGTTTCGTCAGGACAAGTCTAATCTGTCAAATCTTTGTAGGCATAGAACTGTGCCGACGAAATTTCGTCGAGAGAGGTCTTCTTAAAAAAAATAAATATAAACTTACTTTAATTAATTTTTTAAATTTTATTTTTAGTAATTAAATAATATATTTGCCTTATTTAATTAGTTAAATTAGTAATTACATTTTAATTATTATTTAATTAGTATTAGATTTTTTAATTAACTTCATGAATTATATTACTTAATAAATAGTAATTCATTTTTTCTTTTTTCCTTTAATATTCGCTTAGTAAAACAATACTACTAATCAAAGTATTATGCTACTTTACGGGTATAGCCGCATAGCTGGACTTATAAAATATTCTGTTTTTTGGAGTTTCACTGCGTGGCTATACTTTGAAGATATTCTATTATATACATTATTTTTAAAAAGGAAACACGCCTGTCGCCTAGCGCCTAGAGCCTATTTTGCCACTTGTCAAAAATCATATAGCCGAAAGGCTATACTAATTTTTTTAATAATAAAAACCGTAGGAGCTATACTCTGTTTATTATTAACAAAAACCCGAGTTGGAAAAGGTTTGATGACGGTCTGGGGGGCAACCAATCCTTATGCTAGAGATTTTCCTGTTGACATGTGAAAACCGATAACTCGGAACAGAAAATTGCAGACAATGATATACTAAAAAAAAACATACATCAAGTACTAGAGATATATGGAATGTGGTCTAAATTTGATATTGGAATGTACTTGTAATTCTCTTTTGTGTAGTTCATACCGAGTGTAGGAATTTATTATTATCTTGTCAACTTTATGATTCCTTATGGAAACTGGCGAGTGAAAAGATGTGCAATGTTAAAGTGCCACTCTAGATTGCTGTTTTTTTTTTTTTTTTTTGTTGTTGTTTGTTAACAAATGCGTCTGGGGGTCATCAATTTGGATTGCTACATTTTGTTTAGTTTATCGTACTCAAATATATTCTGGGTTGACTTTCTAGGGCAGGTTTTCCATTTCCTTTATACTTATGCCGTTATGGTAGATATAAGCTCCTTCACTATTGATGAGTTTGCCCAAGCATTTCAAGACAAGGTTATATCTTATCTTTGATCCAACATCAGATTTATTGTGTCTTACACTTGCTCAACATCTTCGTTTGGTAAAATGCCTTTTAGGATTCCTTGCTACTTGGAAAAATTCTCGTGGCCCTTCTGAAGCTTCTTCTATCTAATGTTGAAGGCGAGCTTGGCTGTGGATCCATATCCCTCATTTGAGCAAATCATGCAATTTTCTTGCGTTTACTCACTCGGTGAGTTATGAACAAACAATATATAATCGTGCAGATCACAGACATTTACAGTTCATTTCACTTAAGAACAAAGAGACTGCAATCTATAAGACTGTTGACATGTTTTGTTACAGGGAAGTTAAATACCACTGAAAGTAGCAATAAGATATCAGATAAATTTAAAGAATATAGGACATAGGATATCAGCTAATAATCAAAAGTTTGGTGTGACTGCAAAAAAGGTGTCCATTCCAGAATGTCCGATACATACGCTTAGGCAACAAGAAATTTTCTGAACAAAATCATAATCAGACTATTAGTAGTCCATCCATATGCACTTTTACAAGATCCACTTGCTTTTTGTGGTATAGTTGATTAGAGATACTTATTGTTGTCAAACATTGGAGACTTTTTTGCTCATCTCTTAAATCAATTGTTATTTTCATATTTTTATGAAAAAATTGAATGGAAGTACTCAATAACTAAGCATCTTTATCAAATGATTTGGCAGATTGAAAATCAAGAACCCACTCAGGAATTCTGGAAGAGATCGCTAAACCCTTTAACATGGACAGAAATACTGCGTCAAGTACTGGTTGCCGCTGGTTTTGGTTCAAAGCAAGGTGCAAGGCAAAGGGATGCCCTTAGCAAGGTCTTCTAATTTAACTCCCATAGTTGCAATTGATTTTACTAAGATCCGTTTCCTCTCTAGTAAATGTATTTAATTATCAACACATCTGTATTCTGCAAGTTAAGTGCTATAGATGCTCAATAATATGTGTTCATCACCCAAAACCATGAACATTCAAAGCCTTATTGGCAATAGACATTTAAGATCTGTCATTACCCCGAATAATCTGTTTCCACCTTGAGGCAGAGCCGGAGTTGGATAGATTCATTTTCCATACTTAAGGACCAAAATCAGAAATTTTAGGTTTTACATATAACATGTAGTGATTGAATGTTAGAGGAAATAGTTTCTTCTGTTTTGTTTGTTGCCATTATCGTGCATTCCTAAATAACATCTGTTGAGCATATGTTTATTTGTCTCCGCTTGTCTCTGGAATCATTTGCTTTCATCATCCACATATCGTGTGCGTATTAATTATTCTGAAAAGAAAGTGGAGGAAGCCCAATCAGATACTGAAGACTCTTCTGGAGCAGTTGATGATGACCTCGGTGACAGTGGTACATGTAGCAGTGATGCTGATTCTAGGTGCAATTCAGGAAATTCCAGAATTAAAAAGCTGACTTATATGAACCATGGCAAAATTAAAGATAACATGGTGCTAGTATAACACCAAAATTGATGAGAGCCATCCAGGAGAAGTATGGTTGTTAGGACTGATGGAAGGTGAATATTCATTTAAGCATTGGAGAAAAGTTGAGCGCAATAGTGGCACCAATTGATCTTCTTAATGCAGGTTCTAGTTTCAGAATGGATACAAAGCGAGGCAAACATATATGTGCACCCCCACCGTGCGTGCACCCTGCAAACCAACAATAAAAAAGTGGAAAACGAGGATCAAACTCAAGACCATTTACAAAGAAGGATCTAAGACCATGTTAGCCAACAACATGAACTCCAAAGGCTTAACAAATGAGACAATAATGCATAGCAACTTATTACAATCATGGTGTATGATTGAGAATCTATATTTTACAGTCTGAAATTTTTGCTGGTAATCGGCAACAAAGTTTCTACAATTAAAGAACTTTCCAGTAGGTTTCAATTGAGGATAACGAAAATGCAGGACATCTTGGATAAGCTATTTTTGGAGCACTGCAAGAACAAACATTTTGGGAAAGCATTTGAGACTGTTGTCAAACCTGGAAACAAGAGTGACGCAGAAGATGGTGGTGGTAAAGCCGAGGAAAATAGCACATCCAGAGATGTCTAATTCAGTTTCTCCGGAAGCTGCTGATGCTCTGCTTCTCGAGTCCAAAGCCATCAGTTATAAGCCAAATAAACTTGCTCTAATTTGGGATTTGTCTGAGTTTTAAATATGAATCAAACAGCTTATATTTGAGCCTCTCTACTGCGTTTTTTAATATAGGGCCATTTTAATACAATGTTTAAGCCCATTTTACAAAACCCAACCCGTTAGTTATATTAAAAATTAGGTTAGATGTCTTCTTCCCTGCGTAGCCTACACTCCTTCCTCTCGCTGTTTCGACTTCATCTCTCTCTCTCTCGGTCTTTCTTCATGCAGCGCCTCAGTGCCACCTTAAGCATCGACGCCTCAACGGCAAAACGCCAGCCCAGACCAACCCAGGCGGCCTAGGCGGGCGCTAGGCGGCAAGGCGGGCGCTAGGCGGCCTGGGCTGGGGCTAGGCGGCCTGGGTGGAGGCTAGGCGGCCAAGGCGGGCGCTAGGCGGCCTGGGCTGGGCTAGGCGGCCTAGGTGGAGGCTAGGCGGCCTAGGTGGAGGCTAGGCGGCCTAGGCGGCGCCCAACTCCCTGTTGTACTTTATGTTTGTATTTTGAAGCTGTTGTTTTAGTTTTGCTCAAGTTTTCTCTATCTGGAAAATTCAAAATACGCTAGATGCAGTGTACCCTGTCTTGGTTATGTCTTAGCTGAATACCATTGTACTTCCTTCTCTTTTAATTGTTGAAAATTTTTATTATAGTCTTTTGCATTGTACTTTGTGGTTTACGAGTTTGAGCTGATGCTTTATTTGCACATTGCATTTTCTTTTTCTTTTTCTTTTTAATCATCGTCCACATCTCTGGATGGCGCATCCTATTAGGAAAGCACATAGTACATGCTCGGCTGAATTTCTGACCATGCCTGCCTGAACTAAAGTTAGACCAATCTAGTTAATTTGAAGTAGAATGACTCACTGATCCAGGGAAGAAGAAGCTTATACAAGAAAAGAAAAGTTCAAAGGTTAATCTATATAGGACAATGGTTTGATTTATGGTTACGTAATGGCAAAACATGCAGGCTAGCTAGTAAAGTCCTGTTGTAATTTATGTTTGTATTTTGAAGCTGTTGTTTTTCTTTTGCTTAAGTTTTCTCAACACTTTAAAATTCAGGGGTGATCTGGAAAATTCAAAATACGCTAGATGCAGTGTACAGGTCCTGCTTATGTATCATACTGTAGCCTTCTACTCTTCGTAGTGCTACCAGTGTTAGTTTTGTCTTGTGGCTTACTGATATTTCAATTGTATTGCTTCAATTTATTGTTTTATCATTGTTTACTGCATAAAAATGCCTTAATTGCCCACTTACCAGCTATGCATACATGTGTAGGAGTTTGCATATGCATATGTAACCATGTCCTTGGTGTTAGAATATAAAATAACTGTGGGCTCACATTCTAACAATTTAAGCTTTTAGGAATAGTGTAAACCAACCAACTTATCATGGTGTTAGAGAAGGAGATCCTAAGTTTGAATCCCTGTATTTTCATCCCCTAATGTAAGTTAAATTCCACATTGGGCTCTCTACTGGTGGGAAGAGGTCCACATGTGAGTGAGTGGGACTGTGGAAGTGATTGAACATGAAATAATCGTTGGTTCATATCCTAATAGTTTCAACTTTTGAAAACATTGGTGAACCAACAAAATTTATCAATTGGTAGACTGCTTAGCATCACGAAACTGCTTTTAAATTTTTATTCTTGCTAGTTTAAGCGATAGTTTGGTTGTTCTCAGTTGGTTTGTTGTTTGAAAAGATTCTCAGTTTTTCTTTTAATTTCAGGTTTATATCAATGTATCATCACTTAATGCTCATTTCTCCCCATCCATATATGCTGCAATTCTGGGATTAATTGCTTACCTAGTTGCTCTGCAATCGAGCTCTGAATCTGTATCCTTGGAAACTATTGATTCATTTAATGTCGCAACAAAATTTATCTATGATTTAAATTAAACTCGACTAGTTAATTAATTAACTAATTATTTTTAAAATTCAAATATAATATAATGTTTTTGTCTTCTTGAGTTTGTCCTGTAAATTCGCAAATAACATTCATATCATCATTCTTTTATATCCTCATAGATAAACACACAAATTTCACTAGAAATGAAAGCATTAATGCTAGGACTTTGATTTAGAAAGTTGTATCCTAGTGGAGCAACCATATTTAATTTCATTATTCTATTTGTTGTTTCAAATATAATTGCTAATTAAAGTAATTAAAAAAAGGCTAACATATTACTTAATTACATATATTAAATTAAAGAAGTAGGCCAAAAAAAACAAAAGTAAAGAAACTAATTATATATTTTTAAATTTTAAAAATTTTAAAAATTAAAAAACCTGTCCTGACCAAATGTCGTCGGCACAGATCTATGCCGGCAAAATTTCCCAGATTAAATTTTCTTTTTAAAAAAGTGTAACCGAGCGGCTATACTATTTATATATAAAAGAAAACAGGACGCGCTTAGTTAGAAATGGCAATTTTCCCAGCAAGTAAGGGTCTTCGAGGGAATTCAACCCTAATGGGTCAGATATGAAGGACATAAAATGGGTATGGGGATGGATACGGGGAATTTTTTGGGTATGATGTTTGGGGAGGGGCGGGTATGGTATTTTAATCCCCAACCCGAACCCTCCCCATTTAGAATATATATATATATATATATTAATTTTTTGATGAGGTATATATATATATATATATATATATATATATGCAGAGAGTTTCCATTGAGGGATCCCTCAAATAAGCTTATTTGAGGGACACCCCTTGTAGGGCCCACTTCGGATTGTATTTCACTAATTCAAACCGTCTATTTTGTAGATACACATTCAAAGATCATCTCTACAAAAAATCACTTGAATCCGATATCATTTGACTATTCAATTGAGTTATTGAAATTTTAGTACTTTCTTGAAGCACCATGTTAATTGATTTTGTAGGACACAATTGGATGTCGAAACGGTTTCCGATTTGTCTAATTTTTTGTAAGGATGATCTATGAATGAAGACCTAAAAAATAGATGGTTTTGATCATTGGAAAAAAAATTGTAGGGTACCCTAAAGGGCGTCCCTCAAATAAAATTATTTGAGGAATCCCTCAATAAAAGGGGACTGTATATATATATATATATATATATATATTATAGTATATATATAAAGATGCTATTAAAGTGATTGTATTAACTAAGTTTTATATTTTATATTATTATATTATATAATTATATAATTATATAATTTATACGCCACACTACTTATTTATTTACTTAACTTCCAGTACATATATAAATATTCTTATATTGTCTTATAAGTATGTATTATATATATTCATTATTTTGCCTTAGTAGTGCTTAGGTACCCCATGTCAAAATAGTAAAACCAGGCTGCTATACTTGTTTTTTTTTAATGTGTTTGGTATATTGAGTTTAAACTTCGTACCTTAAGGTCCATTGGGCCTAATTCCATAAAAATAAAAAAATTGGGCCTATATGTGATTGAGGTGAGAATAATCAGTGCATGCTTGGAGTTAGTAGTGGGTTGTACGGGACGTGACATAACACCGAAACATTATCCATCAAACTTCTACTAATTTCCCTCCAACAGAATGGGATGTGCTTTGATTTGTTTTCTTTCTTCTCTCAATATTGTTATTTCTTGTGTTTGGCTAACGTTTGTAATCTTACATTAGGGAGGTTGGAAAAATATACACAATAATCACCTTTATATTGGTTATGACGTACGTGGCACAATAATCCTCCTGTATGTATATATATATATATATATATATATATATATATATATAATACCATGGCAAAGATGAAGAGGGTCACCAGAGCAGACCTCATACAATCACCTGCGCCATTAACATTAGCTAGAGAAAGAGAAAATAACAAAAGCTTGCTTTGCTGAGCTGTGTATATTTATAGGTTTCAATGGTCTGAGAACGCATTATTTGAATATTGGGGGGTTGATTTTTCTACTACTTTGATTTTGGGTTGCAATTAGACGTTGCTGCAAAAAGAATTTCACCATTTGTGAGGGAAGACTTGAACCTTGACTTCGGTTCCATTTTTAAAAATATCATAATTGACTTGCCAATTCCTTCGAAAGATTAGAGTCTACTTTGACTTTGCCACCCATGAACAGAACAGAATCTACCTTAGAATTGGACCCTATGGTCCAAGGGACTTGTTATAGTTCAGGATTCAGACCAGCCCAGTTGAGGATGAGTTAACCATAAAAATACAAATAGTTATACAAATTAATTAGTAAATTGTGTTTACATATAGCATTAACTTATGATATCATGCACCTGCTCGTTGGAAATGTAATATCATCGCTCACTGTAGTCCTTGGTTCGGGATCAGGAGCCGACTCCATTTTCAAGCATTGCTCTAAATCCTTATAGACAACATCTATGTCTGGCCTTTCGGCTCCGGTTAGAGGCACACAAGCCATGGCAGTTTGTATGGCTTTCCTAACAGAATCCATCTTGTACTTTCCCTGTAATTTTGGATCCACTACGCTTTCGATACGCTGGTTATTAACTTCACTACGCACCCATTCAATTATGTGTATACATACTTCTGGTCCTCCAGGTTGTACTACTTCAGTGTTAATCGCTCTTCTACCGGTTATTAGCTCTAGCAAGACAATCCAAAGCTATATACATCACTTTTTTTGTTGAGCCGTTTTGTGTTGTGATATCTGGACAAATATAACAAGAAAACATGTCAACAAGGTCGAATCTAATAAATAATCCCTGGGATAAATTGGCTATTGAAAATATATACCACAAGGTACAAAAACAAAAGCAAAAAACAGGATATATGTATAGTTAATTCTTACTCGGGATCAAGGTATCCAAGTGTTCCTTTGGACAAAGTTGATACATGAGTGATACTTTCAGTTGCAAAAGCTCTAGAAATACCAAAATCACCTATCTTGGCTTGCAATCTTTTGTCTAACAAAATGTTGGCTGGCTTTATATCTCTATGAACTATCGGCATATTGCGGTGAGAATGCAGGTAATTCAGTCCTATAAAATTCAGCAGCCATTACTCACTACTACAAAACTGGTCAAGGAGCAGGAGCTAGCATAAGAGCATACAGTACTCATATCATATCAGCTAGCATAAGAACAAAACTGGCTTTATATCTCAACTCTCTCACACTGTTTTTCCTGAGCCTCACCGTATGTACAGTGACTACTCATATAATTTCTTTTGTAATTTACTAATCTTCTTACCTCGTGCGGCATCTAGAGCAATACCGAGTCTCTCTTTCCAAGTCAAAACTCTTATAATAATATCTGCACCCAAGAATTCGTTATCAATGAATCATGCAGTTATAAAAAGAAAATTACGGAGGGAAACTTACAGTGTGTTGGGATGAGGAAATTTAAAAGTATTTAAGGAATTCATAAACAATAGACTTTAAAATGATGTAAATTAATGTTCTATAATTTGTAAAGTGAAATGAGAATAATAATTCAATCACGAGTTTTGAAAGGAGATTTAGTACCTGATTCGGGGCCTTGTGAATGTGCTGTGTGAAACAATGTGGTGCCGGTGTGAGGCGGCTGTGCAAGTGATGCAGATGGCGAAGGTGAGAGCTCTGCATTTGAGGTGTACACTGAAATTAGGTTTACTCTTTTCATTTCTTAATAACACAGGCAGCGTAATACTAATGGGAAAAAAGGGGAAGTGGCGGGGTGAGAAAGTTCTCATCATAAATGCCATTTATGAATATATAGCAATGGTATACCTGAGTCAGAGCGATGGGACCGCACAAGCAATGGAGCTGATGATATGTAGCGGTGGTCCGGTGACTGCGGGCTTGATGCAGGTGGTGAAGGTGAAAGTACTGTATTTGGGGTCGACAGTTGTTTAGGATGAAGAATAGAAAAGATTCGGAAATTGAAGTTAATTAGCTAGGTTTAAATTTTTTTTCCCCAGTATATGATGTGAAATGCAATCAAATAGCAGCAGGTTCACTTGCAAAAGTCCATATTCGTGTAATGATGATGAGAAAAGCTGAACGAGTTATATATGTTGTTATATTTTACTTTATACGTATGAATATACAATCATTACCAGCTGATAAATGCTGTTTCAAATTTCCATAGGCCACGAACGCATAAACAAGTGCCATACAGTCAACGTCATCACAGTACCCAATTAAGGAAACCACGTTTTATGATCAGCAACACTCATCAAAAGCGCAACCTGCAATTCGATATGCATGTTTCGTCTTTGTAGAATCTTCAACAAAGAATCCAGACAAGAAAGAAATATATATAGTTGAATTATCTATACCTCGTTATTAAATTCTTCTAAGCCTTGACTTGATCTAGGCGAGAGTATTTTTACAGCAACTTCAACCTTATTTTCCAGCGTGCCACGGTAGACTTTTCCGAATGCGCCTTCTCCAAGCAGTGATGTATAATTACTGGTGATATTCGTGATCTCAACTTTAGAGAAGTGTTGACCCCGACTGGGGTCAGAAGGGGGCTTCAAAAGGGTGGGCTTAGTATCAGTATGGCCAACTTCTTGCGCCTCTGGCATTGTGTTAGCTTCAAAATAGGTTTCAACTATGTTAAGCACTAAATTTACAGCTCAGTGGATTCGGATTTGATTAGCTTAGCCTAGATTAAATCACACTCATCGAACAGCAATTAGTGTGGTGATAATGCTCATCCCCAAAATTTTAAACTTTTACGCTAAACAACTCATGTGTGGGGGCCCTTTTTTGGCTATTCTTTTTTATGAAACACTCTGGCTATTCTATTTCGGCACTCTTACCTTTTTCTCCTTTGGTTTTAAAGGAGTGCCACCAAATAGCTGCAGCTGCTACAACTAATAATATGCCGATTGAAATTCCAACAGGAACTCCTACCGAAACACCAAGATTGTGCTTCTTCTTCTTCTTATTGCAAGAAACCTGTCCGGATAGATTTGGATTTCCGCACAAACTGAAAAAGTAATTCAAGGCAAATGTAGTAAGATTTCCATGCATATACTTCCTTTTAAATAAAAAAAAAATAATAGCAGATGCTATAAGATTCTCAATAATCTAGTTCTCGGAAAATTAATGTATATATACCTAGAGAAATTTGAAAGTAATTGAACATGTGCGCATGTTAAACACGATTTAGGCCGAGTTACACACAAAATTCATAGATCATAGCTTCTTTGTTTTTTGGCAAGATAAAGGAGCACCTTAATAGTAGCAAACCATTCTTGCTTCTGTCACTGAGTCTCACTGGAACTGAGCCTGTGAGCTTGTTGTTCTCCAAGTTTCTGCAGAAGTAAAGACATACTCTAACCATGCTTTCTCACTAGGGATTGTAACTAACTTAGCCCCATGTATGTACATAATCTTGAAAATGAACTTACAGGACATTTAAATTTGGCAATTGAGATAAAAAGTCTGGAATTGGTCCTGTTAAGTTATTGTTTGATAAATCCCTGAAATCATGAGCATGAGCCTGAGCCGATCAACTCATATGCTATTGGGGTGAAAATGAAATTACGATCTTACCATATATGCTGCTGTAGGCTACACCATATTCATTAGTTTTGTAATACTCATGACAACATGTATATTAATTTACTTACAAAGTTTGTATCATTGTGAGATTGGATATAGAAGGAGCTATCAGCCCTGTTAATCCACTAGACGACAAATCCCTACAGATTGCATTGCATTTACCCGTAACTATAAACCAAGTTAAAAAGAGATAATTAAATCAAATCATCAATAATTTTGTCTGAGGACACACACACATATATATATATATATATACATATATACACTTACAAGGATTTGATGTATCGGGACTCATTTTCATGAGCACTAGCAGTACAAGTGACACCTTCCCACAAGTAATCCTTGGCACACGGATCTCCTTGCCAGTTCTTAATAATTATATAAGTTGACTTGATGTTTGCGATTGCGTCAACTAATAATATTTTCATCATATACAAAAAGAAGGACGTTATGTCAAGAAAACTTAAGGGGTTTTTAGATTCGAGCCCGACTCATGCAACTATTATTCAGGGAGGCTATAATGAGGGGTAAAAATGTGGGCTTATAATGAGGGATTCTTCAATAGCCGTCCGATTTAATGCAGAGCTATTATTAGATTTAATCATCGATTTAGGCCTAATGACATTGTGTGATACATATACTAGTACCTAACCGAAAGGTAGGTACGTAATAATTGAGGGAAGGAGTACTTACAATCTTTTTGGTTTGTTTCTGATTCTAAGAATTCTTTTACCATATAAATCTCGAACGCATTGAGGATAGGTAGGAGGAAAGAGTCTTCAGAAGTAAAGATGGAAAAATTATAGGATTGTGCTCCTCCTCCTCCTCTGAAAGCCAGGGTGCTGTTAATAGTATTTGTGTACAAGTAACGAGGAACAAATGGGTCCGAAGTGAGCTCTCCATTTATGGTAATAGAGATCTCTCTGATCTGGCTGGCTTGGAGCTTTGCAACTTCTGCAAAGTGAATGTAAGTATAATATTCCGCATATTTATCAGCGGGCACCCAGGAAATATTCAAGAATTGGCTCGAAATATCTTTTGGCGTGGCAGCAGTACGCATGACATCAGATGGTAGTTGGTAAGTGTTTTGGTCGTTGTTTATGATGGATAGAGTACTTAATTGTGCCCAATCATCGCGGGGATAGGAATACCATAGGCGATCATAAATATCGTTCGGATACCTGTATGGCATACAAATATGTCAGTTTAGTTTTCGGCAAAGATACCATTGAATACTTGCAAATGTATATATTATCTCCTGCGCACAAGTAATTGTAGAGTGGTATTAGAGTACGACTATGTCAGATGGATAACTAGTTCATGAGTTATAATAAAAGTAGATATTTATTGACGTTATTTCCTAAAAAGTGAGAAATATCAATCATGTCGTTTACTTTGTAACGAAACCAGGATTTCATGTGTGGTGGCCTCCCAAAAATGTATATAAAAAAATCCGAACTCACAATACATACTAAAGTAACCAAGAGGACCAAAACATTACATATATGAAAAAAATTTACAAATTTTTTCCTTTTGTAATCTACACATAAATTTTTTGGAGGACCCATTGAACTCAAGAGAGATAATAAATCAAAATTGTACAAACCTAAACAAACCATATGTGGAGAGAACACAATAAAAAAAATTCACAAATCCAAACCAACCATTGGTGGAGAGAAAACAATAATAGATATAGTAAATTTAAGAAGAAAAAAAAAGTAGACATGAAAATGAGATTCTTGACAGATTAAAAGTATATATATAATATACTTATAAAAATAAAAAATAAAAAGAGGTGAGGGGTCTGCGTCTACCCATATTATAGACATAAACGAATTATACTATGTGGTGGTATTTTAATACCATACATAAATTTTTCCTAAGCAATGGCTCACCTGTATCCAGCTGTATTAGCCGTTTGACCAACGTCATAGCGCAACAGAAGTGCCAAGGACTGTTTGGGCATCTGTGTTGGATAAGATGCAGTGGGTAAAGGCCTGAGTTCGATTGCTGATATAAACGGAACCCCAGTGCCGATGTTGACCAAACAAATATGTATATGGTTTTGCGCAGGGGTATGCAAGAGCTCCTTGATTGTGATGCTGGACACATTCGAAAACGCCACTGAATCCCACAAAGTAGCTCCAAGATGTAGTTCAAATTCTGGTAAATTACCTTCCTGGCTATCGTAATTTCCATAAACGAAGCTTGCTCGGATCAAATATTTATCGCCGCCCGTAAGGCGTATGCTGTAGCAGTTTCTGGTTCCTTGGGGAAAGCTCCTAAGGAACCAGAAGGGCCGTGTATATTGATCTCTGTAATCGAGCGATATGGACTTGCTGTCTCCTGTATCTGTTAGAGAGGAGTCTGAAATGTAGTAAATGCCGGTAGTTCTTTCTGTGTAGCCGGGACTTTGCTCTAGACCACAATCTATACTTATGAAACCTGGGAAAAAAGCATGAGAATTATATACCAATTAAGATCAACTCTATTTTCTCACTGGAAACAAGCATATATATTATATACCTGATTGATCCTGGGCATGAGCTAGGAGCATCAGAGCAATACCACCAAGCAGTGCCCAGAGGAGTGGCTTGAATACCCACGACATCATAATACTTGGGCAATAAGATACGTATTTATTTTCAGAGACAGCATTATATATAGGGTTTTCTAGGGTCTAGTTGTATTTTTCTAAAATACTTTGTTGTCTTTTTATATCTAAGTTTACTTTTCAAAGTAAATAAGTCCTGGTGAGAATAAATAATTCTGTTTACACACTATCCAAATTTGATATTTTGAGTCTATAGGGGTCTAGTTGTATTCTTCTCGTCTTTTTTTATTTGTTTTTTTTGTTTGTTTACACAAATAATAAAAAAAAAATATTGGTATGTGACATACATATATACAATGTGTTGAAATTGGCTCATCATTTGTACATGAAGTCAAGAAAAGAAGATTGATACCGGTCACAATGTGTCGCAACGAAGTTTAATTGGCAATGAGTAGCCCAATTCCTTACAAGATAACATTGCTCTAATATCATCAACAAAGTTTAGGTTCCAACCAAAAATCAATTGGCAATAGAGAAAGTAGCCTTCTTATAAGTCCATTAGTCATCATAACTTTTCAACATATGACAAAATACTCTCAACATATGTAATATAGGTAAATTTTCTAAGTTTGGAGCTTAATTATTATTTAATCCAAATCAATACTACTGTGTAAATCCCATAAACAATAGTCTAAGGGTATTTTGGACATTAACTTCTAAAATAGAAACTAATTAGACTATACTAAGTAAACAAATAATTTGTTTTTTTCGTTCGAAAAACTGCTAAGTCAACTAGTCGTGAAGGGACGTCATCAAAAAGGTGTCATTATCCTCAGACTTGAAAATCTTTTAAACTTCTGTCTAACATTTTTATCTTTGTTTATAATGCCAAGTGGATGTTCAACACAATTTCCAATATAGTTCGATTATCAAATAAATCTAAGCGACTGTTTTTGGTACGTACTTGCTAGATTATGGAGGTTCAAATACGTCATGTATACACACGCAAATGCACGTTGAATATGAATCATATTGGAATTTTACAAAGAACGCTGTTGAAGTTATATATAGGTCACGTTTGATGGTTAGAACATGATTAATTCATCTTCTACGTTTAAGTTAGACAAAATTTGAAAATGAGCACGCATTTTTTTTTCTTAACATACTTTGAATCTAGTGAGCTAACTTGCGTATTATATAACATACCTTAAATTTAGTGAGTTAACTCGCGTATTAGTATTATGTGTGGATGAGAGAGAGAGAGAGAGGGGTTTGAAGTTCATGGGGTAATGCAATTACTATAAATTATTAATTATTCTTTTTACAAATTATGAAAATTATATAAAGCAATAAGAGTATATCATTTTCTTATATATGAAAAACCCATTATTCAACTTACAAATCAAAGTGTGGTCGACGACTTTTGTGGGTGGACCGTGGACGGGCTTGAAAGATCCATCATTAATAAATTATGCATTCTTACAAATTAGGTTGAACCAGTCGTCTTGTGAAATCTGGTCAATGAACACGTGTACGTACATTTCACTGATGACAAATTAACACTAGTTCAACTATAATAATGCATCTTTCTCCTCGAAAGGAAAAAAACTAGTACTGCATCTTGGCAAGTGTCGCTTATTTTACCAGGAAAAGAAATTGGCACTGGCAAATAATATATATTGTCTTCGTCGCTAAGTCAGCAATATATACATTTGCGCAATAGATATTCCTTTTTTTATTGTTTGTTTTCTTTATAATAAAAAATAGTATGAATATAATGGAGACTTAAGGGGTATTTTGTAGTAGTACTTGCATGTTGTGGAAAATAGACCTTTTAGAAGTTTCACCGGTGACTAGCTAGCCTAAAAAGACAAATACCAAAAACAGTTCATGACCATACATTTCATAACATTTAATACATGTCATAGCTCACGTCAATTAACATAGCCAACTATGTTCATTGGCAGACTCAGAAATTTTTTAACGGATGTACAATTTTGAAAGATTAAAAGCTTTATTAAAAATTGAATAAAATAAACAAATTATAATTGATCATACCTCTAATCGTGTCGAATTTGCTATTTCATAAAAGCCAAATTAGGAAAAGAAAAAAGAAAAAAGAAAAAAGAAATTACGAAAAAGGGGAAAAAAAAGAAAAAAAGAAACGAATTGGCTTTTGGCCAAGAAGAGGAAAAAAAAACCAACACAACAAACTTACTTTTGGTGAAGAGGGAAAAAAATGCAGCAATAGCAACCCAATTGATTTCCTTCTTTTTTAAATATTTTCGTAATCCTTGTTTAAGTAAGAAAGAAAATGATGTTTAAAGACTTTTTAAAGCCCACGAAATGAAGGCCTAAGCATGTTGTTGAAAGACCATGAATTGCAGTTTGCCTCTTTTTTTTTTTTTTTTTGCTTGCCCAAAAACGTCATTTTGGTTAGAACTTTTTATCATTTAAAAAAATAAATAAATAAAAAGGAGCTCAAGGAGCAACGCACCGCAGCAAACAGACTTTGGCTGAGTCATTTTGTCGAACATCTGGAGTGCACAACCACCAGTTAAGCAAAGGTGCAATTTGAAGCATCTACAATGGTTTTTCATTGCAGTTTAATAGGTCCGCTACTGACTATGTTAGTATGTCCATTAAACTTTTCTCCATATCTATTGCTTGCACAAGTACTCATAGGACTCTTTTGTTACTCAAGACTGTCTTGACATGAACTAGTTAATCCTCTCTTTCCACATGAGTTTATTAGTCCCTTCCTAAAGAGGTGTTTTTGGTGGGCTCGGTAGTGGCAATCCCATTTAAAACTAGGATTAGATGAAACAAACATGAGACTAAATTTAGTGCAAGCCAGTCCAAGCCAAGCCTGTGTAACAAAAATTCCCTAAGGAATTCGAAACTTTAAATAATATTTTTTTTCGGTTACAAAAGTTCAAATAATATTACAGAATTACCAACTAATAGTGTTACTTTCAGTTTCAGACCTGATGTGGGAGGTCTTTATAATTGAGCCGCTTGAACTGATTGTATCATCACTCTCATCGTTCTCATAAGCTTCTGTAATCTTTGTTATTTCAGAAGGCATCTCAATTTCCAAACACTCTTTCAAATCATTAAACACAACAGTTATATCGGGCCTTTGGATTGATGTTGAAGACACACATGCCATGGCAATTTCTATGGATTTTTTAGCAGAAGAGTTGAGGAAGGTTCCTTGTATTCTTGAATCCACAATGCTTTCGATTTCGATTTCGATCTTCTCAAATTTAGGCCTCACCCATTGACATATGTGAATAGGTAATTGTTCCAAATCTCTTATTATTGCTGCTCTACCTGTTATAAGCTCTAGCAACACAATCCCAAAGCTGTATATGTCACTCTTTTTGTTAAGTTGTCCAGTACTGCAATATCTGGAGAGAATAAGAAAAAATAATAACTGTGAACAATATATTTAATAAAACAACCCCTCAGTCAAAATGGTTTTAAAATATTGAAGTACCAAAATTTGAACTTGTCATATCAACAACTGGAAGAAGAATTTCTTGGTTTCTAGGCAACACCAACATATGACCTCAAACAATTTCTACGAGAACTCTAGCTATTAGCATGATTAAAACTTACTCAGGATCCAGGTATCCAAATGTTCCTTTGGCCGCGGTTGATACATGAGTGGCACTTTCAGTTGCAAGACCTTTAGAAAGACCAAAGTCAGCTATCTTAGCTTGCAACTTTTCATTCAATAAGATATTGGATGTCTTTAGATCTCTATGCACAATTGGTGGCTTGCAACCATTGTGTAAATATTCCAGTCCTGCAAAAATATTTCTGCCATGAGCTATGGTAAGTAAACTAAATTAAAATTATATTTATATATACACGTGATATTGAGGGAGGAAAGTATCAAACACAGACCTATATTAAGGGATCATTTCAGATGTTCAAATCTATTCATGAATCATGAATGTTCAAACACTAAAAGTACGAATTAGCTCTTATTTTAGTGATATTTCTCTTCTCAACATCAAGTAAAGGTACGGCATAACAAGGTTCGTCCTCAAACCAACAGAAAGGAAAATACTTGCCTCCTTCTCCTGGAAACAGGAACTCTTACTTCCTTCCAATCACAATATGACATGTATGCATAAATTTTTGTGTGTTTTTAATGATTTTTTTTTTGTATATATGTCAAACCGTGATTTGTAAAGATGAGAAGTGTCTCCTTATTCAAATCCAAACATTCATTTAGAAGTACTTAAACATAAGGTGTCTGGACATATATACACCAAACTTATATATACCTAGTAGTTATTTATTTAGTGTTCAATTACCTCGTGCGGCATCTATTGCAATTTGAAGCCTCTCTTTCCAAGTCAAAACGTTTTTACCTACATCTGCACCCAAGAGTTGTCGATCATCACGATTCCATATATCTCTGAATTGTTCAAGTTCAAAATAAAATCATTTGCAAAATCATGCATACCAGATGAAATATGTTGTTCCAAGTTTCCATTGGCTACGTAGTCATAAACAAGGGCCATAGTGTCACCTTCATCGCAGTAACCAATGAGAGAAACCAAGTTTCTATGATGAGCACTCATTAAAAGTATAACCTGCAATTTTGTATGCAACATGTGTATATATTTACATCTGTACTTTCGTGATCCAGAGGTAAATATGAAGTAACCCATTTGCATATATCTACCTCATTTCGAAATTCATTTGATCCTTGCCTTGATGAACCGAGTAACTTCACGGCAACTTGAGTCTCATTTTTCAGAGTACCAAGGTACACTTTTCCAAAACCGCCTCTTCCGATTATTGATGCAAAATTATTGGTAATCTTCACAATCTCTGAGTATGTAAACCGTTGACCTTGTGACTCCAAAAATTCATTTTTGTTGAAATTCTTCATCATCTCTACACCAAAAAGGGTTATCAGTAAAATACTCCCGAAAAAAAAGAAAGTTATTTGGCAGTCTTACCATGTTGTCTTTTCCTTTTAAAGACCACCCATAAGACAGCTAATATTGTTGATAAGAGAATGAAGAATCCAAGGATATACACTGCTAGGTGAATATTGGTACGGTGTTTCTTCTTTAGTTCGCAAGGGACTTGTTCGGATTGATTTGGATTTTCGCAGAAACTGATGACAAAATGGTTGAGAGCAACTGTTAAGATTTTGATGGATAATCAACCAAGATGTTGTTTCTGTGTTTATCTGTTAATAAACAAACAGACCTGAATGATAGAAAACCATCCTTCCTTCTTTGAATAAGTCCTTTCGGAACAGAACCTGTGAAATTGTTTTGTCCAACTTTCTGAAAAGCCACAACCACTGCATTTTGTCACCATAATTTGTACTTAATGAAGGAATTACAGTTTAGTCCCATTAGCAATTCAATAACTTACAAGACGGCTAACTTTGGCAGGTAAGACAGAAATTCTGGAATTGATCCCGTTAATTTGTTGTTCGATAAATCCCTAAAATGATGAACATCAACAAGTCATTCATTTGGTATGTATGCAGTAGATATTTCAAACACAGTAATTAAAGCATACTTACAAAGTTTTTATCATGGTGAGATTGGATATACTTGGAGATATCTCCCCTGTTAATCCACTTGAGGACAAGTTCCTGGAAGATTGCATGTGTTACGCAAATTATTATATTAATTAACTAAAACATAAGTGTTTGAAAGTTTTTGTGAAGAGTTACTTACAAGGATGTTATTCTTGGCTGTGGGCCATTTTCATTATAAGTACAATTTAGACCTTCCCATGAGTAAACTTGAGGGCTGCATGGATCTCCTTGCCAATCCTTTCGATGTTATGTGATGACTTGATGTTTGTGATTGCATTCACTATAATATTTTCATGTGCCAACAGAAAATCTCAATCACAAAACTCACTCTATATGTAGGAAAGTTTTCGAGTGAGGATAACATATGAGAACATCCTATTTTCAGTCTGTGTTCCAATGATCGGAATCCATTTTTAGGCTATTCTAAGGATCATCCCTGCAGACTGATTCAGTTTCTATCATTTGACTGTTTTTTTTTTTGCAGAGATGACCTAAAAGAGCTACCTAAAGAATAGAAATAGTTCCGATCACGAATTGTAGCAAAGAGAAATTTGTAAGGAAGACCAGTAATTATTACCATCTTGTTCGTTTGTTTCTGGTTCTGCGAAGTCTTTGACAATAAAGGTCTCGAAAGCATTGAGGATGGGTGGGAGAGTAGAGTTCCCAGCCTTATTGAATGAAATAGTAATATATTGTCCTGTGCTCCACCTCGGCCGGCTAAAAAATGTAATTACAGACAAGTATACAGGAGCAAATGGGCCATATAAGACTTCTCCGTTAAAAGTAATGGTAAACTGTCTAGACTGGTTGACTTGGAGCTTTTCAAGTTCTGAAAAGTGCATGGAAAGATAATATTTTGCACTGTTATCAGAAGGCAGCCAGAGAATAGTCAAGGAATCATTTACATTTTTTGGCGTGGCAGCAGTAGTCATCACGACAGATGGTGTTTCGAAACCATGTTATCTATGGCGGACGAGGTGTTTAATTGTGTCCACTCATCGCGGTCATAGCCATACCAGAAGCGATCATGTATATCATCTGGATACCTAAATAGAGATAATATATTTCATGGTTATGTAATGAAAAAGAATGGCAATTCTTAATATATACATATACATAAACATAATCCCCCTTAAGTGGGATTCCATTCCAGGTTATCTGGATTGGAATACTCGACAATGTATCGCACAACATATTGAGAACATATCAACATTCATATATCGAAAGCATGACACCATCTACATGGAGAACATGTCAACATCCATATCAACATGATATCAATAATGTGAATGACATATCGAGCATCTCGCTCCCAGTGGTGGAGGTCAATAATTTTTCAGGGAATGAGTAATATTTAAAACGCTACAAGCTCCAAAACAAATTTAGACAACCAAATATGCTTAGAATTTAAACAATACTGAGAAAACTTGTGATTATGCAAATTGATGGCATAGTTTTTTGAAGCGAAATAAAAAAGGGAAAACCCAAAACCCCAAATAAATTCCTAAAAAGTATGTAATAATGAGGAAATTAGGTGAACCAACTAAAGACAAAAGCTTTATCAAAACAGAATAAACCATCACAGAAACATGGTCAGAAGAAACACATGCATGAACCTCAAAATTTCTGAAGAAAAAAAATTGGTAATTTGTCCCCAGAAAAAAAAAACTATAAAGGTATTAGAGAAGATAATAACATCACAAAAAATAGCCAATTCTTGAGCCTTTTTGAGCAACCCAACACGTCTCTTTTAGAATGTGACTTGTCTGCTATTAGCATTCTCAATTATCTTGATCTCAATCTTCCCCCTACCGATTCACTCAAAAACCCCAAACCAAAACTTCAAATACCCCAAACACAAACTACCCAAATGCTCAAACAAAACAGCAAAGCCTCTTGAGGCATTTAGTCGAACAAATGGTGGGCACCAGGTGAGGAGCAGATTCCGGGCTCTCAAAGATTTTCGGGCAAGGGGAGGTGACAAGGGTATCTTTCAAATAAACTTATTTTATTTGAAAATCCCTCAAATATGTATATATATATATATATATATGCACGGAAATTACTGACCTATACGCTCGCTTTGCTATTTGACCAGTGTCATATCGCGAATCAAGTGCCAAGGACCCTGCCTCTGCTATATAAGTATTATTAGGCAAAGTCCTTAGCTCTATGGCTGATACAAATGGAACCCCTTTGCTTGTGTTCACCAAACAAACGTGTATATAGTTTCGCAGAGGGACGTGTATGAGCTCTTTGTTTGTGACGGTGGAGACATTCTCCAACTTCACTGAATCCCACAAATTAGGCCCAAGATGCAGTTGGAATTCTGGCAATCTATACTGGTCGTCATAATTCCCATATAAGAAACTTGCTCGGATCAAATATTTGGTTCCCCTTTTAACATTTATTTTGTAGCAGTTCCGAGTTCCTTTTGGAAAAGCCCTAAGAGACCAGTACGGCTGCATCTTATCTCGCTGATCGTTCAATACAACCACCCTACTTTCATTGGCGTCGATGAAGCTTTCATCTGAAATATAGTGAATGCCTGTTGTCTTTTCAATATAGCTAGAATTTTTTCCTAGGCCGCAATCAATGCTAATGAAACCTGAAACACACATCCGCATTTCATTTGCACACATAAGAGAGAGAGAGAGAGAGAGAGAGAGAGAGAGAGAGCACCAAGTTAACTGTTCTTTATTTTCTCTTGCAGAGGTACGTATATATATATATATATATATATATATATATATAATATAGTCATACCTGATTGATCATCTTGGCAATGAACAAGGAGCATGAGATTGAGAGCAAAACCACCAAGCTGCAGTGCAAAGAGGAGGAATTGCTTCAATGTCCTCCACATTGTTGTGCTCGGGAAACACTTAGCAGATTTGCTTTGTAGTTGATATATATGATCATTTTACATACAATTTCCTCGATATTGTGATGAACACAGCTTTTGCTTGGGTCGATATCGTTGACCCTTCCAACTTGTCCAACAAGTGCCATGTGGTGTCAGCTTGAGGGTTGATTAAGATGCATGCTGTAGAATAAGTTTAAAATACTCAGTAATATTTGTAAAATAAGTTTAAAATCCCCATTATTTTATTCTGTTTAGTTTCCACTACTGTAGTATATGCGATAAAATATGATCCACTAACTAGTTGATAAAGAAACTTTAACCAGTCGTTCTAGAACAGGTGGGGACTACAATGACAGAAGCCAACACCAAGTCAAGGTTTTTACCTGTAAACTAATTCCATATATCATCACACACACATGAAATTTCATATTGATGAAAGCTTCAAAGAAAGTCTTCCACTAGTACTTTCTAGATAATAGGCTCTTATGTTCAAGTACCAATAGGACTAAAATGTTTTTGAACTTAATGATAAGTCCATAAATATACTCATTTATGTACTCTTTTTACTTAGATTTTGTTATCGAGAATTAGATTTAAAAGGGCTTATTACTTTACTTTTCTGATTTTCAGCTTTTCTGCGCTCTTAGAAGGTTTTTAAGGGAAAATCAACTTTTCGGAGGAATTTTAGCACAAGGCCAATTGGAGATGAAAGCTAACATCTTGAAGTTCAATCTGTGATTTTTCTAGAATTTTCTACCGAGCCAATTGGTACAGTATTACAAGTAAAGTTAGCCCACATGCGACAGAACAGTTTCGTACATATTACGTGAATGTGAAGAAACGGAAGCCTTCCCGAATTTTCAAGTTACGTGCTATATATGGTTGGAAAGATAAGACATTTATCTTTCTAAAATATATTTTTAATGATTTTTATACAAGGCCGAAGATCCCCAAATCATGTGACAATTGGGTTGAGCTGTATTCCCTGTGGAGTTAGGAATTGTGATTTTTACTTTCCTATTTGGATTCCTTGTTTACCAAGACTTCTTGGACGACTTTTCAGTCAATATTAGGGTTTAGAACACTGATATAAGTGATATAAAAGGCCAGCCAAGGCCCCATACAGAGGATTCACGTCCTAAGGAGATCAACCGCGCAAGAGGAGAAAGCTGCCAACGAGTTCTTTCTTTTCCTTCCTTCGTTTACTTTTCAGTTCTGATGTATTTATTTTTGAGTTCATCCAAGAACATGAGTAACTAATTTCTTGTTAGTTAGGGCTTAATCTTGAAGCCCTAAACATGATTTCAATTTTATAAACAAGTTTGAATGGATTTTCAATTTCTACAAGCATGATGATTTCGGTTTCTCTATGTTATGTGAATTCTGATATTTTGTTTCTTTGAGTAGCTAACTTTGAAGCATGTATTGGAATTAAATTGTTGTAGAACATAGGTCAATTGCCATATTGAACGTGTTCTTGTTTGCAACGAATAATTGGGTTAAGAACTAGTTATAAGAAATCGATTCTTGAATTCCTAATAACAAATGCCAGGTTTTAGGGTTTTTGTGACACTCATATTCTCTTTGATCTTAATGGATTCTTGATTGTTAATTTGAGTAAATGTCATACTAGATTTCAATTAAGAATACACGTATTGATGTAAATGTCATACACTTTACATGCACTTAAGAGAGAATCATACAACTCGAGTCAAATGCCATGATCTTGTTGTGAGTGTCGTCATCATATGCTTGTTAGAAATTGATTATCTATTGTTGTTTATGGATTGATTGATTGATTGGTTAGAGGTGGATAGTGAGTCCTAGCTATTGTTCTGATTGATTATAAACCAATTTCTCTTAACTCTAATTTAAATTTTGTTTTCTTTTCTTTTCCTTATTTTGTTTTATTCACAAAATCAAATCAAAACCCCCCTTAGTGTTGGCATGTGTGTGGAAGTCATTGTGGTTTTCGTGTTTAATTGTGTTTTAGTTTTCATTGTGTGACATTGATAAACATTTCTTTAGATCACAATCTCTGTGGGATCGACCCTTGTTTGCTTACTATACTATCATTTGATTTGTGCACTTGCAAGATTTTAAATATTGTTGTTAAAAGTTACCAACACTTAAATTTCTAACAAAACTGGGACCTGATAAAAGGACTCCTTAGTATCATATCATGTATTTCCTTTCACACCCAAGGTTTTGAAAAGCGTATTATGTACGCGTATGTATTTCCCAATTCACACTTACTAGTATTTTCAATATAGCATTTTATACTTAGTCACGCTCACCTAAAGACCTAAACATGTGATGTGAGGACCTCCTTAATAAAATCCCTTTAGATTAATCCAACAGCATATATAATTAGTAGGCTTAATCCTCACTCATGCTCCTTTTTCACTCAAACAACCCTTTTAATTATTCTAAAACGATAAATAAATAATTTTTAAAAATACATTTGCCTTCCTTTTGCTTTATAATTTGATTATATATTTACTTAATACTTTCTGTTTAGACAGATTCACTAAGAGATACTTTCAATTTATCAATATGCGCAACACATGTCAAATCTAATATCTGGTTAAATATTTAAATTTGGCCAACAAGAATAAAAGAGCGGGGATAGCTCAGTTGGGAGAGCGTCAGACTGAAGATCTGAAGGTCACGTGTTCGATCCACGTTCACCGCAATTGATTTAGATAATTTTGGGGTTTTTTTTGAGTTTTTGTGCCAGAAGTTTGTAATTTATATCCTGCTGAACCTGAAAGTATGAGTTTAATTATTTAAAACCCTTATTTTACTTTGATCCTGCTGAACCTGAAATTAGCCTACGGACTTGGACACGGAGCAAAAGGGGAGAGGTTTTCTCAAATCATAATCATATCATGCTGAAGTTTTATTAACAGCTCACACAAATACACCATACATGAAAGATAATTTTACATGAAAACTTTTATGAACTAACAAGGAAATGCAGCTACGAATCGAAATGTCGTATTCTTTGTACAGCTAGTTAGCAAGCTGCTAGTACGCATAATCCACCCTCAGTGCTCATCAAACGGCAGCAGAGCTGAGAAGTTTCACCATCTTAGATTGGAAGGGAAGTACTGCACAACAGGCATTGTTTAAATAAAAATTTAAAAAGCCAAATCATTAACGCGGTGAAGAAAAATCAGGTTGCGCTTGAAAGGGAAGTTGAACCAAATGAAAAATCAGGTTGTGCTTGCTTACCTTTTCAATGAGAGAGAGATAGTATGGCTTCACCTTCTCAACATCAATCCGTTCCTTGCTCTTGCTGTAAAGGTGAGGTCATACTTGCTGCATGGAATTTTAGACGAATATTCTTTGGGACGAAAATCGCTCTCACAAATTGGTGCTTTCATTGAGAGCGCGAAATAATACTCAAAAGGTGCTCCAAATCCATTTTCCACACTTTGTTTCACGCAAATCAATTCTTCGTACGTTTGAGTGAAACAAAATGTGGAAAATGGATTTGGAGCACGTTTTGAGTATTATTTCGCACTCTCAATGAAGACACCAATTTGTGGGAGCGATTTTCGTCCCCAAAGAATATTCGTCTAAAATTCTGTCTTCCTCTTCGCTTCTCTTTTCTTCCTGCAAAATAATACGAAGTAAAGGACCACATCCAAGGGGTGTTGGCCAAAGGCTCTCCGATGCCTAAGTTAGTTCGAATGTTTGTAGGAAAACAATAGCTAACAAAAGGATGGAGATTTCTCTAGGGTGAGAACCGGATGGCCAGACCCATGTGTGGTGGCCAGAGTCTTGTGTGAGAGAGTAAAAGAGTTATGGCGGCTAGGGTTTGTGAGATAGAATTTTTGCAAAGTTTCAGACAGAAGTTTAGACATACCTCAACTATTGTGTTAACCATGTATTTATGGGAGCCTCGGAGGCTAGGGTTTCGGAAGAATAATTCCACAAATGGAAAGAAATTATTCTTTCCCAATTTGGAGAGTTTATGTAATTAGGGATTTGATTTAAATCAAATCCTTAATTAATGCAAGAATCAAATAATTCCAAATTAAATCAAATAACTCTCAATTAGGTCAAATAATTCCCAAATTGATTGGCTTAATTATTTGACCTAGGATCTGAGATATTTTGCTTCAACAATATAGCTAGAATAATTTGCTAGGCCGCAATCAAAGCTAATGAAACCTGACACACATCCGCATTAGCACACATGAGAGAGAGAGAGAGAGCACCAAGTCAACTGTTATTTATTCTCTTGTAGAGGTATATATATATATATAATATATAGTCATACCTGATTGATCATCTTGGCAATGAACAAGGAGGATAAGATTGAGAGCAAAACCAGCAAGGTGCAGTGCAAAGAGGAGGAAATGCTTCAATGTCCGCCACATTGTTGTGCTCGGGAAACACTTAGCAAATTTGCTTTGTAGTTGATATGATCATTTTACATACAATTTCCTCGATATTGTGATGAACACAGCTTTTGTTTGGTGCACATATCAGAATATAACAGCCCACTTGAGGACAAGTTACACACATCTACATCAACAGCTCAATTCACCTTCTCAACATCACCAGCCCAACTCACCTAAACCTTCCATTAGGAATAAATTATCAATGAATGTCAAGTGTAATATCTAGTTAAATATCTAGTTTTGTCTTATAAAATCATCTAAGCGGGGATAGCTCAGTTGGGAGAGCGTCAGACTGAAGATCTGAAGGTCACGTGTTCGATCCACGTTCACCGCAATTAGCTTTTATTTTGTTTTAAACTTTTTGCGCTGGAAGTCTAATGTGAAGTCTGCTGAACGTGAAGTTTGCCTACAGACTTGGACACAGAGCGAAAGGGGAGAGGTAGTTAGCCTACAGACTTGGACACAGAGCAAAAGGGGAGAGGTTGCCTCACTCACATCACCATGCTGAAGTTTTATTAAGCAATCTAAATAATAGCTCACATACACAATACATGAAAGATAATTTTACATGAAAACTTTTATGAAATAACAAGGAAATGCAGCTACAACTCGAAATTTCGTCTTCTGTGTACAGCTAGTTAGCAAGGGTGCTGGTATTACTCATCAAATGGCAGAGCTGGGAAGTTTCACCATCTTAGCTTGGAAGCGAAGTACTGCACAACAGGCATTGTTTAAATACAAATTTAGAGAGCCAAATAATTAACGCGGCGGAGAAAAAAATTAAGAGGATGTTGAACCAAATGAAATCAGGTAGTGCATGCTTACCTTTTCAATGAGAGAGAGATAGTATGGCTTCACCTTCTCAACATCAATCCGTACCTTGCTCTTGCTGTAAAGGTCATACTTGCTGCATGGAAAAAATTAAAATGCAGAGTGACATTAAGTATTTAGACCAACAGAGAAATCAATAAAAGGTGCAGCACAAAGAGCATGGCTGAATTAAACACTTACTTGAATACTTGAAGCCAGTTCAGATTTTCGACATCTTCTTCGTTCATTAAGTGCTTATATGCTCCTGCCTTGTGTAAAGCTGCAATTTTAAAAAGATTTCATCACAATCAAATTACTCACACAATGAGTTATATTTCTTTTAGGGGTAAAATATGTAGTGCTTTTCTATTATCTCACAGACCATAGAATGAGTGGTATCTAATGATGAACAGAGCTGCTGAGGGTAGAGTACAATTATTCTCCTTGGCCACCTGAATAAAAATTTTATTGTATGAATACCAAAAGTGTTTGATTATACTGTCTAAAGGGTTACATGATCTAGGTTAGAAAATATACCAAATACATGTAGTCGTCATGCCCCCACGACATCATTACATTTTCGAGTCCACATCCCTCTGAGTAAACTCCAAATTTGGTGTTGTAAGCAGGATTATAGTAGTCAGGATTTTCCTTGAAATACTGCAATAGCAATGTCATGAACAGAATGTTTGATCAGCCAATTAAATTGTATATACATTTTTGAGTGTTTGTAGTAAGTAAACTTATGACAAAAGTACCTTGTGATGAACATTGGCTTGGTCAAAAGCACAGCCAACTGGGAATGTGTCACCTGAAAAATAAGGATCAGGATTGGTAATTTTGAAGTTGAAAATATATAAATATATTTCTGCACAATATAACAAAAGTGTGATGCATGAAATTCAATTCGTACCAACAACAGCCCATTGAGGAAGCTCCCCAAAGCTAGGAAGAAGAAGCACCTTCCCAAGATCTTAAACACATAAAGGATCAAATTAGCAACTTACTTAACTTACTGGTATGAAGTCCAGAAGAACAGATAATATTGAAGATATATATAAAGATATTAATACCATGGATAAGGCCAGTCAAGTGCAGCCAATCTTCATTGGGATAGTCCTTTCTAATGGCTTCAGCTGTTTGCAACAAGTGCTCGATTTGAGGTTCGTCTAAGTCCGGATCACTCTCATCCACAACCTCATTCAGAAGCTCACAGCATTCCCATATGCTCATCTCCACCCTGTTCAATTTGCTGTACTCTTTTCTCATTCTCTGAACCTGTTTTACATTTTTTTTTAATAATAAATATTATGTTTTAGCTAGGCAGATGCAAATGAAAATAGACCTATGTTTCAATCTTTTCTCATACCAAGGAAGTAAAATGGTGTCACAAAAATGAAGTATAGTGATGTTAGGGAAAGTTACTTACAAAGTCATAAGTCTGGTTGATGTGATTTATCTGGTAGAAAATCTCCACACTTGGTTGCCTCTCACCTTCTGCATCATAATCCCTGTTTTCCAATCCATGTAAAATTATTAATAACTAAATTTAATTGATAATTCAATGGAGAGGGTAAAAAATTCAATGAATTTCCAAAACAAGACCGAAAAAAAAGGCAAAAGTATGGGCCTGGCCAAAGGCCCAGCACAGAGGGCTGCACAAGAAGCCTTGGTTGGTCAAAAATAAGATGAACAAATAGACCTTCACTACTTCTGTTGCTCAAGCTAATGATAAGAACCCATGTCTTTCCGTGCTGGGAATGGTTTTCTTTCGTTTGGGTTTTCCTTTGCCATCATAGGAAATAATTTTTTTGACCTTTTTAGTTGGGTAATTAGAAATGAAAGTGAAAGCAAATGCTTTGAAACCTTGGTGTCCAGGTTTCCCAATCTCTGTTATTTTTTATCATTGTCCTCTTTTTCTTCCAAAATTCTTGAGAAAAAGGCACAGCTTCAAGGGGATCAAATTACCAGGTCTTTTTGTCTCTAGTGAATTAAGTGGTCATATACATTTTATAGTGAATTTTACTTGTAGATGATAAGCAAAAGAACTTATAACATAAGGAGACCATCCATGTTAGCTCCTACTCTAGATCAGATCATCTCATATCATATTAGATCTAGATCTGGAATACGGGTCGTGTTTGTCGTGTTCGTGAAAAACGGGTCGTGATTCAGATCTCTATAGATTTAATCCTGAAGAGTACATATAAAATAAATTTATGTATGCAAAAGTGTATAACCTAAATGTCTGTCCAAATGAGTTGGTATGTGGCACCACAAATAATCCATCGTCCAACACCAATTCCTTCTCATCCTCAAACACCTTTTTCTCCCCTGCCTCAGTTCCAACTTCAACTCCTGTGATTTTAAATCAGAGAAAAATCATATATAAATCACAGATTTTAAAGGAATCATTGATGAAAATAAATATATATTTTTTTTTCACACTGAAAATCCCAAAAGATCCCACCAAACCAAACTGCCCCAGATGAACAAGGATAAAAATAAATATTTATAAATAAATAAAACTAAAAATAGAGAATACCAACTTGGAAACTCATGATCAACAATGAAGAAAAATAATTTACAAAAATATAAGAAAATAAAAAATAAAATAAAATAAAACTAGGAAGTGGGAATTAATAATGTACCAAATTCAGGCTGCTCAATGAGGATGGTCATCCTGAATCAAACCTGAAGCAGCAGAGAAACCCAAGAAAACAGAGGAAAATAATGAAGAAAAAAAAACAATTTGGCCAAAGAATTTGGGCAGTGGTGGCATTTTGTGGCTTAGAAAATGATAAGTATTTATAGTTGGCCGGAGAGTCCTTTCCTGGCAATTCGGAGGTCTCATGTCCTTCCCTGAAAAATCCACAAAACTTTTTGGCTTCCTTCCTTACAATATTTACTCCGGTCAAACTACAAAATATTATTTTAACTCCAACTCGAGTAAAAGCAGAAAAGAAAAAATAAACAGAGACAGCAGAAATAATTGATTTTAAAAAAAATATATTTCCACCTTGTGGGACCCATGGGGTTCTGTCAGGGCTGAGTCAGCCTTGCGTTGGACGTGACGCTGCACCACCACCTACGGCAGCGCGCGTGTTGTCCTTATTAGGCAATTACTCTTTTTCACTGCCGTTTTTGGTAGTGGCGTGGCGTCGGTCGCAGAGTCTCTGGTCTGGTGGGTGCCACCCGTCCAGCTGCGAATCCGTGAGATCGGGACAAGTGTAAGAGTGGCAGCTGTTAAGATCTTGTATTCGTCGGCGTGCAAAGAGAAATAGTCACCTGTACAAAACAAGTACATTGGCTGTAGGATTTGTAGAGGGTTACACGTCGCCACGTAGGCATCAGGTTTTGTATATATATATATTTTCGGGATAGAATGTGTAAAAGTCAAAATAACCATTTTATTTGCTGGATTATGGGACAAGGGTAGAACGATTTATATGTCAAAAATGTAGAATTTTATGTATACAGATAAGGTTGGACTAGATTAGGGAAAAAATATAGAATTATTGGCAAAAATAATTTTAGCTTTGTCAACATTTCATAAGTCGGCATTTTACTTTAATCTAATATAAATTACTTGGAGGGGGATTCGAACTCGAGTATAGAGGGGAGCACATCACTCTAGTCAATTTGATTAAGTCCATATATGCATGATAAATTATATCTTAGATTAGGTTACAAAGGTCCTTGTGGTAGATTAGTCAAACTCAATTTAGATTTTCTCTGTCATTTGCTTTACCACGAGTACGTAGGACGGAATTGAATTTTTGACCTCTCCTAATAATCATTTGTTTTCTTATTTTTTTACTATAAAGAGTTGAGAGTCTAGACGTTGTTTTTAAAGTTCGGTTCTTCACAAATAGGTCCTTCAAAAAGCATTTGCAATCCACACTGAAAGTAGATCTGGGAGTGATACTTGTGTTGGGTGTGTGACTGATGACAATGACTTTTGCCTTACGAACTATACCACTATTTTGCATTACGACAACGTCGGCCAGGTGCTTGTCCTTGAGATTGGTTTTTGGACAAAAGGTGTTTGATATTATGAGCCTGGGTTTGTGTGGCTATTGTATGTAACAGCAAATACCTATCGTCCGTGCAATCTATTTAAATGTGAGTGTGAGTTTTGACGCTCGGACAGACATCATTGAGGCCGAGTAGTACTCCAAGACGTTGACAATAAAAAATAGGGAGTTTCACTAAAACACCCAAAATGGGAGCTGAAATTATAAAAAAACCCAACACCCAAAACACTTTATAAACACACCCAAAACCCATCATTACACACACTCAAAACCCATTTATAAATACACCCAAAAAATATACAATTGTTGATTTTGGGGTTGATTTTGGGTGTGTTTCTATGTTTAAATAGTGCTTGGGTTTTTTTATAAATACATGTCTAAGATTGGGTTTATTTATAAATTTGTATAAAAAATATGGGGAAAGGAAATTTATAAGCGACATCCATGCATGTCAAACAAAAATTCTTAATAAATCTGTAACATAACATTTTTATTGGAGAAGCTCCCAAGTTAGTGTATCTCTTATCATTACTCTATATCTATTATACCTCCAATTTCCGAAGGTATTAGAGGGAAAAAGCTCGTATTCTTATGGGGTTTCTCTTCTCCCAAAAGTTTTCCAAGTTTAGATAATATAAATTATCAGTGAGTGAGAAGATGGTTTTCCTTCATGTTTTCATGGTCGGCACGCATGTCTTCACCTCTCATTTTCAACAAATATCCTTACTCAGATTTGTCGGGCAAGTCATTTTACAGGCCAAAGCTGCTCTGCTCATTTGCATGCGACAAGTGGCAGCTACCATGAAAGTTGAAACTGACATTAACACAAAATGTTAGAAAAAAGAAAAAAAAAGTGATGCGACACCAGCCACACGACACTTGGCGCGACAGCTTCCGCAACACAAGCAGCGCAGGCCCTAGTGTTTCCTCCTTGCACATGGGTTGCTTCATGGCTGTGTGGGCTTCGCCAAATAAAATTCCAATCCAGGCAATAGCTGCTAGACTGGGATTTGGTCCAAGTTTGGGTTTTTTCAAATTTAGCCCCTTACTTCTCTTGAGTTGAGGGAGAAATTGAGCTAAAATTTAGGATTTTTTGAGTTTGGCCTCATGGGTTGGAGATGACCTTAAGTTATATGAAATAATTGTCTTTGAACTCAAAATATTGTTGAATTAACCTAAATTTTCGCCTTAAATGTTAAAAAAAATATCAAAGAGAATTATTTAAGGATACGAGGACTGCTAGAAAGTAACATTTTTCATTCATACATGAGTAATATCTTGTACAAAAGCCATTTTCATATAAGTATGTCAGTATGCTACAAATCTAAACAGCATCTTAAGACCCTACCTAAGCATTCTGAGTACTGGTAATAGGCAAACTCAGAATCTTCAGTCATAAACTTACAATAGAGATTGGTTGATACTCTGTCAAAGTTGCAAAATTAGTATCCATTCTTGTCAAATGGGTAGTAGCTTCAGTGTTATACATAGTTTTCTACTCTTAACAGGATGCAGAACTGGAAACCCTACTCTAAAATTTCATTCTTTTAGCCGGGCCTTGATCAATGATAGGATCCATCTGAGGTTGTTGGGGCTCTCCAGCTTGCTGGGTTTCAGGGCCGTTCTCAGCTTCTGCAGTGGGAGTGGGAACATAGCCTTCTGGAAATGGCGGTGGTGGTGGGGCTGGTGGTAGCTGCATAAACAGAGTGATTGTTAGGAGTTATTCCTAGTGATACATTTGTGATGAGATAAAAAAATCACAAGTTTCCCTTCCCAGAATAGCCTCCACTACATTAGCTGCAAAGCAATCTTGATCGTCTTGCACATTGTCATCCATCATATTAATATTCATCCATTGCTTTAGTGCCATGAAATTTATTCATTTCAATATAGGAGCATGGGATAATATTTGTGGCAATACTATGCATAATTACCTTGCGCTGTAAGGATTGAAGAATATGGTCTACTCGCTTTACTTCCTTAAAGTCAATTGTCTCTTTGGTAACCTTTGATTCAAAGGCTGCAGTCTCATTTTCAGAATCAACTGCATCAAAAAATGTGAACAAATTAAAACCATGAACATTGAACTCATAGTGACACACAAAAAAGCAACCACTTAAACATATGGAAAAAGGACATGCACAAACTAGCCTTCTCATATTTTAATTGTGCACAATATGCAGAAGGTTTTTAGCTTTGCATTCACCAATCATCCTTATATGCATGATACTATATGAGACCATCTTTAAAAGGGTATGGTTTCAAGAATTCAACCAAGATGAACTGTGATCAGAGAGCAGTATGATCCAGGCATAGTTGCATACATATCAACCCAGCCCAAACTAATCCAACAAATTCTTGGATTCGATTGGTTTGTACAGAGCTTGAGTTGGCATTGGTTTTTTAATCTCTCAACTCCCTGAGGTCAATTTGGTTGGAATTTGACCTAAAATCTTATCTGAACTGTACCATGTACACCCCTAGTGTCCAAGATTCTCATGTTCCTTAAACAAATCTCTCATGAAACACAAAAGCACCAGTAATAGATAGTGCACTTCAGAAAAATTGATAACTAGAATACATGTCCCTAGAACTTGAAAGCAATGGTTGGACAACAAGAGGTGGTTGCACAATTTAGTATGCTAATAAGCCCTATTCCAACTCTTTTCTTGACAAAACTAAACCAATGAAGTGTTCATTTTGAATTCATCTGTTTTGCATGATAATACTTTGATGAGCGAAAATATAGGGATTTATCATGATTGAACTTGCCTCTATTACTCGTAACTCTCAAAGACCCCTAAAGCCAAATAACAAGCACATGGTAAAACTAATCAAACCATGAGAATTTGAGAAACATCATGGTTTTGCAAGGCATTTCAATCTTCAACTTTCAAGCTTGAGATATAATATGAAAATGAACAAAACTGATACGACTAGACCCTTCCCATAAACTTTTATGGAATACCAACAAAAGTAAGTTAGTGTTGCTGTAACAACAAAAACACTGTTGAGAACCCTTCCCACTGCTGACATATTATCATTTGTTTAAGCTCATACTAATATAATTAAGCAAAAGGAGAAAATAGAACTCAATATACCGTATCCAATCTTTTCCAGCTTCGAGGCAGCAGTGGTAAAAGCCTTAGATATATAGTAGAGAGCACGTCCCTGCAACATGTGTAGACAGAAAATCAGAATGAATACAGATTTTCCTTTGAAATATTAATCCCAAGATCTATGAACACACCAGATAATAGTACCACTATCCAACAAATGGATGGCATGCGCGGTCTTAACTTAGATACTAGACAGAACAATAACTAAGCACAGGTTCATACAAGGACTTTAAGCATAAATTTGAAATTACTCGAGGATAATAATTCTTTTATGATTTTCTTATGGCACTGCTAGGCAAATGCCATTCAGTTAAGTCCTAATTTGTTCAAACCACTCCAAAGAAAAAACTTACAATTCGAGCTGCAAAAACATTGCAAAGCTGTGGTGCTTGGTAAATTGTACCATCCAAGACATAATAAGTCAGCATCGGCGTAACTTTCTCCGGACCATCCCTCTTTTGCTTGCGGAAAACAAAAAGGTGTGGCTCCATTACTTCATTCAGCGAGTATTCAGTACCTGTCATTTTCCTGTAAACCAATCAACTAACCATCACGAACTGTGCCTAATCCCAACCATATGGGGTCAACCACAATAGCCATATGAACAATCAGCATTCTGTAAACCAATCAACGAAACCACACAATTTTAAGTAGTTCCTTATTATATCTATATCTATTCAAATTGCTCCGTCGATTAACCTAGTCAGGTTTCAATAGTCCATACAACCAAAATAATTTTTAACTGGGTTCTGCTAATAACATTACAAACCTCTTCTTTTTAATGATCATGCCAATGTAGAACACACAAATACCACGCAGTAATGTTTCTTAAACCTCTTCTTTCAAATCCCTAAACTTCCACGCCCTTTAGCTTTAACCACTACAAATGTCACACAAATTCACTTAATTCTAACTCCAGAAGAGTCCAACATACAGGACACTAATATAATCTTCCCAACAAATTTCAGAAACCCTAGCTACCTAAAATTCACTAGAAAAGGCAAAAGCTGAAGAACATTTCCAAAAATTGGGGAGGTGGGTTTTACTTACGAGAGGTGAGAGGGGTCGAGGGGGTGAATGGAGCGTTGACGAAGCTGTTCATTGTTGCAGGTCCAGTCGTAGAAAGGAGAGATAGCGAAGTAATCGAAGACCAAATTGCGATCGAGAGGATACGAGTTCAGCCATAGCTGGTCCTTGAAGCATATTCCGGTCATGTCCGTGCCCGGTGGCTGTACTGCCATGGGCGGCGGAGTGCCCTCCATGCTCGGCGGTGCCATCGGTGGCGTCGCCATTGATCCTCTTCTTCCTCACTCTGCCTCCTCTTCAGGCAACAGGAGGGCGGGCAGGGAAAGGTAATGACTTTCCTCAATGATTAATTAATCAAATCTCATGGGCAAAATTCCTATAAAAAAAAAATCATGGGCAATTTTGTAACCTAACGAAAGTTCTGTTTTTCCCCGATGCGATATGTTAACCAACCAAAAGCTTTCCTTGCAATAGAGATTGGATTCACTTTAGTAAATGTGATCGGAATACTTAGTATTTTATATTAATGATTAGTTATATACATCTAATTTTAGTCATTAAATTATATTCATTAAATGTGTTGATAATCTCTTAGATGTAATTCAACAACCGACATTAGAAGTATGTAACCAATCCTTAACTTAAATACTTATTGGAGAATCTCCCACTTAATTGATTCAATATGAGTTAGTCAATGTCATATGCATCGAAATGAATTCACACACTACGTTTGTAATGGAAGGGATAGATGTCATTAGGATTTAAACTTATAAGACCACTAAATTGCAAGTAAACACTCTTACCACTGAGTATCAAGACAATATTACCCTATCACTCCCTAACTTATTCAATGGAATTATTTGGTGATCTATGAGCTTCTTAAATTTGACCCCAATATTCTGATAATTGTTTAAAACAAATTAAGTTTTCAATTTAGGCTAGGAGTTTTGAGTGCTCTAGTGTGCCCATGAGCACCAAGAAAAAGAAATGAAAACATATTGCCTTGATTTTTGTTAACATTCTTCTTTGAATAATTCTGGTAGGTTCACAATGGTTTAGGATCAATTTCCGGCTTGGTGCAACTCATCCGAGTTCAAAACTCCAACGTTTAGAAGACATCTTTCTTTCAAAAATTATTGAGCCATGCTTTCATTCCAAACAATATTATTGGCTCATTAAAAAAATTCTCAATTTGTGCATTTCATATTTTCCATGAATTATAAGTTGTAAATCTGATTTTAGGATTGTCTGAATCGGAATAAAAATTTGCCAAATTTTTAAGAACTCGGAAAGAATATTTCCATTAAATTCTAAAGTTTTGAAATTCCAAACTCACAAGCCTTCAAAATTCTTAAATTTCAAAGTTTTCAAGTTATGGAGGAAAGAAGAAGAAAATGGGAGATATAACAAATTTAAGAAGCAAGGAGAAAGAAATTGAAAATCAAATATCAACCAAATAAGTATGAAAATTTTCTCACAACTTTCAACCCTAAATAATTCAAAGCTATCAACTCTTCTCTACTCCTCTTTTGCATTTTCATCTTACTATTAGAGCCAGACACTCTAGCATTTACACATATAGACTTGTATCATAAGGCAAAATAAAAAGAAATGTACATAAAAACAAAAAATGTAAATAAAAAAGTTCATAGTGTTGTAAAATGAACAGTATATGCGGAAATATTGAGCTGCAAATAAAGTAAATGAGACAATATTTAACGAGGTAGTTCACGACCCATAGGCCTTCTACCTCCACGCGGCATTGCTCCGTCAGGCTTTCACCCATTGCCGAAAATTCCCCACGTTCAGCCATGCTTAAGTCCTCGGAGAGCAATAGTAGTAACTTTTTCACTATATAAAATAATAGGACTACAACTTTAGTGTTTACAATCTATGTGGCTCACTGATTTTTCTCTCCTCTCAATTTCCTTTCTTCCTTTCTTTCGCTAATTGAATGGAAGCAGCCAAGCTTCATGTGGGTGTATATAAAATTCCTCCAAAATGTGGCTGACATAGAATCCAATATATTTACAACACGTGGTGCTTTGTTGAGAAGGATGAAAATGTGACACATGGCGCCATATTTTACTATCTGAAAGTAGGGGTGACATTTTAAACCGAAAAATCGCAAAAACCAACCGACAATTTACCGCAATGGAATTGCAATCGCGGAAAACCAAACCGCATTTGCAGTATGAAGAACCAAATCACATTTGCTGTTGCGGTTGGGGTATTTGATTTTCAAAATTTGTGGTTACCGCAAACCGCGACTATATTTATAAATAAATAAAAATTGCATTTTATAAATAGCATTGGTGCTCAAACAACACAACGGGGTCCTTCAAATTCACTCACCACCACCAACACTTGAGTTTGTAACGTTAATTAACTTTGAATTGGATTTTTCATTTGGCTTGTAACTTTAATTCATTTTGCATTGCATTTTCCTTTTGGTTTGTAACTTTAAAGGATTTGGAATTGGAATGCTTGAAAAGTTGAGGTTGTGAATGCTTGAGAAATTTAACTTTAATTTGAATACTTGGAATTGTAACTTTAATTTTTTTTAGGTTGTGAATGCTTGAGAAGTTGAGGTTGTGAATTTATTTATTTAGGTTGTGAATTTATATTTTTGGTTAAAGTATGCTTGAAATCAAAAGACTTCAAAAGAACCATCAAAATTAGGCCTAAAATGTGGAAGATTAGATTTTTATGACACAAAAAGAAATTGCGATTTTAAACCGCTTTTTGCCGTTTACCACAATGTAGTAAATTGCAAAAAGCAATCGGTTTGCGGTTTCAAAAATCATCATACCGTAAATAATCGGTCGGTTTGCGATTTGAACAAAAATTCGTTGTTATCGAACTGCAACCACCCCTATTAGAAAGGGTGGCACTGGTCAATGGTCATGAGATTGGATATTTCCAATTTGGATCTACAGTATAATTCCATCAATTCTGGATTGACTTGCTCTCATCAGTGGCCAAATTATTTTTTTGGCTAAATTTCTCCTTTCATTCTCTTAGCTAGAAACAACGAAAATTCTACGGTGCCATTATTTTTTAATAATGGGCAACATCTTCTCGATCTCTATATCATGTGATGGCATTCTTTCTGGCTGCTGGGATTGCACTGCTGGGCAAGCAGCATACCCATGTATGCTGAAATCCAACCTTCATGATCTGCAAACTGCTTTAGAAGAATTAGCAGATCAAAAGAATGATGTGCAGAGAAGGGTTGAGAATGCTGAGCAGCAACAGCATTTGAAACGTTTAGACCAAGTACAGAGATGGATATCAAGGGTGGAAGCCATGGAAGCTAAAGTCAGTAGCTTGGTTAGAGATAAAGATAATAGCACTCAAAAAGTTGAGAAATTGTGTAAATTTGGAGGTGGGTTATTCAGCAACTGCAAAACCCAGTACAAGTTTGGGAAAAAATTGACTAAATTGTTGGTGGAAGTGAATGCTTTGCAGAGGAGGGGAGTTTTTGAAGTTGTGGCTGAAAGGGTACCTGCAGCTATAGTGTATGAAAGAAGCACTGAACCAACTGTGGGCATGGACTCAACATTTGGCAAGGTTTGGGGTTACCTTGAAGAAGAGCAAGTGGGAATTATTGGCTTGTATGGCATGGGAGGTGTAGGTAAGACTACCCTTTTGACCAAGATCAACAATAACTTCCTCCATACCCCCAATGATTTTGATCTTGTGATTTGGATAGTGGTCTCTAAGGACCTAAAGCTTGAAAATATTCAAGATAGCATTGGGGAAAAGACAGGGTGTTGTGGTGACACATGGAAGGATAAAGATTACATTAGAAAAGCTGAATACATTTTCAGGGTCTTAAAATCAAAGAAATTTGCATTGCTATTGGATGATATATGGGAGAGGGTTGATTTAGCCAAAATTGGGGTTCCTATTCCTGACAGACAGAATAAGTCCAAGCTAGTATTCACAACTCGCTCTGAGGAGGTGTGTAGCCGTATGGGCGCTCACAAAAAGATTAAGGTAGAGTGTTTGGCATGGGACAGAGCATGGACTTTGTTTCAAGAGAAGGTGGGTGAAGAAACACTTTATATTCATCCAGATATCCCTAAACTAGCAGAAATCGTCGCCAAAGAGTGTGACGGTTTGCCATTAGCTCTAATTACAGTTGGTCGGGCCATGGCTTGCAAGAAGACACCCCAAGAATGGAATCATGCAATTCAAGTTCTAAAAAGATCTGCCTCTGAATTTTCAGGTATGGGAGATGAGGTATTCCCTCTTTTGAAATTTAGTTATGATAATTTACCTAGCGAGAAAGTTAGATCTTGCTTCTTATATTGTGCATTATTTCCAGAAGATTTTCTCATTCACAAACGAAGATTAATATATTGTTGGGTTGGTGAGGGAATTTTGGATGAGTATGATGACATAACTGGAGCTCAAAACCAAGGGTATGATATTATAGGTACTCTGGTTAATGCATGTTTATTGGAAGGTAGAGAAGATTATGTGAGAATGCACGATGTGATTCGTGACATGGCAATGTGGTTGGCTTGTGAATGTGGGAAGGCCAAGGGGAATTTCCTTGTGCATACAGGTGCTCATTTGATTGAAGCTCCCGATTTCGAAAAATGGAAAGGTGTGAAAAGGATGTCACTAATGGCTAATCAGATTGAGAATCTAGTAGAAAGATCCATATGCCCTAGTTTGTCTACCCTGTTTCTCACTAATAATCGTTTGAAAATGATTAGTGAAGGCTTCTTTCAGCATATGCCCAGTTTAAGAGTCTTGGACCTGTCAGAAAACAAGGGTATAACTCATTTGCCAATGGGAATATCAAAATTGAAGTCGCTACAATATCTCAATCTATCGCAAACGGGCATAAGAGACTTGCCAATTGAGTTGAAGGCCTTAGACAAGCTCAAATATTTGAACCTGGAGTTTACCAGTAAATTGAATATGGTTCCAAGGAATGTAATTTCAAGTTTTCTGGTGCTGAGGGTGTTGAGAATGTATGATTGTGGTTCATCGGACGATATTCTATTTGGTGGAGAAGAATCTTTAGTAGAGGAATTGGTGTGTTTGAAACACTTGGATGTGTTGACTATCACCATAAGGTGTGTCTCTGCTTTCAAAAGATTCTTCACCTCCCTCAACTTACTGACCTGCACTCAAGTTCTATGCCTTGAGTCCTTCACCTGTGTGAGCTCCCTTGATATATCGCCGTTGACAAACATGAAATGTCTGGATATCCTTAATATTTGTGATTGCGAAAGCATGGAAGATTTGAAGCTTGATTTGGTTCAGGATGGAGCGGCTGCACAAGCACCTAACGGTCCTTGCAACTCAATCACAATGATCAAAAGTTGCTTCCACAGCCTTCAGCGGGTAAGTGTGTATGAGTGCCCCAAACTAAAGGACTTAACATGGCTTATTTTTGCTCCAAATCTTGTAACTATAGACATGCATGACTGCCCTGAAATGGAACAAATAATCAACTGTGGGCAATTGAGCAAAGTTGAGGAGGTGGTAGAAGATTTGAGTTCATTTGCAAAACTTAACAACCTGATATTGATCAATCTGCCACAGTTGAAGAGCATGTATGCAAATGCATTGCCGTCTCCATATCTGAAGACAATTGTTGTATTTAACTGTCCACAACTGAGGCAGCTCCCACTGGATTCCAGTGCAAGCAAACGTAATATCGTCATCGAAGGAGAGGAAGACTGGTGGAATGAGTTAGAATGGGAGAAGGAGGCTACTCGAAATGATTTTCTTTCCTCATTCAGAAATTTAAAGCTTTAACATAACTGGCAATTGCTGTATTAGTGTTCCTTTCATGCCATGATATGATTGCTCCCTTCTGTACATATATCTTTACTAAAGAAGGAATTGATAAATGCAATAGTCGTAGCTTTTGTCAAAAGTTGAAGAATAGTGAATGGTAAACAATCTCAGTACAGGGTAAACAAGTTTCTGACTTAAATATGTAGGAATTTTTTAAAATATAAAAATAAAAAAAAACTTAAATATCTAGAATTAATTTGTACCAAATAATGCATGGGAGATTCTTCAATAAGTACATAAGTTAAGGATTAGTTAAATATTTCTAATCTCGACCGTTGGATTGCATTCATTAGACCAATCGTTAACATAAAATACTTATTTAAGAATTTTCCAATAATGCATATATAACATAATATCGGATCAGATTGAGATGCGAGCAATGTTATAAAAGTTTAGCCCAATCCAACTCCTATGGGCTAACAATCTACAGCCCACGTCATATTCCTTAGGTAACAAGGAAAAGGAATCTTTATCTATATAGAAGGCTCGCGAGTAACACATAATCTCTGAAAGGGAGGCATAATTCGCAGACTTAGGGCTAGGCCAGTACACTCGAGTATTCTCCTCCATGTTCACTAGACTAGTTTACAGTATTTTTTTGTCAAAAAAAATAACAAAAAGAAAGAGAAGAAAAAGAAGAGGGAGAAATGATTCAAGCATTCATCCAATTGAGTATCCTCTGAATCGAATATCGGATTTGCCGGATTCGATTATGCAGAAAATCCTCTGTCGATTGCCTGCCTGTGAAGATGCTGTCCGCATGAGCTTCGTGTCGAAAACATGGCAAACCCTATGGAGCTCACTACCAGCCTACCATTTTGATTTCAATTCTGATACGGGACAACCCATCTCTTATTATTATCAAGCAGGCCGGTATCCTAAAAGGAAAAGGTCTGCCGCCACGGCGCTGGAAGAATCGCTGCGAATGCTCCATGAATATGACGATGATCAGAAAAAGGTAATCAATTACTTTAGGCTGAGAGGGAGAGTTCCTCTGCAAAGCCAAGCCTGGAATGTCGACCGTTGGATCAAGCTGGTAACCAAACACTTTGTCAAAGAGCTACATCTCCGCTTCAGTTATGTTGCCGGGATCCCAAGGTATCGTTTTCCTCCTGCAAGCTTTGATGTTGGGTCATTAGTTGTGTTGAGTTTAAGCCATTGTGTTTTGGACCAAGCTTTGGTTCAAGAGGGAAGGAGGTTTTGTTGCCTAAAAGAGCTTAGTTTTTCTTATGTTGATTGAATGGACTAGTCACGGACCTCCTTTCTAGATGCCCTTCACTTGAAACACTGGAATTCTACCGGTGCGAAAACACTCAGCATACTCAACTTGGCGATCTTACAAAGCCTATCAAGACGGTGAACATTGAATTTTGAACTCAATTTTGGTATCCAGTTTTGAGTTACTACTTGAAATATTAAACGATTTAGCAAATGTAAATTACCATATTTAGCTCAGATAAATAGCAGAAGAGCTAATAAGCTTGTCTCTATTATTGGGGGGCGATGTTTTGATGAGTTTAAGTGAACACCTAAAAAAGGCCCCAGTCTTAATTTATGCATAGCACCCCATAAGTTTTAGGGCTTCACCAATGTGTTGGAGCAGGTTTTGGGTGGTTTTCGCCTTTCGTTTCGATTCTATGATTTTCTTCGGATTTTAGTTCAATACAAGTATATAAGCTTTAATGATCAATTTATGTTTGTTTAACTGTTTACTGTTATTGATTTTGTTTATATTATTCAACAAGGTAAGATCACAATTTGTGTTTATTTTATGTGAAAAGATCGTATCGGTTAAGCATGTATATATACACTACCTGGTAATTTGGAAAAGTGTTTGGCAAGCAAGAAATAGAGAGAAACTGATAAATTTTTTCGAATCTCTTTGTATTCCTGAATTGCTTGATTTTATCTTTAATTTTTTTCAGAGTCAAATTTGATTACCTATTTTAGAAAAATTAAGGTAACTTCACAAATGCAATTACATGAACATAAACTGGAAAGATCGATATGTCTATCTTGAGATTTTCTAAGAAGATTTGCTCCTACACGTTTTACCCTGCATATATATATCACATATCTCAATGAATTTCAAATTGTAACAAATGAAAACAAATAAGTCACAGATATATGCATGTTGAAGGCAATGACGTTAATTTTTTCTTCGAAATTTATTTTATTACTTGATATTAACTCCTGATGAGTAGCTAGCACTCTCTAGCTAGCTGACTAGGAACCAAGACATGTTTACACTCCCTGTGTCCATGCGGAGAAAGCAAGAAACGGGTGATGCTCTCCTGAATGTGCCTATGCCTATTTTAGCAATGCATGCAGATCCCAGTTCATGATCAACTATGGGACGCAGAACATTAACATTGGAATTATTGTGCTTGGCCTGAAAATCTTTGCATAAGTGTTTGGATAAATTGGATAGGAGAATAAGCTTTTGGATTCTTTGACGCAGCACAAGCAAAAAGGTTTCAAGTGAAAACCCTGAAGAACAATAATCTGGAATCCACCAGGAATTTAGAGAGAAATTCTCTTTGAATTATTTGATAAAAATTCAGAAGAGTTCAACCAAGCATAATGGTTGACTAAATACATCGTTCTCACCCATTGAACTGCCCTGGGGAGTTATTGAAAACTTAACAGAAAATAAATGGATAGTCTGTAAATTGAACACAATCTTTAAATGCACTTTTGGAAGGCCAAACGTCCTCAGAAGCCCAAAATCCACCATTTGTCACGGTGAACTTGTGAGTTGAACTTGTGGCGTAGTTCCCTTTACGAGAAGGTATTATGCGACCCAATCGGAGCTCGGACGCTAAATCTGTAAATTCCCGCTGCGTCCTTTTTCCCTTCTTCGCTCCAATTCTTCTTCAATCCATTCAGTCATTTGTTCTACATCATTCTTTGTTCTGGTGTAAGGTTGGGTTGGTACAGGGTTGATTTTGGGGAATCGCAAGTCTTGGTAACAGCAGAATTGCTAATAGAATGTAGAGACAAAGAAATTTGACTGTGTTGGCCATGGCAATTTCAATGTTTTGTTGAGCAATCTTTAACCAACGCTCCCAAGTTAGTCATGTCTTAGAAAGTGACACAATCTGTTGTTCTATTCTAGCTAACGCTTTTCAGATAAGAAAAGATCTGGTTATTGCACATAATGTTTGGGGAATTGATTCGAAAGTGCTAAAAATTTCTGTGCCATAGGATCTCCTTGACTCTAAAAATAGAGATGACGCCTCACTAAAAAGAAATCTAAAGGTAAAAACTTTAACAATATATTTTAGAGGAATGAACAAACAGTAGGAAATCTGTAACACCTGTATATACTTGTGTCATTGAGTAACTGCATCAATAAGATCATCTGATGAACAATGTAAAATTAAGACTTATATTGCCAAAATGAACATAGTAACTTGTGCATAATTTTGGATAATCAAGATAGTTATTTAGACAAAACAAGCAGCATCCATCCATGCTAGTATTCTTTTCAAACAATAATAGGAAGCTACCACTGAAACTACAAACTACAATTGTCAATAAAAACAGCTACCCTAATGCTAGTACCACTGCTTTAAAGTGATCCAAGAAACTTCTTCAAGATTTCTCCATAATACACGGCTGGCTAAACCTTCACGACCAATCACGAGTTTTCCATCTTTAATACCATGAAACCCTTTAATCTTAACTGATTTTAAGTCATGCCGCCAACATTTGATATGGTTGTCTCCACAACAGAGGAGATTTGTTTCGACATTAACTTCTTGTATAAATCCTGAAAGGTACGAAGGTCACATGCAGTGAATAGTTATGGAACCTACATACATAAGAAATTAAGCAGTCAATATTGTCCTATAAGATTACCAAATTCTTCCTTAATTCTTCCTTAGCAAATCTGGAGAACTTGTTTCTTGTCTTAATTCTTCCTTAGCAAATCTGATCTGTATGCATATATATATATTTTATAAAATAAGTTAATTAAGGTGACAAATATACAATAAATACATAATGAAGAAGAATTGAGCTGTATTTGTGGACTTACAACTGGGGGAGTAAAATTTTTTAAGACCACCCTTGTTTTGGCGTGAACTTTCCAAGATATTCGAGCAGTTGAAGAAACCATGAAGTGCCAATATCACTCCTGGGTTCTAGGATTCTAGCTTCATAGAATTTAAAGAAAAGGACGGCTGAAGTTCTTGACCGGCGTGTTTGTAAGAAACAAGGTTGGGAGTCTCTATGCTGATCTTCTTTATCATAGTGTCATCTTGGAAATTCAATGTTAATGCCTTGAGTTGGTGACTCAAGATTTTCAGCTCTGTTGATTTATAAGAGACTGACAAGTTTATCTTCTCAAGAAAGGGAAATTTCAAAAGAAGTGTCTCAATATATTGAAGGCTAATTTCACCGCTAGGAGTTTCCATTATCAACTCCTTTAAATTACTGCAGTTGATTGCTTCAAGGTCCAATGGGTAGCATTTCCATGTACGATAGCAATAACCGAAGAGTTTGAAGATTGGATGCTTCAATCTTGTAGCTATGAACTCTAGTAGTAGTGTCTAGGTCAACATTCTTGAGCTTGGAAATCCACAGAGCTGAAGATCTTTTAGGTTTCTAGAAAGGAGCTCATTGGTTAATCCATTCAAATCCACAAGTGACAAACTGAGCTCTTTTAGGCAGCTCAATCTCATGCCCTCTTGCATTAAGGCTTCCTTGGAAATATCACAAGAACTTAACCTCAATACAACTAATGACCCAAGATCAGAACTAGCCGGAGGAAAACTGTACCTTGGGATTAATTCATCAATATAATTGAATAATATGTTTATGTGGAGCTCCAGCACTTGGACATAGTGTTTGATGACCAACTTGATCCAACGGTCGATATCAGAGGCTTGCTCTTTCTTGTGAAGTGTCCCTGTCAGCCTAAAACTGTCCTTTTCTGATCTTCATGTTCATGTAGAACTCTCAAGGACTCGTCCACAGAAGTTACAGACTCCTCTTCTGACCTTTTCCTCTTTTGATCCAGACCATCTTCACTTTCCATACAAAAATTAAATTCAGAGACAGGTAGTGAGTTCCATAGACTTTTCCATGTTGTTGACAAGAAGCTCATACGGACTGCATCTTGGGCAGGCAAGCGAAAGAGGATTTGATGCATAATGGAATTTGGCAACTGCGATATTCGATCCATACTAGATGAATGATGAATGTTTTCTGAAGAAACTAAAAAAGAAATTATTGTACGCTACTGAAACCCTAGCTATAGTTTTTCCTGTATATATGTTTGGAACCCTAGCTGTAGTTTATTCCTGTGTGATATTGGGCTCCTGCCACATACCAAGCCATCCCCAAACTACAGAGTTCCTTCTTTATTTTTAGTCCTTAACGCTGGCCCAATATTCATATAGATATATTTTAATTAAAAAAAATATAGAAATATATATTCCACGTTAATGAATGTTCCTTTGCTGTGCAGGTTGGTAGTGAAATTATTCAGAGCTGCCTCAAAGTGCGGCGACACGGCATCAATTGACTTGAGACCTTTTCTCGGTCATCGGTTGACTTGGGACTTTGGTGCACCTACCACTGTACCAACTTATATTTACAACCTCATAAATTTGGAAAAAGAAACAGAAATTAAAACCAAAAGAGGTGAAAATGACTTGGTCGTTGGGATCCAAAGGCTAAATCATATATATGCTCATACCCTTTATAAGAAATTTACACTAATAAATATGTTTTTGAGGTTCGTGTTTTGTGTTGCTAAGTTTTGTGCATGTTTTGTTTTTTTGGGTTTATTTTAATTAGTGTTATATTCAATCGCATGTGGGTACTTCTTACTATATAGATGTACGTAGATCTTACAATGAGTGCGGAGATAAATTCTCTACTGTTGGAGACGCTTGCTAAGTTTGGGTCGTTTTTCTGATTGCCTGAAATAAAAAACATATTACAAATTTTGAAATTTGGGTTCTCTTCAACTTGTGGTGACAGCAAATTTGGGTTCCCTGATTGAGATTTGTATCGTTAGTCTAAGTCAAAGTAAACTCATGTGTTCACTTGGAAATGAAGTACCAATTGGATGTACTATTGATCACGATAGGAGCGTTGAATCAAATTTAACAATTCTGTGGATTATCAATTATCAATTTGTCAACGCAAAAACTTGCAAAAATTTTCTTAGTTTTAAACACATTATTGTTTCTCATTTCACTGCTTTGGCAATTTATACTACAAGTTGATATTCATGACGTGTCAACTTGCAAAAGATTCCCTTTTCAGACGCAAAACTTGACTAGGTCCATGTTTATTTATTTCTTGCTCCAATTCTACTACTTTGGCAATATATATTACAAGAGAATATTCAAGAAGAAGATGTTAATTTGCAGCTTCATTTCTTCCCTTGGAAAAAAATTTCTTTCTGCATAATGGAGATGTTCGAACATCTTCTTTCTGCATTGCTTTGTGGTTTTGCTCTTATACTTGTAGTTCATGCACAAGATGATCAATCAGGTATGTTCATATATTGATCATTTAAAACTTGAAAAATTATTAATTTTGATCATAAATGGTTCACTAACAATTTGGCTAGCTAATATACTCTCTCTGATCACTCAGGCTTCATCAGCTTGGATTGTGGGCTGCCTACAAATTCTAGCTATTCTGAGCCAACAACAGGCCTTGACTACATTTCAGATGCAGCCTTCATATCCACTGGTGTAAGCAAAAGTATTGCCCCTCAGTACAAAGCTACTCATCAACAGCAAACAGCTTATGTCAGGAGTTTTCCTCAGGGGGTCAAGAACTGTTACAGAGTAAACATTACACAAGGGACTAAATATTTGATCCGAGCAAGTTTCGTGTATGGAAATTATGACGGGTTAAATAAGCTGCCAAAGTTTGATCTTCTCTTTGGAGCTAATTCTTGGGACTCAGTGGCATTTGTTGATGCATCTTCGAGTATTATCAAAGAACTTGTTTATGTTCCCACATTAGACTATATACATGTGTGTCTAGTCAACAAGGGCACTGGAACACCATTCATTTCAGCACTGGAGTTGAGGCCTTTGCAGAACACTACTTATGTCACTCCAATGGGTTCGTTGGAACTCTTCCTTCGCTTAGATGTCGGTTCGACATCCAATCAGTCATACAGGTGAGCCATTTCATATCTGAAGTAGTACTGGTTTCAAATGTATTCTATTTTCTAGCTACTGATAACAAGTGGTACTATTACTTAAGGTATGATTATGATGCTTTGGATCGGATTTGGGTACCTTATACCTACAATAAGTGGACACAGTTAACTACCTCGCTTACCGTAGATGCTCAAAGTCACAATGACTACCAAGTACCATCTATAGCAATGAGAACTGCCAGCACACCGATTGATGCCAGTGCTTCCATGGACTTCAGCTGGGAATCCCCGGATACATCGACTGAATACTATGTGTACCTGCACTTTGCTGAACTCCAGCAGCTTAAAGCCAACCAGTCCAGAGCATTCAATATCACTCTGAATGGAGATTATTGGTTTGGACCTGTTGTCCCAGAGTACTTGTCCACAATCACCGTGTTCAGCCGCTCATCCTTAACTGGAGGCAACTATAGTTTTTCACTTGTTCAAACTGAGAATTCAACTCTCCCACCAATCCTCAATGCCATGGAGATCTACTCATTGATCGATTTATCTCAACCAGAAACCGATGGAGATGATGGTATGTGAATCATTTCAAAATCTTTCTTGTCAATTTAGTTTCAGTATTCAAGTATTTCAGTATTTAATTTGCTTGTGATAAAAATAGTGGCTGCCATCATAAACATAAAGTCAACATATGGAATGGACAAAGATTGGCAGGGAGACCCATGTACTCCCCAAGGCTACATGTGGGAAGGTCTTAACTGTAGCTACAGTGGATCCCCTAGAATCATATCCTTGTAAGTCAATGCCTGCTTTCTCTTTAATTTAGGTTTTTTTTCTTCTGAACATCATGAATGAATTTATTGAACTTTCGATTAGGGACCTGTCCTCGAGTGGATTGACCGGGAGATAACTTCATATATATCCAATCTTGCCATGTTACAATCTCTGTAAGTATCTCATGATCAGAAGCTCAATAAGTTAGCAAGATATATGCATATAGGTTCCTCATGATGATATGGTCTTTAAAACTAAATCTATGCATATTGCTTAACTCAGGGATTTATCAAACAATAGCTTGACTGGATCAGTACCTGAATTTTTGTCTAAATTGCCAAACCTGAAAGTCCTGTAAGTACCTTGGATTTGAATTGTGACTGCAAAGCTGTTGATAAATTAGGAAAGCAGGGTATCAATAAAATTTCTATTCCCTTGCAGTAACCTGGAAAGAAACAAGCTCAACGGTTCAGTTCCAGCTGACCTTATTCAAAGATCAACAAGTGGTTCACTATCATTGAGGTCTGCTTCTGGCCATAGTAGTTTCTTTTTTCATTTCCATTACAATCTTCTGTTCTTTTATCGGAAAGAAGCATTAAAATCTGTAGGAGTTACTAGACCTATTCATGCCACATTGACTTTTATGTTGTTGGCTACAATTCCAATTTCCATGACTGACTATTGATCATCAACCTTGTTGATAGTGTGGGAGAAAATGCAGACCTATGTGCATCAATATCATGCAAAAAGGAGGAGGAGAAGAAGAAAAATATAGTAATTCCAATAATAGCATCAATTGGTGGGTTTTCTATTCTTGTGGTAACAGCAGTGGCTATATTCATGGGCCTGAAAAGAGGAAGAAAACAAGGAGGTAAACTATAAAGTTCAAGACGAAACTATTGAAAATTTGGCTATCAAGAATACATGTTCTGAAGTAAACACAGAAATTGTATTCCTATGCTTATGAAACTCCTGATGATCTATTTTTGCAGTGCCACAACAACCCAATAATCAAATTGATTCATTCGAGTCCAAAAAACGCCAATTCACATACTCAGACATCCTGAGGATCACAAATAACTTTCAGACAAAAGTTCTTGGGCGAGGTGGATTCGGAAAAGTTTACCATGGTTTTGTTGATGATACTCAAGTAGCTGTGAAGATGCTTTCTCCAACATCAGGTCAAGGATACCAACAATTTCAAGCAGAGGCATGTACTCTAAGAACTCATGGATAAATTATAATGACCTCATTTATATTTTTAGGACCAAAATATGACTTTAACGCTTAACTTGCAGGTCAAACTTCTTATCAGAGTTCATCATAGAAACTTGACTAGCCTCGTTGGATACTGCAATGAAGGAACCAACATGGCACTCATCTATGAATTTATGGCCAATGGAGATTTGGAATCACATCTTCTAGGTAGGGATCTCGATTAAATTGGGACTCGACCTCCTTTGAATCCAATATTAAACAAAAAATAAACTGGGTTTTGACACTTAATTGTATAGGTGCGGACAGTAATGCAAATGTGTTGACTTGGGAAGGTAGACTTCAAATAGCAACAGATGCAGCACAAGGTTAGCCAGTGGAGACTTTGGGCAATCAAAATATATTAAATGCTTTCCTATTTTGTTTGCAGTAACAAAAGAATGGATTTGAAATGTAGGATTGGAGTATCTGCACAATGGTTGTAAGCCGCCTATTGTCCATAGAGATGTGAAGGCAACAAATATTTTGTTGGCTGAAAATTTCCAAGCAAAATTAGCTGACTTTGGCCTGTCCAGAATTTTCCCAACTGATGGAGGCACTCATATGTCCACAGCTGTAGCTGGCACCCCTGGATACCTTGACCCTGAGTAAGAAGTCTCTGTGTCATTTATTTATGCATGCTTTTCAATTTTCTTTTAAGGCAATGTGGAACTTTATATAGAACAATGGCAACTTTACACTTGAGTCATATTTGGCTTGCAGGTACCACACAACAGGATGGCTGAATGAGAAAAGTGATGTTTATAGCTTCGGAGTTGTGCTGTTGGAGATCATCACTAGCCGCCATGCGATATCTAGAACACAAGAGAAAGTTCATGTCAGTCAATGGGTTAGCTCTATGCTTGCTAAAGGGGATATCAAAACTATCGTTGATCCAAGGTTACATGGAGATTATGAAATTAACTCTGCCTGGAAGGCTGTTGAACTAGCAATGGAGTGTGTGTCTGACACATCCACCAGAAGGCCAAACATGAGTGCGGTAGTGATAGGGTTGAAGGAGAGTTTGGCAGCAGAGTTGGCTCGAACCAACGTGAGCCGTGTGACTGAATCAACAGATTCAGTTGTGTACTCTATGAATGTGACTACTGAACTCAGTCCTTCGGCAAGGTAATTCTTTGTGTCCAGAAGGTGAATTTCGAAAGCCGGGTAGTTTTCATTTTCCATTTCCTCTGTTTTAAGCTTCATTCATTGTCCAATGCTTTTGTAATTGTATTTGTTATATCATCTTGTGTTGAAGATTTGTGGTTGTGAGGGTCTTCAGTAAGGCTCTGCAACTATGTAATTGTAAAAAATGTACTGGTATAATATTTGTATATGTGTCTGTATCATGAATCATGATATAATATCATTAGAGTTGGTGATCCTTTCCCTTTTTAATTTAAAAGACATAAACAATGCATAGAGAAGTCGATGCTGGTAACAGATTTAACATATTGAGAAGTTGACTTTTGAAAACCACATAGAATTTGCAATTTGCAGGAACCACGTTCTTGCCACTTGGTAAATGAATAGCTTTCGGAAAACAAGATACAGAAGATCCACATTTACTCCCAAAACCTGGATAGTCGGTGTGGTTTATTTCATGAAACTTATATTGGTATGACTACCATTAACAAAAGAATTGTAACAGCAATCTATTAAAAAAAAAATTTATGAGAGCGTGTATTACTAGAGAAAATGAATTTATATCAAGGAAGTCGAGACAGCATGTCAATCAATACAACATCAGGGAGATCTTCCAAACTCAAAAGGTCTCGGTGCAATTAGTAGTGGACCACCTATTGTTGTATTGATCCGATGTAGGGCTTACACATCACGGCTTGTATAGAACCAACTACACCAACACTAAGAATCCCAAAATCAAATATGAAACTAAATCAAAAAATTTTTTAACCCTAATCTACAAACTGGGGTTTAAAGTTAGGAACTTTACTGAAAATCTACAGAATACTGAAAATTGAGGAGTTTACCTGGTCAAGACTCAAAGAGGATTTTGGTGAGCTCCCAAACACAAAAATAGCAGGAAAATGAAGAAATTAAATGAGAGGGAAACAGGTACAGCTCCAAAGAGGGATCACATTGCAGGATATCCCAAATTTTATTCTCTTGTGATTTTTACCCTGGAGGACTGTAAATGGTAACCAACTAGTACAACTTCTAGAAAGTTAGAAAACTACATGTTCATATGAGCTATAAGTCAACTTTTGTTATTACAACATTGGAAATTCATATGAGCCACCTTTTGTTTATTCTTGTTAGAATGGATTGAACTAACTCTTTTCTTATTATATGAGTCAAGTCTTTGCATCTGTTAGATCCCCCCTCCCCCTTTTCTTTTTAACTTTCTTGTTCCAAAAGCTGGCCGCATGCCCCAAACCTGAACTTTGGTCATACAAACTGAGAATGTGTTGACAAAGTCCTCTGATGTTTTGATATTGCGCTCTCTCTTTCTTGCTCTCATTTTTTAGTCCTGGCATGATTCATCAAGCTGTTGAAATATATGGATTTTAATACTCTGTTGAAACCATTATATTCCGTAGATAACTATTTAAAAAGAATTTTATTACATAATGAGTGTTTAAACAATGAATTTACAGGTAGTCCATAGCCTATAAACGCAACACGAATGCAGTTTTCTAATGAATATGTATATAACACAATGCAATTAGACTCATAGTTCTTCAGGAGATGACCAACAGCATTGAAATAATTCCAATTGATTAATAGGGGTTGATTAATTTCTCCATCTATACTAAGGTCTGAGTTTAGCGAACCTTCCCAAGCATATGTTGCCTCTCTGACATAGACTTCCGGCCGTGCACATCTTGAGTTAATTGACTAGCATTATAGGTGCAATCACAACAGCTAACCATGAAAGCAACATCTGAACTAATATTCATGTTAACAACCTGTTTGACTAATCCATTGTCACAGATATAACTCATGTCTATCAGTACATATATTTATATAAATAGCATACATAAGATGATATTCCTTGTGAACAACATTTGGTGTTCTTGTGCAGGGCAAGAAGTTGTGATAATGCTGGTGAAATTGAGCCATTTCCTGTATTCATTGCTTGGTTTGATTGCAGTAATACTTGTAGTTCATGGCCAGGATCAAACAGGTATATGAATATTTGAACACCAGGAGTTTAGCTTTATTTTCGGTTCACTAAATGTAGACAAAGCTAATAAGGCATCTCTTTTTTCCATCTGTTTCAGGCTTCATTAACATAGACTGTGGGCTACCACCTAATTCAAGCTATAACGAGCAGAGAACAGGCTTGTTTTACATTTCAGATGCAACTGTTGTGGACACAGGTGAAAGTAAGCTCCTATTGGTACAAGATACAGAGGTCTCTACCCTCAATATGTTTGGTATCTCAGATACTTTCCTGAAGGAATAAGGAATTGTTACACCATAAATGTAACAAGAGGCACCAAATATTTGATCCGAGCAACATTCTTTTATGGGGATTATGATGGCCAAAATAAGGCATCAGAATTTGACCTGCATCTTGGATCTAACTTGTGGGATACAGTATATTCAAACAACACAATCAAGGAGATCATACATGTCCCTTTGCAAAGCTATATACAAGTTTGTCTAGTCAATACAGGCTCTGGGACGCCGTTTATATCAGCGATAGAACTAAGGCCTCTGAATAATACACTCTACCCTACTCAAATGGGGTCCTTAGCACTCTTCAGGCAGTATAATGCTGGTACAAATTACTAATGTCACATACAGGTCTGTCTTCTCCTTTGTTATGAACTCATTTAATTTGAAATGTTCACTTTGATTAAATTCACATGAAATCTTATATTCAGGTATAAAGATGACGTTTATGATCGCTTCTGGTATCCCCATTATTACAGTGCATGGACACAAGTAACCACCTCACTTACCATCGAACCTGAAAATGAGACTGCCTACCAACCACCATCCATTGTCATGAGTTCTGCGGCAGCGCCAAAAAATATGACTACTTTGGATATTTGGTGGATTCCCCCTGATGAAAATACCCAATATCATGTGTACATGCACTTCGCTGAAGTTGAAAAACTCCCAACCAACCAGTCTAGACTGTTGAGCATTACTTGGAATGGGAAGCCCTTCGTTACAAAACCTTTTTCTCTTAAGTACTTAACCACAACAACTGTGTATACGAAAGAGGCTTTGAGTGGGGGACAGCAAAACTTTTCAATCTCTCAGGTTGGAAACTCTACCCTTCCACCCATCATCAATGCCTTTGAGATTTATACGGTCCTTGAGTTATTGCAGGCAGAAACTAACCAAGAAGATGGTATGTAAAATTTCCAAACACATCATCTCCAATTTCTAGAAAAAGTCTATCCCATTACTGCCACTAAATATATGATTGACCTAGTTGAGATTTCTTCATGCATCTGAAAATATTAGTTGAGCCCATCACAAACTTAAAGTTAACCTACGGAGTGAAGAGAAATTGGCAAGGTGATCCATGTGCTCCGAAAGAGTACTCGTGGGAAGGGTTAAACTGCAGCTATGATGGTTATGAGCCCCCCAGAATCATATCCTTGTAAGTAGACATACTCAGATAAACTTACCTGTTATTATATTTTTTGTATTTACATCCCACTTATATGTCTTGATAAATCTGTTTAAAATGCAATGCAGGAACTTGTCCTCTAGTGGATTAACTGGGGAAATAGCTCCTCCTTTATTCAATCTCACAATGCTACGGACTCTGTGAGTGTGTGTTTCTATGTCAAATGATTTACTGATTTATAAAAAAGGGTGACTAATTGAAGCCAAAATTTCTTTTTCAAAAATTAAATTTGAATAAATTGTAATTTCCCATTTCAGGGATTTATCAAACAACAATTTGACAGGACCAGTGCCAGAATTTGTGTCTCAATTACCAAACTTAAAAATCCTGTAAGCTATTTGAATCTGTAGCTGATGCACCAACTGCTTGTTCTTTTATAACTTCATTATACGTATTCCGGTATAATTAGTTGCTCTACCTTTCAGAAACTTGGAGAAAAACAAGCTCACAGGTTCAGTTCCAGCTGGACTAATTCAAAAATCAAATGATGGTTTGCTATCATTAAGGTGTGTGAACATAAACCATCAATATCCACTCATTCCTGAAACTTTGGTAGACCTTACACTAACACATAAGCACTACCAATTTTCTCTTAAATGACATTGTAAAAATCTCTGTAGAAAATAAATGATCATGAGATATGCATTCTTCTGATGAAAGAAAATAGTGTAGCTCATGTTCCGTTAGTAACTGCACTGATCATTAAGGTCAAGTCTTACTTATGTTACCACCATTCATCTTAATTCCAGCTTTTGTGAAAATCAAAATCTAACTGCGCCGATTTCCTGCGGCAAGGATAAGAAGAAGAAGAAGAAGACAATTTTGTTGTTCCAGTAATAGTGTCAGTTGTAGAAATTTTAATCCTTATATTAACTGTAGCAGCTGTACTGTAGCGCCTCAAAAGGAAAATAAAACATGGTACCATATACTTGTTAAACAATGCTAGAATAAATTTGATTACAGAAGAAGCAAGCATCGGTTATTTCTTAATGATTAATGATCTCAGCAGACGTAACTGATTCAACACCAAGCATTCAGCAAGGGCCACTGGAGCCATCACAACGTCAATTTACGTACTCTGAGGTACTCAAGATCACCCATAATTTTGAGAGATTGTTGGTAGAGGTGGATTTGGAACAGTTTATCATGGCTACATAGATGATACTCAAGTAGCTGTGAAGGTGCTTTCACCTTCATCAATTCAAGGATATCAAGAATTTCATTCAGAGGTATGTAATGTAATAAATGTTTAAAAAGCTTGAGCTCAATCATAAGCTCTAAATAAAATTTTTGGTTTCTTGCAGGTTAATCTTCTCATGAGAGTTCATCACAGAAATTTGACAAGCCTTGTCGGATATTGCAAGGATGGAACCAATACAGGGCTCATCTATGAATACATGGCCAATGGAAACTTACACAAGCATCTTTCAGGTTTGATTCATTGGCTGGAATTGATCTTTCTTTTTTTTCTTTTTCTTTTCTGGAATCAGGTTAATTAGTGACATAGAAAGAACAATGCCTCAAAGCAGCTACAACAACGATCAGAACAATCTGACCATGCATAAAAAAGCATACAGGGAAATAAACAGTAGGCCACCTGAAAACAGATCAACAATAAAACAACTACGTCGACATGCTTTTAACAACTATAAGTTTGGCAACAATCAATAATTTCATCAGAATTTGCTCTCTCAATCTATGGAGTTCATTTTCTCTTTCAGGATAGATACTTCTTACTCTGCAAGGTTTTTTTATATTACCACATGATTTTAGTTCCTTTAATTAGAACAACAGAGGAAAAAGATTGATTATTTATCATGTACAAATGCAGATAACACTTCAAATATATTGAGTTGGGAAGACAGACTTCGAATTGCAATGGATGCAGCATATGGTCAGCAAGTAGAAATTTTCGTAAACCATTCATAGCGTCTCTTCTTTTTTCATCTTTTATAACATGTTTACCAAAATTTTGAAATGTAGGATTGGAGTATCTACACTATGGTTGTACACCACCTATAATTCACAGAGATGTGAAATCTACAAATATCTTGTTGAATGAAAACTTTCAAGCCAAACTATCTGACTTTGGCCTATCAAGAATATTCCCTGCTGATGATGGCACTCATGTATGGACACGTGTTGCCGGAACTCCTGGGTACCTTGACCCTGAGTAAGTCTTTGGTTTGTAGTTTACACTTCATCTAATAGTATTCAAATTATTTTCAGTATAGCAAAACTCTAATCAAATCAAGAAACCATAGGAATGAAGAAAATATACAGTAAATTGATGTCCTAGGTGCAAACACATGACTTGAGTTACATGGTTTGGTTTGCAGGTACTACCTATCAAACATGTTAAATGAGAAAAGTGATGTGTATAGCTTTGGGATTGTGTTGTTGGAGATTATCACAAGCCGACCTGCTTTATCAAAGACACATGAGAAAATTCACATTGGTCAATGGGTTAGTTTCATGGTTGAGAAAGGGGACATTAGAAGTATTGTCGATTCAAGACTAGAAGGAAACTTTAATAGCAACTCTGCCTGGAAAGCTGTTGAAGTAGCTTTGGCTTGTGTATCTTCAAGTTCCACCAAAAGGCCAACAATGAGTCAGGTAGTGACAGAGCTGAAAGAGTGCTTGGCTGCAGAGTTTGCTCGAAACAAGGAGATCCGCGATACTGATTCAAACGATTCAAATGAACTGATGTCATTGAAATTCACCACTGAGATGAGACCATTAGCTAGGTAGTAGTACTTCTCTGTAAAAATAATGGGGTGTGGAAAATTTCATCTTGTGTGTTAAAGAAGCATTGTGATACTATAATATTTTAATCTGTGTCGAATTCTTTTGCCACTTCAAAAGTCAAAATCAATGCCATCACATTTTTTGTGTGATTCTGTTTCTGTTTTTCTTTTCCAAAGACAACAGGGGAACAACTTGCACAAAAGAATTTCCTCATGTGACATCGTTCAATCGAAGTATACAATCTATAAATATAAATAAACCGAAATTTGAGTATTCAGCCTACATTTTGTGGAAGCAAAATATCTAAGCTAATCAATTTGGAAATTATTTGACTTAATTGGGAGTCATTTGATTTAATCGGGAATTATTCGATCCCTAATTACATCAATCTCTCCAAATTGAAGAAGAATAATTCATTTTCATCTATGGAATTATTCTTTCAAAATCCTAACTTCCGAGGCTCCTATAAATATATGGCTACACCAAGACTTGAGGTAATTCTAAACTTTTGTCTGAAACTCTTGAGAAATCCTATCTTATAAACACACAAGGCTTTGGCCACCCGTACTCCTATCTCATAATTCAAAGAAAATCCGTTTTCCCCTGATTTCATTCGAAACCCTTAAATCACTATGGTGAGAGGCCTCACCACTAGAAACGCAGCGAAAACAATCACCACACACCGGTGGAATTTTCTCTAGACACCCACCGTGGCCTTTTGTTTTTATTCCCTCTGTCCAACAAAAACAAAAAAAAATTGGCAGGGTTACTGTTTGCGGCCAGAGCCAGCACGCGCGAGCGCGACAAAACCAGCCCAGACGCTGCCATCCTTGGGACGGCGGCTCCGCCCATCACATGGTCGCACTAGCCATGCCATCGAACTAGCAGACCTCTGAGCTGCGGACGCCGACGCGAAGCTTTATGACCCGACGCAGGAAGCTCGCCGACGAAGCCTTGGAGAAGATGACGGTCGCCGCCAAGCTTCGTTGGAGGCCTTCCCGGTGTCACCTTGCGTCACCGCCAACACCAGCGAACTCGCCGCCCTCCGGTCAGTATGCACAAACCTGGAGAAAAGATGCAGCCCGCCCCCGGAGAAATGGCCGACAAGCCGTCGGACGTTTCCGCCGGAACTGCCCAGAGCCGTCGAAGCTACCTTCCTGCTCATCGGCTCGCGACGTCGCCACCACGACCAGGAGACTCGGGTTTGTCGGTTTGCTGGAGAGCCCAGCCTCGTCGTTGCACGGCCGGCTACTGAGCTCCACGCCTGGGTTCGAACGGTTCTGCAAAACTCTCCCATGGCTGACTCCCATACGTTCTTTCTCTCTCATTCATTTATTTCCTAATTTAAACAATTTTCAATTATAATTTTAATATTTAATATTTAACACTGAATTAATGCACTTTCCTAATAAATATTAGCATTTGATATTTATTTTGATTTAGTGTATATTCTTAATAAATATTAATCATTAATATTTTATTGCTTGAATTATAAAACATGTTTTATTTAATGATATTATTATTTTATCAAGGCCCACGTGATATTATAGTTGGGATATAATTGTGTTTTTATCATGCCTGCTAATTACATTTTATCACTAATGATCAGGAAAATACCAAATGATTGGGTGACCAACCTATGAGTCCTTGGTCCACCCGATCAACAATTCTCTAGTCAATACGATCCATAAGCCGTTGGTCAGCCCGACGCATGATCCCTCAATCGAGACCAACAACCTCCCAACACGATTACCTCAACGTCGTCCCGATCTTGGAGCAAGTCCATTCGTTCCCTCTTTTGCAATCACACTTGACGTATGCACCTGTGTATGCGTCCAATGGAGCTCTAGCCCGTATGCCTTTTGGCCCAATTCACACCACTCTACCTGATCTGCGCAGTCAAGTGGACCTTTACTCATGGGTTGATCAGCTCACACAAAGGGTCAACGACCAAAACAATCTAATTGGGCATCTACTCATGCAGATCAACTTGAATCAAGGCCTTGACTTTGGATCTCGTGACAAGAAGAGGAGGACGCACGAGCATACCGGCGAGCAGTTTGAGATATCCCAAGCAGGTCAAACAGAGACAAACGGATAAAGGAAAGAACGAGATCTCACTGACGAGACGCAAACATCTACTAGCCGTACTCTAAGTCGGTCAATCCGTTCGAGGTTAGGTCCAAGAACCAATGTGCGCCAGAGGCTGGACCCACAGTCCAATGTCCACTTTCGCTTGGGCCCACAAGAAAGTATCTATTCTAGGTTGGGTCCACAAGGAGCTCGAGTTCGTGAATAATCGTGTGACGAACGCAACGACCGACGCTCACCAACCTACTCAAGATCCAACACACGGCGACAAACCATAGAGGAATCCTCACAAGCTCAATCTCCTTATCTGCCCCATGAGCATAACAATTAAGGGGATCGGCCCTTGGAAGCTGAGGAAGAAGTTAACCAGTGGCGCTCGAGGCATAGAAGACACTGACTCGAGCCACTAGCCATCACACCATTCAAGGGAGACTTTGACCCTGAGAGCTATTTGAGGCACTTCAAAAGTGCTATGATCCTATACAAGGCAGACGACACCCTGATGTGCAAGGTACTCGAGATGACTTTGCGAGGAGCAGCTCAGGACTGGCTCCACACTCTACCATCTGCATCCATCGACAACTTCAAAGAGTTTGCCCTCATTTTCACAAATGAGTACACCTTCTACCATATGGTCAGAAAACAACCAAACTACATATTCAACCTGCACAAGAAGCTTGACGAGTCTCTTCGAGACTACTAGGGGTGGGCATATAAACCGGAAAACCGAACCAAACCGGACGAAAAAAAAAATCGAAAACAACCGAGTTGACTAAAAAGTCAATAAACCGGACCGGACCGGTTCAAACCGATTTCGATTCTGGTTTTACACAAGATAGCATCGGACCGGACTGGCTATATTAATTTTTTATTTATTTATTTTAAATTATTCTATACTTAAGCCCAATTCTCCTTAAGCCAAATTTAAAGCCCATATACCTTTTATTTTCAAAGCCCATTCCATAACCCTACTTCACCTCTCTCTTCTATTTTTCCCTTTTCCCGAAGCCTTGTTTTTTCAATCATTCTTCACTTTCTTTTTTTCTTTTCTTTTTTTTTTTTTTTTTTTTTTTTTTTTTTTTTTTTTTCTCTCTCTCTCTCTCTCTCTCTCTCTCCCACCTTCCCCTTTTCTTTTCTTTTCTTCATTCTTCTCTCTGCGACTTCCCTCTTTCTCTCCTCTCATTTCCCTTTCCTTTCCTTTCCCTTTTCTTTTCTTCTTTCTTCTTCTTCTCTGATACTTCTTTCTCTCTCCTCTTTTCCTTTTCCCTTTTCTTTTCTTCTTTTTCCTTCTTCTCTACGACTTCTCTCTGTCCCCCCCCGTTCCCTTTTTTTTTCTTCTTCTCTGCAACTTCACTCTCTCTTTCTCTATGCCTTTTTTTTTTCTTCTCTGCAACTTCACTCTCGCTCTCTCTCTCTGTGATTTAATGAAGAGGATGAAAGGGGTTCTTGCTATGGAGCCTTCTTCATTTGCTGGTAACGAAGATCCTAAGACTAGATTCAAGCATCAGAGTCTCATGCAAGGAGAAATCTGGTTTTGTATTCAATTTTTTTATTTTTGGTCGATTTCCTTAGATCTGTTGTATTTTTTTTTTTTTTTTTTTTTTTTTTTTTGGTTTACCTAGCATTGGATTGGTTTAGGGTTATTTTGCTGCCGAGATATGAGAATGAAAGCAAAAATCAAATATTTTGGATCAATTTTTTTTGGGTTTCAGATAAGTAAAAATTGCTTAACTAGATTTAAGTTTTTATTTTTTATTTTTTCCTTATTCTCCACTTATCTCCCTGACTTGCCAGAGAATCGGCTCAAACTGGAAAACCGGACCGGAAATAGCCAATTCGACTTGATTCGGTTTCTATCCTGTTTTTCTTAAAAACCAGACCGGATCGGATGAACAGTACCGATTTCGGTTTCGATGTGAGCTGCAAACCGGACCAAACCGGACCGTGCCCACCCCTAAAGACTACCTCAAAAGATTCAAGGCTGAAAAGGCTAACATCATCATCGCATCCTCGACTTTCATAAAGGGTTTTCCGGCTGAGCACGAACTATACCGTGAGCTGACCATTACTTTGAGCCCAACCATTGCAAAAGTCTTCGCAATGGCAGAGCGCTACACACTCTAGGAAGAAGACTGCATTGTCGCAAAGAATGAAGCAGATCTCGTTCATAACAATCGAGCAGACCATAAAAGGAAGGGAATGGCTACTCCACAACTGCAATAAAAGAGTCAAGACCAAGCCGAGAGAATCCGTTTGGAGGTCTCTCCTGAAGAAGGATAGAGGCCCGAAGAGGATGTTGGGCTAGTTCCCCTTGATTTTGACAAGCCAAAGAGAAAAGCACAGATCGGATCGTGCCTAAGCCTTGAAGAGAAAGATCAAGCAGGCGACTTTCGTCTCTCAAGTCACAACCGGTGATCCAGCCATTGAGGACACTCATATTATCGACTTTCACATGAAGGACCTGATCGGGCTTGATCTGCTACATAATGACGCTCTTGTCATTTGCATCTAGATTGAACAAGCTATGATCGAGCGAGTTCACGTGGACGAGGGCAGCGCAGTCAACATCCTACAACTATCTGTTATCCAACAAATGGAATTGGAGACTAAGATCAACAAGCTTGCCAGATCACTCACCGACTTTAACGATGCCGCATAAATCACTATGGAAAAGATTAATCTTGACATCCACTCACCCCCGGTGATCTGCTCGTAGACTATTATGGTCATCGATCAGGTCCCCCTACAACAGAATCTTGGGCCAACCATAGATTAGCAAGATTGAAGTCGTCACATCTGCTTCACACCAGAAAATTCGCTACCCAATCCCTGAGGGCGGAGTCGAGCAGATCAACAGTGACCAAGCTATGGTTATGAGGTGCACAACCCAAGGGCTCAAGAATAACAAGCAGTTGCAGTTCATACCCATGATGCAGGCTGCCAACGAGGCAGATCGCGCTCTCGATGGACAAGCAAACCTAAAAGGAAAAGGAGTCGCTACCTTCCAATAGCAATTAAAAATCCAGGATTAAGATGAGGGAATCCACCCGGAAGACTCTCCTTAAAAGGGTTGGATGCCTGAGGATGACGTTGAGTTAGTATCCTTTGATCTTGACCAGCCAGACAAAGAAGCGCAGATTGGCTCGTGATTGAATCCAAACGAGAAGGATCGAGATGAGGGAATCCACTTGGAAGACTCCCCTGAAAAGGTCTGGAAGCCTGAGGATTACGTTGAGTTAGTACCCCTTGATCCTAACCAGTCAGACAGAAAAGCGCAGATCGGCTCATGTCTAAGCCCAAAACGAGAAGGTGGAGTTGACCAACTTCTTCCAGAACAATAAGGACATGTTCTCATGGTTGCCATCTAACATGCCTGGTATCGACCCGAACATCATTTTCCACTGGCTCCATGTTGACCCCCCAGCAAGCCAATGGTGCAGAAGAGACGCAATTTCGCTCCCAAGCGAGTCAAGATCATTAAAGCCGAAATCGACAAGCTCCTAGCTGCCTGCTTCATCGAAGAAGTCTTTTACTCATAGTGGCTAGCCAACATTGTTCTAGTGGCGAAACAAGAAAAGGGCAAATGAAGAGTTTGCGTCGATGCCAGGAATGTCAAATGGCGACCATTCAAAACATGTCCTTATTGTTTTGGAGGAAGGTGGTCAGCTCATCCACGCTTTCTGTCTGGCTAGTCAGGATCAAGGGGTACTAACTCAACGTCATCCTCAAGCTTCCAACCCTTTTCAAGGGAGTCTTCCGGGCGGATTCCCTCATCTCGATCCTTCTCATTTGGGTTCAGGCGTGAGCCGATCTGCACTTCTTTGTCTGGCTGGTCAGGATCAAGGGGTACTAACTCAACGTCATCCTCAGGCTTCCAACCCTTTTCAGGGGAATTTTCCAGGCGGATTCCCTCATCTTGATCCTGGCTCCTTAATTGCTATTAGAAGGTAGCAACTCCTTTTCCTTTCAGGCTTCCAACCCTTTTCAGAGGTGTGCGATATAAAAACTGTTCAAAAAGCTTGAGCTCATATCATATGCTCTTAATAACAAATTTTCTTTCTCATATGTTAATCTTCTAATGAGAGTTCATCACAGAAACTTGATAAGCCTTGTCAGATATTTCAAGGATGGAACCAATACAGGGCTCATCTATGAATACATGGACAATAGAAACTTACGCGAGCATCTTTCAGGTTTGTCTCTCATTGGCTGGAGTTGATATTTTTTAAGTTTTCTGGAATCAGGTTAATTAACAACAAAGAAAGCAGCTTCAACCCTAAACCCTAAACCCTAAACCCAAAACAATCTGGACATGCGCAAAAAAGCATAGGGGCAAACTCAGCATGCTCTTAACACTGATAATCTTTTGCAACAATATCAAAGTAGTTTCACCAGAATGTTTTCCCTTTCAATCTGTGAAACCTATTCTCTTTCAAGATAGATACTTCTTACTCTTCACATTTTTTAACATCACCACATGATTGAGGTTCCCTTAGTTACAAGCACGAAGGGAAAAGACTGATTTATTATGTACACATGCAGATAACAGTTGGGCAGGCAGACTTCGACTTGCAATGGACGCAGCGCATGGTCAGCAAGTAGAAATTTCACAATCCCTTCATATTCCATATATTTTTTATTAAATTTTGAAATGTAGGATTGGAGTATCTTCACTATTGTTGCAAACCTCCTATAATCCACAGAGATGTGAAATCTACAAATATCTTGTTGAATGAAAACTTTCAAGCCAAACTATCTGACTTTGGCCTATCTAGAATTTTCTCTGCTGAAGATGGGACTCATGAGTGCCTTGACCCCGAGTGATTATTTTTGGTTTTTATAATTTAAACTTCAGCTCTAGAATTCCAATTATTGTCAATGAAGTAAAACTTAAATCAAATAAAGCATAAGCAACCAGAAGAATGAGAAAAATAGGACAAATTGATGCTTAGGCACAGACTTGATTTGAGTTACATGGTTTGGTTTTTAGGTACAACCTATCAAACACGTTAAATGAGAAAAGTGATGTGTATATAGCTTTGGGATTGTGCTGTTGGAGATTATCATAAGTCGACCTGTTTCATCAATGATACATGAGGAACTGTACATTTGTCAATGGGTTAGTTTCATGATTGAGAAAGGGGACGTCAAAATTATAGTTGATCCATGGCTAAACGGAAACTTTGACAGCAACTCCGTCTGGAAAGCTGTTGAAATAGCCTTGGCCTTGGCAGTAGAGTTGGCTTGGAAAAACCGCGACACTGAATCAGAAGATTCAATTGAAATGAGGCCAGTAAAATTCACCACTGAGATGAGACCCTTAGCTAGATAGCAGTATACTTCTCTATTAAAATTAATTGTGTTGAAAAATTTCATCTTGTGTGTTGAAGAAAGCATTCATATACATGTAAATTTGCTCAACTAGTCCTCTAAATGTTCTTTTTGTATTGTGAAACTAATTTGTTCTTCCCTTACAAAGTTCCTACAACTTAATTGTTCAATCTATCTTTAGTCATTGTTTCTTTAACCAACAACAGCTACATCACAACTGTTTAACAAAGTCAATATCTTCCACTTGTGTGAAAGCCTACAAAATATGAGTTTAAACAAATTTTCAACACACGCAAATTTTTTATTTTGAGACCTGCACAAAATTTGCCAACTGAATAATAATTAATGTATTATGTATGTTGAAGAATATTGAAGTCCCACATCAGAAACTTAATAAAATCAAATACCCCATATAATGAATGGCTACACTACTAGCTTCCGCTATTAATAACATCGAGACGTTTTGTATAAAAGCCCACACTTGCTAACACAGACATGATGAATGTTGCTAGTAGTGAGTTGTAGGTCCATCCCTTTAAAATTTAACAATATATTGGTTTAGTTGGGGACATGATCAATGTTACTAACTTGCTAGTAGTGGGTTATATGAGCTCGAGCAAACAAAAAACAAATCCCAAAGCCAGGGATCGGGGTTCCTTTGAGAACGTCAGAAAGTCTAAATTTAGCTAAATATCTGCAACCACAATATCATCTTTTTATCCAGTCAAAACCAAAATTTTTCCGTTCCTTACAAGACGAAGCCAAATAAGACCCGCAACTCATATCCATGACAAAATGCATTACCAGCTCTTTATCTTCTTTATTGGAACTTCCTTTTCTCTTTTCGAATTTTCCCTTCCTTATAGTCAAATTTACATCACACGGTCACTATCATCATCACCATCATCAAGGACAACATCATTAGTGGTATGAATCGAGAATTTGTAGTTTTAAATTGAAGTTTAATTTTTGCCCACGAATCATCCGCACCTTCATAGGTGGTTGTTAAAGGTGTTTCCGTGTCTATTAAATAAAAAGGCACATGAATCACCATGGCTTGTTGTTCAATAACCACGAAAAACACATTTAGCAACTTCAAACAAAACGTGTGAGAATCCAGCGCAGTGCATAATTAAAAGAATGCATACACAAATTTTCTCTATGTAACTAAAATGCAACTATAAAATTACGGTGCTGACCATTGGGTTTAGGACTTTACCTACAATCCAAACTATTATAAGCCATTTGCAAAGGTGCCAAAATCGTAAAATTCATAAACACACATCATTATCACTAGAATAACCGATCAGCGTCATCATGAAGAATATCATTACTTGCATAATTAATCCTTGGGATAGCCAAGTTTTCTTGATAAAAGGAAGGGTTTTGTGCAAATTAAAAAGCCCACCTGCCCAAAGGACCGAAGGAAAAGAACCAGAACATGTGCTAAGCAATAAGGTTGGGGTGATTTTCGAGTGCACGCTTTGGGTTGAATCAAGGAGACAGGACCACTGACTAGGATTCACAAGTCTTAAGAGAATGTCCCTTGCATTTGGTTACCCAACAATGACATTAAAAAATTACACTATACAAAGATCTCCAAGAAAGCTGAGTTTCAAGTACAAGAACAGATTAAACAATTACACAACAAAAGCTTAAAGTGGTAATCGCTTTCTAGCCCTTGATCTTAATCATAGGTGTTATAATTTGCTAATCCCTTTTGTGTAAAAGCAAAATCATGTGCAGCTACACTCTTTCCAATCGTTGTTTTGCTACTTCCACTATGCAATATAATAAATTCCCTTCACTAAGCATGCACATATGGATAGTGGAAGCAGCAAAAATAGTAGTGGAAGTAGAATTTAAAGTCTTACTTGTGGAGTTCTTGGGTGGTGGGTGTTATGATGGCATGGAATGAGCCTTAATAACTCAGGATTACATGTAATGATGAAGAGAATGATTTGGATCTTGGATATAAATTTGCTACTTTAATTTTTTTTTTTCGAAGTTAATCATTGGGGATGAAATGATGATGATGATGAGAATGATTAAAGGACAAAGCACCTTGGGTTAGGGCTTCTTTTATGGTCTTGGTTTAGTTTTTCAACTGTGGGGTTGGTGGATATGATTAGAGTTGTGGAGTGGGACATGATGATGGGTTTGCATGGGAAAAGAGGGGTTGAAAGAGAAAGCAAAGCTTGTAGGAGGAATATTAGAATTACTCATGGACTCAATTTTTTGGCCTAAATTTTCAAGTGCCTTCACCTGTGACCTCAAGAACTTGAGATAATTGGCAGCCTCATCAAGCATAGATGCAGTGTCCATCTTGCTTCCACCAGGAACCAGCCTTTGCAAAACCCTAATTCTCTCACTGATCCTCTCTCTCCTTTGCCTTGCAGCCACGGTCTGTGGGTCAGATGAGATCTTAACATTCTTCCTCTTTGGCCTTTCAACCATGTCCATCCCCAAGTTCACTGGCCTAAAAGCCGCAGCACGATAAATCATCTCTTTCATTTGTGCAATGACCTCTGGATCAGGCTCTTCAATAGAGGAAGCTGATACAGATGAACTTGGCTGTTGAAAGTTGATGTTGGATGAGCTTGGACGCTTATCTGATCTGGGCTTCTTCGGGTTTGGTGGGTTTTCGGAGATGAGACGAAAACCACCTTCCGTAGTAGAAGAATCTGTTTGAAGAAGACCAAAGTGACTATGATTGGCTCCATTTAGCTCACTTTGATCATGGCTTCTCTTTGTGGAATTTTTCTTACCCTGACTTTGGACATATAAATCTGATGAGCTTTGAGAGACTACTGTTTCGTTGTTCTCAGACTCTCCGGATGAGATTGCACTATTATTGCCTGCTCCAAAGTTCCATAAGTTTCTTCTGCAATCCGAGAAAAGCATAGAAATTCCATCATCATCTTCCACAGATGTGTCAGTGTTGCTATTAGTACCTGAGAGCAAGCAATCCAAGGACTCAACGGAGCGTGTCGTTGCTGGCTTAGCCTTGCCATGATCTTGTAAGCCATGAATGACTTGTGTTTGTACATGTTTCCCAGTATCTCCATAATGATCAGCAGCCATGAAAATACCAGTGCTCAGTGAACCCATCATATTATAATTAGGCTTGTTGATCATCCAAGGGGCTTGACACAATTGATCAGCTCTCAAAGTTGGCATAGCATGCACTGAGTCCAGCAAACAAGGATTTTGCTGATGAACAATTAGAGCACTCTTGCTCGCTCTTTCGGTATTTGAGTTCATGATCGCATGCGATGTTTGGACTTTTTGGAAATCTTGGATTGGAATGAAAGCACTGGGACCTGAGCTCGACACCAACAAGCTTTCTTCAAGATCATGTACTTGATGGTTGTTCCATAATAAGGTTGATGTGTTTGTGATGTATGACCCGTCCCAATCCGACCCGTCCATATTGATTAAAAACCTTTAAGTAGTTTTGCAGATTATTTCTGTTCAGAAAGAGTACAAATAATGATGTAATAATTCTTGAAACTCATAAATCCAAAATATATGAGATAATAAACAAATATATTTATATGTGTATGTATGTCATCAGAGACTAATAATATCATTGCAGAGGATGATGAATATAGTTTTATATATTGAAGTAAAATCAAAGGAAATTACATGATGACATACCAATTTCAGATCCAGCTGCCAACCAAACCAATCTAGAATATCAAAGAAGGAGCCAAACAAAGACCAGGGAATTAGTTGCAGCTGATGATCTCTCAACAGAACCGAAATCAACTTACCTCAGCTTCTGCTTTATATTTTGTGTGCAATTTTGGCACTTCCAATAACCGCCATCTTTAATTCAGCTCTGCATCATGAAAACTGTGATGACCAGGGGAACAAAACAACCATCTAACGTCAGTTTTTGGCAACTATAAAACTCTGCCACCACACAGAGAGAGAGAGAGAGAGAGAGAGAGAGAGAGAGACTCAAAGAAGCAGAAGCAGCTCACAATTAAATTCATACATGCAACAGATTCAAAGAACAAAAGAATGAGAGCAAAGAAAGAAGGCATTTTTTCCCCACCTTAATGATCAGCCATGGAGCACACAGTGTTTTGTTAGTTGGTTGTGGCATGCTTAAATAGATATATAGGAGGAAACAAAGGCTAGCTCTAATTTTATAAACCAAAAAAATATAGTTTTCAAGAGAGTTTGAAAAGAAAGTATAATGGGTTTGGAAAAGATAAGGCTTTTGGTCAGTTTGGTGGGGGTGTAAGAGTATATTTTTGCAGATGGGGAGCATGAGATATCAGAGAGAGAAGCATTTTGAATCCTAACCAATTCAATTGTTTATTGCTGTTTGGTGTTTTTTTTGTTTTGTTTTAGACTTTTAGTGGGAAAGCTCTGACCCCCTTTTGGAATTGCTTATGCCATTTCCATGCGCACTGTAAAGTTGCAGTAAAAATTAATCCCAGTGAGAGAGTGAATAGAGAGTGATCAGAGCATCTTTTACACCACTGTCTTTCTAAAAAGATTTCTATTAATCATAGTTTTAATCATAACGACTTTTAATGTTTTCACTTTCTACTACGTTAACTTTTTTTCTTGGTAAAAATACATGTCATATCTCTGGTATGGTGCCACCACCAAGATAACCTTGTGGATAGTCTTACTTAAATTCTAATCTAGCTGTGCGGTCTCTATCTCTAGCTATAGCTCTAGCTACCATGAAAAGAATGGCAAGTAGTAACTTTGTTCACCTTTTCATTATGAAAAATAGTTGGCTTGTTTCTTACTTCACTTGACATTGGTGAAAAAAAAAATTATTTGTGTTTCTAATGAGTTACGCATGTGTGTTCTCAACTACACTGTACATCAAATTATGTAACCACAAATTATGATATGTAAATGGTATTTGGTGAGAGTACAATTTGCTAACATATATTAAAAATAATATACCCATCCATATATATATATATATATATATAATTCTTCTCCTTTGTGGATATATGGATGTTATTT